GAGAAAGAGGCGTGGTAGCTTACGGGAGTTTAGAGATGTGCAACGTGAGACGTCAGATTTTTCCGTCTGAGAAAGAATCGTGGTAGCTTACGGGAGTTTAGACGTTAGATTTTTCCATCTGAGAAAGTGGCTTGGTAGCTTACGGGAGGTGTGCAAATGTCAGGAAAATATTCAGGATCCGTTGCTATAAGAGAATGTGTAAGAAATGTGGGGGCCCATGAGGGGGCTTCGATTTTGTAGAAAAACGGTCCGCTAAATTGAAGATCGACGGCCGCGCGCTATGGACGCGCAATTCCGAGGCGAAGCCGAGTAGCGCGTACAGTAGCGCGCAGGCCGGAGATCTTAAGACGAGGAGGAGGCAAGATCGAGGCTGCAGGCGAGGCAAAAAGGAAGGCCGAAGGCCTGGAAGCCGAGACAAAGACGAGATCGCAGCCGACACCGAGGCTGTCAATGAAGAGGGCCGTCATTTGTGCGTAATCTGTACAGTGATAATCTGAGTGATACTCAGTAAGCTGTTAGACAAGCTGTTGTTAGCACTAGACTGACACGTTAGACTCCGCAACTGCCCACTGCTCCATTGAAGAAACTCAACAATAGCCCATTCGTTGGCCATCGACAGAAGCCATCTCCAGTAGCAGGTCATTCACTCGAAAGATTTACTGCTGTAGGATTCAGTACTGAATGTACGAGAAGATGTCCAATGACATGATGAATGACGACGGAGAATTCATTCTTCCTCCTGTACCGGCAACGTCTCCTCCGAGCAGTGGTGATGAGGAAGAACCTCAAGATGAACAAGCAGAACTTGTTCCACCGATGACGCAAGGAACCGCAGCTTCCACACTCCTTGGCTTCGCGACTGTTGCTCCGCCTCTGCCTCCACCCCCACCATTGACTCAAGGCACTGCTGCGGCCACACTTCTTGACTTTGCCAATCCTCCTCCTTCCAATGATCCAAACGTCTTCCAATCCAACCTCCCATGTACCATTGACTTTGGCGGTGCAGAAAACACACCACCAATCAGCAACCGACCTGCTAGAGTCTCCTTGGAAAATGAGGAAAATCAGGACACAGCCTCACCAACAGCAGAGGAAGATGAGCCAACACAAGAAACTCCACAAGAGGAGCAGCCAACTCCAACACTCAACTCCGCCGCTGCCATTGCTGGTGCCTTGGAGCTGGAAATCAATATGAATCCATGGAACTGACTGAAGATGACCTCAAGCTGTTGGATGAAGCTAAAGACAAAGGGAAAGTCTCCAAGGAACATGCTGCAAAAATTACCCGGTGTGTGAATCGGTTCTTCAAAACCATCAAGGAAAATGGAGGTGACATCTTGGCGAATCTTCTGAAGCAAGAACCGGCCAATTATGCGAATGGAAAGAAGATGGATTACGCCTTCTTCAACATCTTGAGTGGAGAAAAGAACATTGACAAGCACACAATTCTCAATCATTGTCTCGTGTTGTGCGGAATGAAATGGCTATGTTTGAGTGGACCAAACAAGGGCAAACCACTCGCACCAACTGTCTTCGATCAATACATCAAAGTCTTGTTCTTCTTCTTCAAAGCTCGCGGCATCCAATACAAATACAAAGAAGATTTCAATGAGAAGGGACAGTTCCACGGCTTCATGATCACCAAGTGGTACCTGATTCGGAAGAGTGATCCCAAGTTCGGAGTCAAGAATTACAAATCAGCGATTGACTGGCGGATGCGAAGATTCGGGAGGCGATTCGTGACGGAAGACTCCAACCCTGGACGAATCCGCAGCATCTCCTGTACGTTTTGCTCTATGTGCTTGGTCGCTTTTTCCTTTTCCGTGGAGGCAAGGAGAAGGCGAATCTTTTGCACGAAGAGACATATGGAGGTGTCTACGATCGAAGACTTGGAGAGCTCGCCGGCAATGAGTATGAAGCCTTCGTTCTCCCGGAAGATAAGACCAACCGACTCAATCTCGTGAATCCATCGGCGTTGAACAAAGAAGATCGCTGCATTGAGTGTATGGAGAATCCGCATGATGTACTCTGTCCGGTCAAGGTCATCCGTTTCTTCAAGGGAAAGTGTCATCCAGACGCGGTCAAATTTTTCGCCAAGATTGCCACCGCCAAACAACGAAAGGAGTACACCACCAAGGCGAAACGTGATGTTTGGTTTTGTCCCGCGAAGCACGGAGACACCACGAAGAATCTTGGCTACCACAAGCTGAATGGGTTCACCAAGGAACTAGCGAAGATGTGCGGCTTGACCAATTGGGAAGACATTTCCAATCATGGTTGGCGAGCGTACGGAATCACAAAACTCCATGCAGCTCGCGTCGATCTCAAGACTCGATTGAAGATGGCCCGACACAAGTGCGAGAAGAGTCAACTTCCTTATGCTCGCTTGACAAGTGATGGTCTGTTCAAAGCTCACCAGGCGTTGCGTGGGACAGATGATGTGATCGCCGCTCAAGACGATGATGACGAGGATGCCAAGAAACCCGCTGCCCAAAAGCGAGGAACCAAGACTGCCGCCAAAGGAAAGAAGAAGAAGAAGGCCAAAACGGCAACCACAGAAATTCCAGAGATTGTTTCCACTCAAGAAGAAGAGGAAGATGCGAATTCCCAATTGACCGAAGGCAGCAAGGACCACAGCAAGATGTCGCGAGATGAACTTTTGGCGGAGCTGGCTCGACGAGATGCCACTGGATCGGTTGTCGCTGGTTCGGTTGCCGGATCGATTGCCGCCTTTCCCAATGTTGGTGGTGGGGTGGCGAGTCTTGCTGGATCGGCGAGTGTTTTTGGATTGGCGGTTGGTGGTGGAACAGCGAGTGTTGCTGGGAGTCAGGCGAGTTTTGCTAGTGGACAGATGATGGCAGTCCCACAGATGCAGCCACAGATGGCCATGACGGTCCCACAACAACAGATGGCAATGGCGGTCCCACAACAGCAGATGGCGATGGCGGTCCCACAACAGATGCCGATGATGCAACCACAAATGTCGATGATGCAACCACAGATGCCAATGATGATGCAATACCCCATGATGGGATTCAATCCGGCCATGATGGGTATGGGATTTAGTCAGACATTTCTTCAGCAACAATATGCGAATCAAGTGGGTCCACAAATCATTGTCCCACAGATGCAGATGCAACAACAGCAGATGCAACAACAACAAATCTTGCCACAACAACAACCTGCTCCACAACAGCAGGAGATTTGGGTCCGGGATGCAAATGGGATTTTGGTACCGGCCGGCAATCATAACGGCGTAGCGCCCCAGGGAAATCTTCAGGGCTGAAACGATGGAAACCCGGAAACGTCATGGTCGATATCTTTTTCATTTGACTTGACATGGGGCTTTTGTAGAGGACATGGCTTTTGTAGAGGGCATAGATTACCCTTTTCGATGTTTGGCTGGCTGTTTTATGAAGAATTTTGGATACTCCTTTTCTCCTCGAACTGAAAAAACCTGACACTTTCTTTCTTGCATGCTCGGAGTGGTTCCGACTGTTGGTCTTCTCTTTAGCTTACGTTGAATAAAAACCCAAAATGATAGCAACAACTACAAATTGTCATCTTCTCGATGCCACTGAATAGTCATAGAATTATGTCAGAAAGTGGAAAAAACAGTTTATCGCTGAAAGATATGGTTTATTTAATTGAATCGTACGATTGACACACATTTTTCGAAATTTTAAACACATGGTCGCTGATGTACGTTGGAAACGCGAAGAAATTCCAATCCCATCTTCAAGATGGCTTTTTCCAGTCAATGTTCTTTTCTTATAGAGAATTCCAAAGATGTGCGATTTTTTTCCCTACTATTTCACTGTGTACACGTCATCCTATGACATCCATCTTGGAAAAAAACACATGGAAAAGAAACCGTCTTGAGAAACGGTTGATTCGTGCAAAATTTACTATGAAATAAGCAGTAAGATGCGAATTGAGTCTTACTTTCCGTTAACTCCGGGTGTCACATGAAAAACGATTGAAAAAGAAGATTCGAAATACGATTGACCCTACTTCAACGCTTACATCTCATCCGGCAAATTAACGCTTGTGTAGAAAATGTACCAGCTCTACGAGGATATCACCGGACAGATTATAGTTAAACTCTAACCCTAAGGATAACCAACCAACCAAAACCAACCACCACCACAATAAACAGGTTCAGAGATCACCTGGGTCTGCCCGGTATATTTAACAGGGTCAGAGATCACTGGGGTCTGCCCGATAGTAAGTTGTTGCAAGGGGTGGCCGTGTCGCCGTGGACACTTCTTTGACCAAGAGAGGTCATGTTGACGGGGTCAGTTGAATTTGGTGCCATAATTTGGTGCCGGTGCAGTTCTCCTGCACCGTCCTCGCACCGCACTGCACCAAAATTTGGGGCACTTCAACTAGCGTAACTAGAGTAACTGACGTAACTAGCGTAACTAGCGTAGGGTAACTGACGTAACTGGCGTGCAACTGATGTAACTGGCGTAGAACATTGGAGGACGACTAACGTGGTCGTCATTTCAACAGCTTTGTATTGTAAACAACTCTATAGGGACAACAGAGCAACGGCAACACTGTTTATAATGAGTTACATTTAGTTTTTAAGCTTTTGCAGCACTTAAATCACTGCAGTGGCACCTGCCTCTTTTCCAACAGCTGAGCTCTGTGAGATTCATCCAAGTCAGTCAAACAAGATGATGATCCAAGTCAGTCAAACAAGATGGTATTGCTTCTTTGAATCAAGCTCTAGAGCAATACAATTAATTTGGTGTTAGTAGAATTTTAATGATTACTCTGTAGTAGATAAAACCTACTTGTAACTCAGTCATTGATAGCTAGCTAGCTAGTAGCTATAGATCAACAGCAGCACCAGCACCAGCACCAGCAGCACCAGCATGTAGTATTGGTACATGAGTCCTCAGTCAACATGCCATGTAGATTCTTAATAACAAGGCTTTTAAATTTTTACTTTTAATATTTTTACCTAAAAGTAAAATTTCATTTTTGTACAGGCTGGTTTCTCTGCGTCCTCCCACAAAAGACACACTTGGTACATTTGCGTTAAGTCTTTGAGTCTCTCACTGGTTAAATAATTGGCTACTCATTAAATACTTAAGAACACTAGGTTCTTCTGAGGACTTAACAACTTCAACTGAAGTGGAAGGTGCCATTCTCCTTTAGGAGCACCGCACCAAGGAAATGGCACCAAATTCACCCTACTCTGTTGACGAACCTTTGTGAACTTCACGATAACCAAAGCTTCCTGCATGTTGAGTTGAACCATGTCTGCTCGCAGCTACCGGTATCGGTACCATCATCAAGTATCTCGGTGCTTTACCCTAAAACGAAATAGAAACTTTAGTACTCTGGAGCGGACGGTATCCACGCTAGGCGTCTGGCACAATGCGGTTGAAAAGATACCTCCGGAAGCAATAATCCCAGGCAAGGACAACAAATGCAACAACGATCCCAAGTTGGCTGCCTTTGTAGGAGATAAAATCCTGGGAGCATCTTTTGCCAGGTGGATACAAAAGAAGCAACGAAACGTATCATCATCATCCGTCCAAGACAACGCTGATACGGATGTCTACGACCAAGGAAGTGCCAGCATACTGGCTTCCGTGGTGCTATCCAACGAATTCATGGCAGATCGATTGTCCCAAATTCTACCCAATCCAGTCCACACGGAATGGGCTCGGCAAGCCAACTTGGGACAACACAAATTGGGTACTCTGGTGGAAGCTGCCGTGGCAGCAGTAGATGATCATGCGGCTGTGGAGAATCTCGTGGAATGGCTGATTGAACAAGGACAGGAGGCAGACAAGAACCTGTTCAACCCTAAAGGAACCTTGCTGCGAATGGGTGGAAGTATCGAAGTAGACCGTCACGGAGGAACAGATCACAACCCACGCTTCTTGGCCACAGCAGTCTTTCAGAATTTTCACGTAGAAGCCACTGGCCGAACCAAAAAGATTGCCGAGCAAAGCGCTGCTTCGCAATGTTTGGTTCAAGTTAGAGATGGCGGCGTAGTCTCATTGAATTCAAAAGAAGAAGACGAACACGTTACCTTTGCATCACCCATTGCAACCGAAACGTGGACCCCGTTTGACTTTGGCGAGGAATGGTCCCTGACGCTCAAGAACGGAGAATCCATATTGGATTGGTGGCAGCGAGGAACCAACGAACCCAGGAAAGCGTTCCGAAGAGCTCTCTTTGGGCCCAAAGTATTCCCAGAATCTGTCCTTTCGGTGGACTCATGGACGCGGAGGTATGAAAGCACCTCAGAAGAAGATGATGATTCCGTTGTTGCCTCAATCGTCATTGTTTTCGATGACAAGAAGGGCGAGAATGGTACACCCAACATTGTATTCTGGAGTACTGCTCAGATTGCATCATCAGCCAACAAGGCCAGAAGCATGGCAGGGCTGGATGCCAATGCTGAGATCTCCCGCTTGGTTGGCTTCAAGACTGATGGCTGAGAAGACCATCAATCCATGCAACGACATCCTGATCGTAGACTTTGAGCTTCGTTTGAAGGGTAGCGGGGAACCACTCTGCACAGTTATAGACACCCACCATGTCCGTCATGTAGATAGTTTGGATCACAATAAACAAGCAGCAAGCAAAACTAAAGCCTCCTCTTGTCTTTGTCATCCAAAGAAATCACCAAGGATTGATGAGTGCCTGCATGTAAGTCACATGGAAGGCCAATACCCCAATGGCGACAGTCTTCTCTCCTGCTAGATCGAAACCAGTGAAGAAAGCTCGCTCCCCAGGATCAATTTCCAATGAATCGAATTGAATGGAATCGAATCGAATCATCACAGCTCGGACAAGCTGCTCCCTGCAAGCCTGCCTTGTTACTGATGTGGATGACCAAACCCACTCCCTCTGCAAAGCTCTCCGTTCTGGACAAGCACCAAGACGTGCTTGTTGGTGGTGGAGTGGATGATCTCTGGGAGGAGCTATGCATAGATAGCTGGCTGGGTCCGAGTGCGGTCAGGTACATGTAGTCCCGACTGGCTTCCGTAGATAATTTCCCTACTCTAATCCCCCCCCCTACCGTACGTTAGTGTAGGTTCTGTTGGGAATTTGCTTCCAATGCCTTGGGAGAACTGTGCGGCCATCCTGACGTCAATCTATCCAAAAGAAGAGGCGGCGATGACTGTCACTATCCGGCAGTCACACTCCCAAATCCGAAACCCTCTTCCAGGCTCTTGTTGTTGTCGTTCTTGTTGTGAAGGTAACAGTGTCTGCCATCAACACTAGCTAGTACATTTTTAAAGGATGTTGTCTATCAGGAAACTACTAGTATATTCAGGAAGGAAAATAGCTGATCAAGGCACTTCTAATGCCAGAGGTGCTCGGCTCCTGCCTTGGAAACGAGGATGTCGACCGCTTTCCACGTATTATGATTCACAGTCTGGAATGCATGTACCCGTCCATGACGAAAATGTCATCTCTGGATATCTCTCCGGTCCAGCAATGGACTATACACAAGGAAAAATGACATCCTTGGTAGCCAGTAGAAGTGGTCTTGGTGGAGTAGTCTGCTTGCCGCAAGTACAGGTTCCAGCAGAACTTTTATCCTCTCTCGACGCCATTGCTTGGCCCCAAGATTTCACTGTTTTTCTGCCTTTCACTGCACTGCATCAACAACAGCAAGGTAACAACAATCTCCAACTAATAAACAGTGTTCAGTCGAACAAGAACGTCGCCATTCTGTTTGACTATGGATCCGAGACGTCAGATACCTCTTCTGGTTCAGTGGCAGACGACATTGCCACATGTGTCGAGAATTCCATCACCACTGCACTCGTTTGCCGCGACGACGGAGATGCCATGATAATGGCCAGTGGAGTGGCACAGACTTTGGACGATACAGGAGGAGGAGACTACGTCTTTGTGGTTGGCGAACGCGGCAAGCACGGCAACGATATCTTGGAACTCTGTGAGGAATTGTCCTATTTGGACGTTCCCGGGCCCACCATGAAATCTAGGTTGGTAGTGGATATTTCCAACAATACCAACGAGGAATGCGAAGAAGCGGTGGAAGAATGTCTACTACTGGGCGTCAACAAATTTGCCATTGATGAAGATCGATTGAATTGGCTCGGCCACTTTGTACAAGCTCAGGGCAAGAGTTGCACCTTTCAATTTGACTAACAACAGGAGACGACGTCGTTGCAGCAATTCTAGCTTGCCGCCGTAGAGATTGGCTATTGATCTGGTTGTAAAGCTGCGATTCTATTCATTGATTTATTCTAAAGGAAACCACAGGAGGACGTTCCTTGGTCTCCTGCTACGTGCTAGCTAGTCATCATTATTACCAACGGCAATCATCCTCCTAAACCTCGTCCAAAGCCATTGCCAATGCTCCACTCTCAGGATCACGTGTGCGGGCCTGAACAAAGTAGTTTTGCCCTTCCAGAACTTGATCGACGGCCTTTCCAGCATCCAAAGTGACGCGCCATTCATGATGGGCCCCTTTCTTCAGCTCCACAATCACATCAAAGCATGGTGGACCTGCCCGTTGATCTTTCAACTTCTGGATGTTTCCCGCCTTTTTGGATCCCTGTTTTGCTTGCGTCACTGTCTCTATGCCTCCGATCAGCCCCCGAAGCTCTGGATTCTTGATCACCTTGCGGAGGTCGCCATGCGCCGAGGCAATCAGTCGAACTCCTCGTTGTTTGCATATCCGAGCTGCTTCCACTTCCGTGGGCCTACTAATCTCATCAATTACCATGACCTCGGGTGTGTGATTCTGGGGCGCAGTGGAAAGGAGGTGAGTGAATCGAATCTAGTAGACAGGACCATGATTGGTAGCTTGTCAAATGCCGTCCGCCATCGCATCCCATTTAGAGCTGTCGCTTGCTTACCTGTACACATTCGATCATGACGTCGCTTTGCTTGTCGAGGCTTGGCACCATCACGCGGCGGGCTTGGCCAATACACGGGTGAGGAATGTCCCCATCACCGGCTATTTCATTGCTCGTGTCCACCACGCAGACATTGAATCGTTCCGCCAGTTGTCGTGTCACGTCGCGCAGCACGGTTGTCGAACCCGATCCGGCCTCTCCCAGAAACAGTATCGACTTGGTTGGGTCATTAAGGAGCAAGTCCGAGATCATGGCTGCATTGCCAGTGACATGACGTCCGACTCGGAGCGTCAGACCAATAATGTCATCTTGTCGGTTGCGAATGGCTGCGACACGATGCAGTTGCCGCTCCAGCCCTGCCCGATTGTCGCTTCCAAAACCACCTACTAGCTGTTCCACAACCCCTTGGATATCTTGCGCGCTCACCAGACGATTTTCGTCGGATCCAAGGTGGATCCGTTTCCCGTCCACCCATGCCAGAGGTTGCCGGCCTTTGTCGAGATTGATATCGCACAGGCGGTCCGTTTGCCCATCCAGGGTTGCGCGCAAATCCGGTGGCAGCATTTCTAGCAGAACGTGACTGTCATCGGATACCACCAACGGGACCGGCTTTTGCATGTTTTCCGGCTCTTGTTCCTGCAGCAGCTCCAACGACGCCATGGCATACGACTTGGCCACATTGAAGCAAATGCGGCGTTTGCCGGTCGATAATTCCGTGGCAGCCTGATGAGCTCGTCGATCCGATGCACGTTGAATGGTGCTTCGTAAGGGCCCCGCCAGCTCGTTCAGGATGCGTTCTTTTGCTTTCATGAGAAGACTCACATCCAGAGCGGCATACTTTAACACATCCGGTGCCAATGGTCGTACCGAAAAGAGTCGGCCTTGGTTGATTCTCTCCCTGTTGAATTGCTGCTTGAGCGGATGACTCTCCTGATCAAAGTGGTCCAACATATGGTTGAACCCGGTGATGACTTTTCCCGAAAGTGCTTCCATGACTAGTTGTGTGTCCAAACAACCGTGTAGGTTCTTCACTCCACCAATGCGCGACAGGGCGAACGCATCATTGTGAAGATCATGAAACAGCTTGGTAATACCCGTGCATGTCAGCAGAGGAGTAAGAGCCTTGCATACCGCTTCGGCTCCTAGATTGACACAATCAAACAGGTATGCTCCATTCTTGGCAGTGCCAACTTGGATTAGGAAAAGATTGTCTGGTACTCCTTCGCAGTCTACCGCCACGACACAATCGTCTTCTTCTTCTTGGCTGGTGGCTCCTCCGCTAAAGGGGAACGTCGCGCACACTTGGTCTAATTTGTCCGTGGTATCAATCAGATGAATCAGATGCAACGAGTCAGCCGAAGACGCTTCCATGGGGACGGGCGTCTCCGTGGCGGACGGTTCTTGGCGAAGGATGGTAGAAATGGCAGCGCTATGCCACTGGATGTCTCTATTGGTACCACTGACACAGCCGATTCTCTTGAATTCATTCAGGACACGTCGAATGACTTCGGTCCGTTGTACACCAATTTTTTTGCTAATGTCAATGCCACTCAACAGCCACGTGGATATGGTGGGTGTGGCTCTGGACAAGGGGAGCACGGCCGCCTTGAGATCCTTTTGGTTGGTCGGAAAGGAATTCTGTGGGAACTTGGCGGCAAGCAGTTGGAGTAGTTCGGCGGCTCCAGGTCTTGGGGATGAGCCATTCGTAGTGATGGCTGGAATCGTCGTGACGGGCAAGGCTGGTGTCGCAGCGGCAGAGGAGTAGTCATCGTCTGGAAAGATCATGTCGCGACCTTCGATTCTTCGGACGCAAACACCGTCTATGTGGGACAAGAACTGAGGAAGGGGGATAAAGTCTTTCCCCGCTTTTTTGGCTTCACTGAAGACAAAGCCAAGATTGCAATTCTTTTTCAGTTGGTTCAGTGTCAATCCCTCTGGATGTTCTGCCAAAAGACTAATGATCTTGGGATACCCCGTCGTGTTGACAAACTTTGTTGCGATACTCTGGATGACTCGAAGGAGCTCCTGATCTTCCTCGGCGGCGCTGCTGCTGTTGACGGATGTGACGCTGGTGCCATCTTCATCTAGACAATCATCAACCATTGTCTTCTTGTTGGTCATTGTGGCCCTTGGTCGGTTGTTGCCGATGTGCTGATGTTGTGTGCTGTTACTGGAGTACTATGGTCATTGTGTGGGTGGCGAGACAAGGATTCATTCAAGAGAAGGGTGGTGAAGTCGTTGAAATTGCGTGTCAATGCTCCACTGAATTCCAGAGGCCGTACGGTACTACCACTGTACTACCAGTAGTACGCTGTACTGTACAATCGTTTCGTTCGAGACCGTCAACCCACCCAAATCAATCTAAAATCAACCAAAAATATATTTTTCCAAATTGTTATGCAAATTCCTACCTATTAAATCATTCAAACTCCTTGTTGTCTTCCCAGACTCAAGGTAGAAGTAAGTACTAATTACGAAGCTTCTACATACATGTACAGGCTTCCAGTTGCAGCCTTGAGAGTACAAATAAATGAAATTTGCATTGGTGGGTGTCCATTAAATTTTCGTCAAAATTGATCAATTCAACGTTTCCAAGACGTCACGTTGACTGACCGAGACAGCAGACACAGATGACACGACAGTTTTATCAGTAACTGGTCCCTACTGGCTAGCTGGCTAGTTACAGCTCCAGTTACACGACACGAACAGTACCGGTACTATAGTCTAGATGTTGAACCGGTATTGTACTGTGAACCGTTTCCACTATTACCATCTAGTAATTAGTACCAGCAGCCTTCTAGTCAGATAGGTGACAGGTTAGGGTAAAGCAAAAAATTAATTCATGTTTTATTTACCGCATATACCTGAATTCAAAGACAGTCTTCCGGGGGAACAAGCCTTAAAACTGAGTTAGCTGGCATTGTGCCTCCCTGATGACATGATGGCTGCAAATAATTGCAAACTTCGCCGGGTCATTATTCAGATTTAATGTAGATCCATCTTTAATCCTCTCTGACGTGTATGATCGAAAAGATTTAAAGTAAATGCAGTATCTTTTTACGACAGTTGGCAGCACTTTTTTGGCACCATCTTCAAGACTTGGAAGACCCATCGACGATCGACGGTATCGGCAGACTGTCACTCCAACAGCTGTGTTTCCGCCTACTGTACTCTACTCATTAGCAACGACTCAAGCTATTGGCCCTGACTTTATCCTCTTCTGAAAGGTCTTTGTACTTGGCTTTTGGTTGTTTCGGCGCTGTCGTTTCCTTCAACAAAACAAATCGATTGGCTCTTTGGAATCGAAGCTCTGCTCTTCTGATTTCACTCTCCACGCTACGGGACCGTATCAATCCATCCAGTCCATCCAGTCCATCCATCCAGTCAGTACTATCAAGTCAATTACACAACAATGTCATTTGAAAAAGGCGGCACATGTGTATTGGCATGGAAGAAACGTGATGGTTTAATGGGTCGACTCGCCGGCAAACAACGGAAATGGGAACAACGATGGATTGTCTTGGCAGACAATTCGATCCTGTACTACAGCATGGGCGACGAAGACAAGTTTGGAGAAGCCGACTTTGAAGCCCGGGGCAAGATTGACTTGACCCAAGGCACGTGTCGTGTCGAAGTCCAGAGTCAACCATCGCCCGATGCGCCCACACAGAATGAAGTCGAAATCATTTCCGAATTTACGCCGCCGCCTCCTGTTCCAACTACTACAAATAGTGCTACTACTGCTGGACCACCACCCAATAATATGAAACCCCCCAAACCGGTCGTGACGCGATGGAAATTGTGTTTTGAAACGCAACAATCGTTGGTCGAATTCCTCGAAAAAGCACATGCCGCGTTGGAAGACACGGGACAATTGAAAGAAAAGGATGCGTCTCGATTTGAACATGAATTCCAACCGGCCGATCACATTTATCGATGGGAAATGATTGTCTGTCCACCCGTCATTTATCCCATTCAAATTCATGGAATTGTACTGGAAGGTAAGAAAAAGACAAGAATGAAAGACAAGGTCGAATTGGTTGGTTGGTTTTTCTTTTTTGTCTTTTTTGATCTCATCCTGATCTCTTTTTTCAACCTTCTACTTTTACTATTCATTTTCATCTCATCATCATATCAATAGCCGGCCGCAACTGCGTGGTAGTGGCCGATTTTGGATTGACGGGATACGGCAAAAAGAGTGCCGACGATGATTTTCATCATCACGAAGATCAAACGCACAATCGAGTCGTGGCCGCATTCAAAAAGTTACGGCCTCATTCCGATCAACGATTGCATATTACGACGCTTACCGATCCCATGGATATTCGCAAATGGACCAAAGCGCATTACGATGAACATTCCTTTCAAGCGCCAAGTTCGTTGCGGAAACTCAACAAATTGACATCCATGTTTACAAAGGCCATTCCCAAAGCCAATATGAAATTGCAGGATGAAATTGTTGAGGAAGGACAACAACAACAACAACCTGTCATTGAAGAACAAGCAAGTCACGATGCCCAGGACAATTTTAGCAAATTTGGCGCAGACGATGAAAACGCAGGAGAACACGACAACAATGAATCGACAACCACTGAAGATAGTACACGACAACGCGCATTTTCCGAAGAATATTCCAAACAACGACAAGAAGAACATCCACTCCCCAAAGCCGATCCAAAAGATATTGTACTCTCACGCGCCAACTTTATACTCGAATTTGGGGAAGAAAAGTTACCACCCTATCACGTATTCTTTTCCAATTCTGAATGCATTGCCGTTTGGTGCAAGACGGGACGATGGAGTACACTCCAAACGGCTGTATTCTTGTCCACCAATGCCGTCGGCAGTGCCAAATCGGCCACAGTGGCCACGTTGGGGGTGGCGGCGGCTCATGCCATTTTGGCACCCGTCGTGGCCGTCGGTGGACTACTTTGGGTATCGGCACCCATGGTGGTGTTGAAAAAATCACAAGAACGATGGCAAATCAATACACAATACATGACGGATCTATACTGGCAATGGGCACCTCCTTCGGTTTTTGTGTGTGCCATTGAACACTGGAGTGAAGTGGGATATACCACACAAGAAGCCAAAAAACGAGCATTGGCAGAAGCCGCCGCACAAGCCGAACGACAACGACTAGAGGAACCCAAGAAAGTGGTGGAGATTAAAAAGTACTCGAGTGAAGAAATCCTACGACGGAAAAATTTGCAACCAACAACAGAGCAACACAATGGCAACAGCAACAACAACACGAATGATGACAAGGAAGTTCCAAGCAATACTGTGGACGCAGCCAAGGCCGAGCCCATGGGAGCTGTAGTGGCCGCCGAGTCCTAACGCAGACGGAGGATGCAACCAAGCCGTATGATGTAGACATGGCGTTTGATGATGATCCTGGGAGAAGCAGGAAAACGCATTACAAGCATTACACACCTGAGTAGACTGGTTGGTTGTTGACTGTCAATGCTATGGCTAATAGTGAGGCTGCAACTAGTAGAGTAACTACAAACTATTTAATATAATAATCAAAGTCAAACTCATTGTCGACTCTATCATATACTCCACCTGCCACATTGGCCGCTCCATAATTTGAGCTGCACAATGTTGGCCACAGCATGGCCATCTTACCATGTTTTCAAGGGAATGGCGCCACCTCTGAAGGAGGCAGCCCCATTCCTTCAGCCTTCTATTGACACATTCGTGCCTGCCCTTGCAAGAGACTTCCTGGTAGTCTGCTGTTGATTGTCAAGGTGTCGCCATGGCAGTCAAAGTACTGAGGATACCCCTGTACCCTTTGTCAGCCACAGCTCTCTCATCTCCCTCAAACATGTGGACCAAAGATGACAAAGAAATGGCAATATCAACCATTCACCACAAGGGAAGGCCATTGATCCACACAATCCATCCAGTCTGAATACAAACACCAATTTCATACCTCAGTCCAGGACCATTGAACTTCTTGGTAAACCAACCAGTTGAGAAAGGACCTGGTTCCCTGATGGAAAGTCAGTGCCATCAACAGTCACCAGACACCGACTGCCGTTGTCATTCATCCGTCGGTACTCCCATCTGATCTTGAGGAGTGGTGTTGGATGCAACATGTACATGGTGAGGCTCTCTGTTGATGAAGACGGCGATTGATAAAAGTGAAGAAGAAAGCTTGCTCATGGCTCACCAAGTCCAAGCTCGCGATCTTCTCAATGAACACCCACACCCAGTGCCGAATCGTCTTTTCATCCTTCATAAAGATCATGGCCAATACAGCTGTGACAGTGTATGTCCTGAGGAACATGAGTGTGGCCAGGAAGTAGGATACCCAGCGAATGTCACTCAGAGGATCTTCATCGTCCAGCATGTTCCCCAGTTCTGCCGCAAGATGAGGAGCCACACCAAAACAGCCACGAAAGTCCGTGATAGCGATACCGTCTGGTTGACTGCTCTTGCTGTAGCCCTTGGTAGTGGAAGCTGTTCTGATAATTGTGTCAGCTGTGATCTGCATTGTTGAAGTCAATTTTGTGAGAATTTCGAAACTCCAGAGACGAAACTGAAGATAATAATCCAGTTAGTCATGTCCGGCTTACCTGTAGCGCTCTGTACAATCCAGTAGGCGGTGACCATTGTCAACCTTGTAAGACCAAATTGAGATGCTGGAGATGGCGGTACCGGCAGAAAGAGATGCACAAAAAGAGATGGTGTCATGGTGGAAGATGGTTGAAGATGCAAGGTAACGAAAAGTGTCACTTTCAGTAGTGGCTGACTCCTTTGCTCCGCTTTGCTCCGAATCCTGCTTTGCTTAAGAGAGGACTGCCGGGCGTTCTGTATTTATGTGCTTCCATTTGGCGCAATTATTCAAATTGTCTACATGTTTTTGGTCACAATTTTGTCTAGAATAATGGGGTTTTACTGTGGCAAGCTGGACCTTTCATCGCCTAAGAAAATCGCCCCATTCTACCAGAACGTCCAGGGGACATGTGATATGTCGATAACACACCTAGGAGGAAGTGTCTAGCTAATAGAGGATGCTGTAGTATACTTCTGACAACTAGATGAACCCCGGCACCATGATAGGCTACTGTTGAACAGTCTAGAATGCCGGTGGAAACAGCGATATGGAACGTCATGACGCCCTGATCGCCTGTTTCAGGAGGCGATCTAGAAACCTAAGACCTCCTTCTAGCCAAAGAAGGCTCAGGTGCACTGTCTATTACTAGTAAAGAAGGGAGCCCCTGGTTGATCAGGCTGGTCCTTGTAGTGTTCCATATCGCCCCTCCAAGTTGTCGATATGTGTGTGGGGCCATTCTGTGATGGCATAGCACGCCCTCAGAACGCCCTTGCAAAATGAGGTCAAATTGTGAGAAACAATTGATTCATTTGTGGAACCAACGGTTGGAATCGAGTTGGCCAAGCAAGCAGCGCGCCATTCACATGCTGAGAGGCAAGAAAAATCGCGAACTGTTATAATGACCATGTGAACCATATGACTCTAAGCCTTCCGGTGAACCACATGCGTCTGAAATTTTATTCCCAGCAACTCGCTCACCTGGCAAGATTGATCTTGCCGGTATTGACAAGCGAACACAAAACTGCACAGGTGTGGCTTTCCAGCCACTATCAGTAGTAAACTAGCTAGCTAGCTAGCATCCTTCAAGATGGCGCTCTTCCTCTCTTCCTTTTTCCTCTCACAAATCGAAACACAACCACAACAAAACAAGCAATTGGCCAAGCAAGAAGCGACCATGTCCTCGAGAAAGAGTCTGGCAAAGAAAGGGGAACCTGTGAAGCACATCTTCAAGCAGGATGGAAGTGACTTCAAATTCCTACTTCGCTTGTTCCAAACTGGCGCCATCACTGATGAACTCCCTGCTGCTGTGAGAGCCATGCATGAGCGCTTTCAGAAGTACAACACAAACCAATTTCGCTCTCAGTTCAACAAAGCAAGAGGAATGGCTGCTGGTGTTGCTCTCAGAGACCACAACCACCACAAGATGATGATGGACCACTACCCATTCTTCCCAGCTTTGTTCTCGCAACCAAGTCCCTGCCGTGGCAGCCAGGCCTCCTGCAGTTGCCACTTCCCTCCATGGCTGACAATGATGATGAGAAGCTGATGCTGATGGGGAGGATGGCCACACTACTTGGAAGCCAAAGAGGATGGTCAAGGAATGGGAGAATGAGCATGGCATTCGCCATGTCACTATCATTGTCTGGCTGAGCAGTGGCGTGACCGAAGCAGACATCGAAACCATGGTCTCTGCGAATGGCAAGAAGCTAACAATCAGTGAGAAGTGGCACCAAGACTCTTGGATATTGGGGAGTTCTATTATCTCTATCACAACACACAAAGGAAAACCTAGAGGATACCAATGTCAGGCGCCATGCCATGCAGCAGTATGTCAGGTCCATCCTTGATGTCAGGGGTGATGTCATTTCAGAGTTCACCATGGAGCTCCCATTTCCAGTTGATCCCTCTACCCTGAATGTGACTTTCCCCAGCTTCGAGTCTGGTGCATTGTTCTGCACATTGACTTGGCTGAAAAGAGGAAGAAGAGGGTAGCTCAATCCTTTGTCATGAGGAAGAGGCAGGCCAAGGGCAAGAAGAAGGGTGATATTGAATACAACAACCTACCCCACACTAGACAAACTCAACAACAGCCATGGCTTTGATGTGTGTTAGGCACACTGTAAACAACTACAACAACAACCAATCTAGGAGCAACCTGTTGAGTGCTCATGTAATCAACCAAAAAGGGTAGCTTGTTGAATGCCCTTATAAAATAGTACTTGCATGTAGTGTGTAATGGCTTGTGTAGTAGTGTAATGCGTTTTCCTGCTCCTCCCTGTGGATGGAACTGCAGCTCGCACTTAGCACAGTATGAAGTGGGGGGCACCGTTGCTACCGGTAGCCACTAGACCCCTCGACTTCCCGTGGGTTGCATACCACAGCAAACCATTAGATAATGAGTTCTGGCGGTTTCTGCTTGCAATCACTATAGCTAGCTGCTAGTTGACTACCTAGTTGGTTAGGAGACAATTTCCACGAGCAAAATACAGTAGAGCAACGATTAGAACGAAAGAATGATATCATAGCCCACAATTACATGAAGAATCGTTCTGCTTTTCTGTTTGCGCGTAACCTCTAGCTAGAACTACCACCAAGGTTATTAATATTGCCATTGTTGACTGTTGTTTCTTTCTTCTCGTTCCATAGTCTAATTCCTATGTCGCCTTGTCTTTTTTGGATGTACTCTTGTTGTTCTTGTTTCGTTGTTTGGTACCACTGACATTGATCCCATACCCAAACCGATTCAAAAAGAACTGAGTAAATAACAAAAAGTAACTGACATACATGACCAAAATCCCGGAATTGTTTTCAAATTTGGCCCAGCATTCTTCCTTGTGGACCAGTGAAAATGCCCAGAGACTGATCACGGTGCCCACCACCATTTGTGTGATTTGAGCAATGGTGATCCATTGCGGTCGGAACCATTTGGGTTTGCATTTGATGGCCATCAAAAAGTAGTAAAAGTACATGACAAAATGGACCCCAAAGTTGACGGTAGTATAGATGATTCCGGCGGGACTGTGGGTGACGAGCGTATGCCAACTGGCCAAAAGGACGGATGCATGATGGTACCAGTGAAGGAGAATTAACTGTTTCTTGTGGACCACAATGAAAAAGGTGTCGAAGAGTTCTCTGTATGTAAGTTTCCAGGGCGAAGATTGTCGTGTGTGTGTGTTTGTGCGTGATTGGGGATGCCGCATCGGTAGGATAGGAAGGAGCACACGGTTGGTGAGACATAGAAAACATCATCTTCTCCAGCATCCTACGTGTATCATGCAACACTTACGGAATTTTGGAGAGTACAAAGAAGAGGACCCATACACCGGTAATGGACTGCCCCAGTGAATTTTCGGGATCATTACAGAGCGTGGCCTCGAATCCGTAGGTGCCAATATTGTGCAGGACAAAGGGAAGACATCGAATGAATCCAAAAAAGGAAAAGACCGACAAGAGCAGATTCCATGCCGCCATTGGTCCCTTCAAATTCCATGCCGGACGCGTCTCAAAGTACTTTTGTCCATAGTGAATGCCCGCCAAGTAGAGCGCCACACAGGCAAAGGGAACCCAGTGGTGTGTGTGGCAAAAGTCGTACAGAAATGCCGGTCGAAAGGTGTATTCGAATCTAATAAAAGAAGACACAACCGTGAGCGCGTGAGGCCACCAATGCTGCACTGCCTTTGATCAGACAACACGCCCAACAAACTCACGGAAAGTAGAATTTCTTAGCCCAAGGATAGATGCAATAGATCTCTTCAAACTCCTTCCCATCGCGAGTAAACTCCACGCAGGAGCGATCTGCTACAGCAGGATGCCAGCCCATGGTTGGTTGATTGCTCTGTTGTTTGTTCGTTGGTGGAAAAATAATGAGAGATGATGAATGAATGAGTGTTGTCGGGTACGTGGCCAATGCGCACCTCCTAGCGCCAAGACGGTCGAGTAAAAGCAATTTTGTTGAACAGATCTGTGATCGGGAAGCTAGAAAGTGATATGAAGCAGGGCGTTACTGCTCTGCCCACGTAATGATCGGTTAAAGTAAAATTTAATGTATGCATAGCTAATAGAAAGGGGTCAAGTGGGAACCTTGCGGGTCGGGATGGTTTCACGAGGCTACATTATCTAGTTAGTCCAGGGACCAAGTGGTTGGGGTGGGAGCACAGTTACTCATCCTATTTTAGCAAAAAGTGACTGAACTAAACTACTGTTCCATTCAACGTAGCGACGATTCTTGCGGCATGCATGCTACCGTACTCATACTGTAAATGAATGCTGCTTCAATGCTGCGCCCCCTGCTTTATAGTGCGGCTAGCTAAAGCCTGTACCAGGGTCTCTCTGCTCATCTTGCTTTGTCCACATTCATTCCAAGCATCCGCTGCAGCATCAAGTGCGTCCAAATCGCTTGCTTTTTTTAGTCTTCTCCACAATAAACCCGTACTGGAGTCTGATCGCATTGGCCGAGCAAATCACGTTGACAAGACAAGAATGCTCCACAAAGCATACTTTGGGCAACGAAGGTTGGCCCTTTAGTGCTTCCAGGGTCGGGGTGATATCTTTGACTTGCTTAGTAGCTTTGTCTCGCACCAGGGCATGGGGTTCCAGCTCGTAGTAGTCTCCCTGGTCCCAAACGGTGTACACAAACAAAGCTTCGTAAGTGTCTGGAAGCTTCCTGACGTAGCGTCCAACATTTTGGTAACACATCGCTAGCTTTGATTCCTCCCATGGCTCCACTTTGGCGTACCCAAACTTGGCTTTTTCAGATGGAGTGCTGAGCAAGTTGTAGAGGTCCTTGGAGATTGTCGTTGCTATCTGACCAGGTGTTGTCGGCTTTTTCTTGTACCATATATCAACCACGGCTTTGTTGAACGTGATCTTGGCAAAGGTAGCAAGGACGACTCCGCATTCCTGCTTACTCACAGGCGGCTTGCCCTTGGTGGCCAATATGTGTTTCATGGTCTGGCATGTCAAGTCCAAATACAACTGATTCCACTTGCCAGGTGCATTCAAAGAGCGTGCGAATTCCTCCAAGGGCAATCCCGATTCTTCAAGGCCCCTTTTGAGATCCGCATAGATCCCCAACGTGGCTGTCATTGCGACGGCTGTTGCGGTTGCAAAGGAATTTGCTTGGAGCCAGTAGGCGTTGGTTGCTTTGTGACAACATCTGCATGTACTAGCTAGTGTGAACCGAAGGTACCACCAACATCTCGAGTTTTCGTGCAGTGCGTAGAGTACCGGTACGGTAGGGGCGGGGATGGACTCAACTTTAAACTCCAAACTCTAGTACTAGTACCAGGAGGTACTGACCAGCATGTCATATCAAAGCTATGCATAGCAAGGCGGTCTCAACCCCAAGAGCCCTCCAAGCATGAATCATCTGTATCATACTCGTGTACAGTACTAGTAGGCAAATGAAACTAGAATGAAGTTGTATGTGAGTCTACTGTCAAGAATTCTTCTGTGCTCATACGGTATGTTACATACGCAAAAAGGTTGAACAGGAACATTCTTTTACATGGGCCAGGGAGGTACTCTAGAGGGCGGGTGCAACAAGCAGCTAGTCATCATCCTCTTGTTCAAACATGGTGACATCCACGAGAACATTGGATCCCATGATGAGGAGTTTCTGGTCCTTGGTGGCGCCTAACGGAAACAAAATGTGGTACGCGTTCTTTTGAGTGCAACATTCATGTTTCCATCCAGCCCATAGGACATCCACTTGCGCTTTCAAGCTACCAAAGGTGGTGGCTAGTTTGTCCAATGTCTCGGGATCTCTTAGGTAGAATGGCACGCGGCAGCACTTGCCCTTTTTGCCATCACAGCGGCACTGGACACATAGACCGGCCACGCAAGTGTCGGGTCGCAGCCGGTAGATCTTGTTGTCATTGCTGTCGTAGATATCATACTTGGGGACAAAGCAGCACAAGTCGCAAACATAGAGCGTCTTTCCCACCACTTCACCGGTCTCAGCGTTGGTCGTCTCCAAATAGGGCAACGGGCAGAAATTGCAGATGGGAATGGGAAGAAGAAACGTCCAGCAGTGACCACAAGTTTGTTTCTTTTCGTGAATCGCCACAACATTGGCCGCTCGGTCGGACTCTTCCAGACCTTGGGTGATCTCACCCGTCTGACAAGTGAACCAGCCTTGATTCTCGCCCATAATGGAAGCGGGTGCTGGACCACTGTGCTGAACGTACTTGCTCTCCCGACATCCAGGAAGAATCCAGCTCCATGTACGACCACACCAAGAGGACTCCTCGTGAAGCCAACCGACGCTATCCAGAGCGTAAGGATTGGTACCTGGGGTAAAATTGTTTCCTTCGGCGACGACCCAGTTGATGGAGGGTTGGAAGCAACAGCAACGGCAACACTGAGAAGTAGATTGGGCCAAAATCAATTCATCTCGATCTCCCAATCTATCCATTGTCAAGGGACGAGGAGCCAAATCGCCAGCTGGCATGGACATGATCAAAAAGCAAAGATTCGATTTGAGGTGGTACCGGTAGAAAAGGGAGGGATCGAAAAAGAAAGCTAGAAAGCGGAAAAAGAAAAGTGAGAACGGGTGGTCTTTGGATTCGGATGCAGTCATTCAACGTTTCGACACAGAGAAAGATCCAGTGCCAGTCTTGCTTGATGAGTGACTTGATTGATTTTCCCATCTCGATTCAATCGAATCGAATTGAGATTCTCCATTGTTGGCTCTGCTGATGGCCCCCTTGGTGCCCAAGCTCAGGCACTTGCCAAACATCTGGTCCCTGTGCTGGCTGCGACTTGGTCCCACCCTTACTCTGTGGTGCATGGCTACCTTAAACACCCAGCTCACCACCTTTGGCTCCCATGCCCCTTCCCCACTCCCCATGTCCCATCCAGGTGACCAACTCTGTCCAGCTTAGCCCCCATTCGATACTAATGGTTATTTAGTCTTTAATTTCATTCTACTGTCCTCACAAGGGTTGTCTTGATGGAAAAAGTCTTGAGCCATGTCTTGTTTAGTGGAGTGAGTCCAACCCGTACTCAACTTCTTGCGTTCCCCACAAGAGCGGGGTTTGCATTGATCTCTTGACTCGAGAGAGCCAACCAAGTCAGCACCAAGACAAGCCCCAAGATGACCGGTAGTGGGCTAAAGTATAGTGGAATGGAGAACGACTTCCTCCTCCAAGAAAAGAGGTAGAGGAACATCGTGGATAGGTTGTTTCTGTTTTGGTTCGTCCCCACCGAGGGTCCGGTTTCGGTTCAATAGGAACTCCTTGAGACAGGTGTTAACGAAAACGTCGCGGGTAAAATCGGGCCACATGAGTTTGACAAACACCAGCTCGGCGAGACATGATTGGTACGGCAAGAAACCCGACGTGCGGACAGCGTCCCCCGTACGGATCAACAAATCAACGTTGGAATCCTCCGTATCTAACAATGACACCAAATCGCTTTCTGTGAAATGGCGGGTGCCAGTTGTGGTTGTTCCGTTCTGCATGGCTGCTGCCGTGACAGCCCGGTTCACAACCCGCAACAGTTCATCTCGACCGGAATAGTTCATACCGAACTGGACCAAAATCTTCGTGTTGTGTGCCGTTCGTTCTTCTATTTGTTTGGCGATCCGCCGCACACTCGGTGGGACAGCATTGCTTCCGTCGTCGTTCGCATCGTCGTCATCTTCCCAAAACCTCCCGATCAATTTCACTTTGACACCCAACGAATCCAACGGTTCCAGACTAGATTTGAGGAATCGTTCTCCGTGTCCGTGCAATAACGCGATCATTTCTTCAGGATTTCGTTTCTTCCAATTCTCCATCGATGTCAAATGAAAGGATAGCGCGCGAACACCCAATTCGATACCTGCTCTTATGGTTTCCATGATGCGTTCGGAAGCAACATTCCATACTTCGATTAGGGGAACACCGTGTTGTTTCGACCAACGCCGGTTCCCATCACACACAATCGCTATATGGGGCTTAGCTGCGCGGCAAAGATCCTTGATCTTGACCATAGTTAGCTCCTCAGTTATCTGGTCGTCGCAGTGTTGGTGGTCCTCGTTCCTCTTCATCATTTCTTCTTCTTGGTGTGTTTACTCCATTGTGTTGATGCGCATCTTTCTCTCTTTCTTTTCCTTCTTTTCCTTCTCACACACCACAACGGAGCCTCTTTCGTGCAGTAAGCTTTTACTATTGGTACGACTGTACCAGTACCGTACCGGCGCCTCCCTCGATCGCTGGCAACTGGACTATCAGATCCACCTTGTTGAAAGCGAGCGGTCAAAAGCGGTACCGGTACAGCGTACCGGTAGAAGGCGGTTAAACGCGGTAAATAAGGCGGTCAAAAACGGTAAAACGAGCGGTTGAGCGCGGTGCGGAAGAAGGTGTTTGATAGGACTATCCAACAGGCGGTCGCCAGTGGTCGAGGAAGGTGAGGGAAACAACCAGTCAATTGGAGTTGATTTGTGCCACCCCCCTGAGTACCGGTAGTATGTACTATTTTAAAATACGTACCGGTACCGGTACTCCACAGCGATACAAAATGTACCGGTAAGCAAAGGCGACTTAACAACGACTATTTACCGCGACCATCGCGACATAAGTAAGACTACTCCATGTTATTGCCAGAGTGCTCCTCAATCCGCGACTTTAGTCTAGAGAAACACTTCACCACAACCGCAACTTGAAGAGTGAAGGCCGCCCTTTAGAAACGGTATACCGGTACCGGTACAGTATCAACCCCTCATGAGGATACCGGTATACAGTATGTCCCAGCCTCTCAGACTACCAGGTACCAGTACTTTGACAGCAAACTACTAGCTAGCATTACATGTATGCATGATGAGTTCTATTCAAAAGAGAATGTCAAATTAACTACCAAGTAGTTGTTGTACCAGAGCCCCTCCTCTAGCTAGTTGCGGAACTTCTTGCCTGTGGCGGCATAGTCCTTCAACAACTGGCAAGGCTCGAATTGTGGCCCATACTTGTCGGCAAAACCATGCATCATGTCCACGTATTGAGTGACACCCACTTGGTCGAGGTAGGTGAAAGGTCCTCCACGGAATGGAGCGAAACCGGTTCCAAAGATGAGACCAATGTCACCCACTTCGGGGCTCTCAATGATTTCATCCTCCACACACTTGGCAGCCTCATTGATGAATCTAAATATTGCAGAAAAAGAGTAACGAATCGCCATTTGAGTGAGTTGATCACCAAGGTCAAGTCACACTGGAGTTGTCTGGCTGACTGAAGCCATGGACTTACCGAGAAACAAGTCGATCTTGGACTTCCTTTTCTTCCAACTTGAGGTCGTTTTCGACAAACATTTTGGCGTATTGCTTGACTTCATCGTTGATGAACTTCTTCTTGCCCTTGCCCTTGGGGTAGGTGTAGAATCCTTGTCCGGACTTTTTGCCCAACCATCCTCGGTTGACCATTTCCTGCAAGAGCGAGACATCTCCTCCCGTCATGCGCACGCCCAAGTCGGCCTCAGACAAGAAAGTTGCGACGTGACTGGCAATATCAATACCAACTTCATCTGCCAGTGTCACGGGTCCAACGGGCATGCCGAATTTGGTCATGGATTTGTCCAACATTTCCAAGGAGACACCGTCGCGGGCCAAGGCAGAAACCTACGAATGGGAACAAAAGCAAGAAATCAAGTCAGAGGACTACCCAAAAGCTCCATTTTGAATAGCAATGCAAACAAAAAGTCAACACACGTACCTCCACCAAAAAGGGTCCCAAGCAACGATTGACGTAGAATCCTGGCACGTCCTTGGTCACGATGCAAGTCTTGCCCTGCTTGGTACCAACTTCAAAGGCCGTCGCCTTGGCCGCATCACTGGTTCCCTCATGAGGGATAATCTCCAAGAGCGGCATCATGGGGACGGGTGAGAAATAGTGCATTCCAATAATGTTCTCCGGTCGTCCCGCACCCTCAGCAATTTTCGTAATGGGAATGGCCGAAGTGTTGGAGGCAAAGATGCAGTGCTCGGGAGTGACCCGTTCCATTTCCTTGACAATACGTTTCTTCAAATCCAAATCTTCAAAAACGGCTTCAATGACAACGTCCGCCTGCGAAAAGTGCTTTTCCCAGACGGGATTGTCATCCGTGAGAGGTGTGATGGAAGACGTGTTGATGTTGGCCTGATACTGTGTCATTCTCTTTTTCTGGAGCTTCTTCTTCCAAGCATCGGTGATCAACGACATGCCACGTCCAACACCGGCATCATCCCGATCCTTGAGCATGACATTGTACTTGCCCTTTTCGACCGATACTTGAGAAATTCCAGCTCCCATGAGTCCAGCCCCCATGACGGCAATATTCTTGACGGGCACGGCCGCATCGGCCCCAAAGTTGTGTTTCTTCATGGCCGTCATGCCTTCAAAGATATTAATCAATGCCGCCGATTCCGACGTGGCGGCCAATTTGGCAAATTGCTCCCGTTCATTCTTCAATCCCTTGTCGCCGGGATTTTGCAATCCGTACTCGACCGATTGCATAATGGCAAAGGGAGCGGGATAATTTCCATTGGTTTGCTTGTTGACCATTTTTTCCACTTGATTCCAAATGATTTTTCGTCCGTACTGATTGTCTTCAAGCATCTTGTTCATGGTACTCTTTTGTTTGCGTTTGGGTTTGAGTGTACCATTGGCCATTTGTCGTGCCGAATCAATGGCGACCTGTTCCAGCGATGCCGGTGCCACGACGAGATCGACCAATCCCATTTTCTTGGCTTTTGCCGGACGAATATCCTTGCCCGTGAGCATCATATCCAGCGCCGCTTGAACACCGACCAACTGGGGCAATTTTTGAGTTCCACCAAATCCGGGCAACAATCCCAGTTTGACTTCGGGCAGTCCCATTTTGGTTTTGGGCGAATCGGTACAGATGCGATAATCGCACCAGAGACACCATTCGAGTCCACCACCGAGAGCGACACCATCAATGGCCACGACTAATGGAATTTTCTTGGCACGAATCTTTTGAAACATGTTGACTCCATCTTCAATAATGGGTACCAAATCTTGTTTGTTTTCACACGCTTTAATGTCTTTAATATCGGCTCCGGCAATAAACGTCCCGGGTTTCGCGGACGCAAACACAACGGCCTTGACATTGTCATTGTGTTCAATTTCCTTGGCCCAGAGTGTTTTGGCTTCGTCAGCAACGGCAAAGGAAATGGTATTGACGGATTGATTGGCACAGTCAAAACGGATAATGGCCACGCCATCCGCGGTGATTTCCACATTGGTAAAGTTTTCGTATTGGCGTTCGGGGGTCGGGACAAATGTTTTGGGAGCTTTGGATGTTCCGGTAGTGGCTTGTTCTTCGGCCACGGCGGCGGCGGTCGACTGAAATCGTTGCTGGGCGGCAGTATTAGTACTATTAGTAAAGACGGGGGACGATGCGGTTGTTGTGGCCAGAGTGGAAAGAGAGGGAATTCCTTGTACCACGGCACGACGGGCCACGGTCATGGTGGATGCACGGGTGGCCATGGCCCGAACGGCAGCTGGTCGGCAAATCATGGTCTATATAATCTAGCTAGCTAGTAGGAAAAGAAGATGGGATTTCTCGGGATGCCGACAATACTGTAGAATGGTAATTATGAGAATGCAATGCAACGATTGATGCAAACCACTCAACCAAAACTGCAGGACTTCCTGTGATCAAAAACAAAGGATTGAATATGATTTGCATTCCGGCCAGAATATTTCCATCCATCATCATGGGATGTCAAGATGGCTTCGGTGACGCGTAATCTCTTGGCGGCTTGGATCCACGAATGATGGCAATTGCGTGGAAGGGTGGTGTCAACCTTTTCACCCCTCGGATCTTGTTGAAATTTCTTCCCACGGTGCGGTTTGACTGTCAGTCTCCACGATGCCCTCCACGGCGTTGTCCAGTTTCGCCAACCTCCACACAACCTCCACACAACACAACACAACACAACACAACGCAACACAGACGCAGAAGAAGACGAAGTACTAGGTTCAATGCACTGCACAATGCCAACACTTCACCCCCTTTGTTGTTTCTGATGATGGCCTCTTTGCTGCTAAAGCTAGTGCTGTTCTACAACTGCTCTCCCAGCTTTTGGCTCGCAAGAAGTGGTCCAAGCCCTACTCTGTGGTTCCCTCTTTCATTTCTGCAAGGTTGAGCATTGCCCTCGCTCATGCTGCTACAATGTGCCTATGAGACAGTCATGTTCCAGCTCTCAAGGTCTAAAGGCATTGGGATGATTGAGGTGCCCTTGATCTCTTCCGCTAGCTAGTCTTACTCCTTTGCTTGATCCTCCCTGGCCTCCTCCCTTGCCCACTCTCCTTCTATGGTTTTGCTGCTGTTCTGCTCGCTCACTCAGTTGTTCAGCTTGTTTTCTTGCACCCTGCCGTCCTACTCTGCAACCCATCCTATCCTCCCCATAGACCCCTCTAACCCATAGTAACATCTTCCAACACACAAGCAACACGCACTAAATGTGCTTCCTGCCACAGCCAGTAAAGCCAAAGCAATCGAAACATGGCTGGTGCTCCTTTAACTGCAACTTTTGTGGTAGCAGCTATCTAGCTAGGGACCAGCACTGGATTATTGGCAAGCCTTGTTTCAGGGATTCGATTCTGGTGGCTAGTAAGGACATTTAAAAATATTATCCAAACCATCGCTAGATTCGTAGTAGAATCTATGAATAATAATAACTGACACATTTACAAGATTAACTTTTGAACTACCAGTAGCTGATCTCAAGAAGCAAAGCATTAGCATCGACACACTCTATTCACAGGCCACAACAAGAACACAATTACCCAGTATCAGCCATGGAAGCAACCAGTCAAAGACATGGCTAATAGTATCAGTGCCCGATGCATAGCGCAACCTCATCTTCACTTTCTAGTAGCCTTCTTCGTGGAAGTCTTGCCCAATCTCCTTCCAGGTGGGGAGGCTCCAGTACGGTCGACAATGACAGCTGGCCCATCTTCACTATCTTCGCCTGGCAACATACTTTCATCAAAACTGACATCAGTGTCGACAGGTGGAGAAGTGTCAACCGGTGGAGAAGTGTCGATAGTTAAATCATCGTCGAGTATCGGTAACCCAATCAAATCATCAGTGCCAAACTCAAAATCAAAAAAGACAGCCTCAGAGCAGCTCAGCGTCATTTCGTCATCAGGGCCAGTGATGTTTCTGGCAATAATCTCAGCAAAAACATACTCGGTTGTATTGTCGATAAATGCAAGGCAACCAAAATTGTAAAGAGAGCTGGATCTGCAGCTGGTAGAGCGACTTCCATCTGCAGCAACTTCAGAAACCACCAAATCCAATTCCACATTACTAGCAGCCTCTAGGGAACAGTTCAAGTCCATGCCAGCCACATCCGTCAAATAGAACACCTTGCCTTCGCCCACAAAATCAGCTTCAAAGGATGCATCAAGAAGAAAGAATGGCATCCTGGGTCCAGTCAAGTCTTCAGAAGAAAGTGTAACAGGAACATCAAGCTCCAGTTGATCCAAAGGAACTGTGTCACACAGAAGATCGATATCTTTGGAGCTGACCCATTCCTGCAGGGCCACTTGGAATGTTGTGCCTGCATATGCCCATGGCCAGATGAGGGTGTTGTTTGAGAAGATATCTGCCTGACTGATGACTTTGGTGTAGTTTAGCACAATTGGAGTCATGGCCAGGTCAACATCAGTCTCACCCCCCTCAATCACAACAGTCTCACAGAAAACATCACTGAGTTCATCGGCTACTTCAAACTCAAAGAACAGAACATCACCAGCTTCAACTGCCAAGGGTGTAGGGATGCCTAGCGCCAGGGGTGCTGGAGCCACCATTGTAGCTGTGCATATAAAAGCAACATCATCCTGGGGTGGGTCGCTTACTGCAAGGACTTCAAAGAAGAAAGAGTCGTTATAAAACATGCCCATAGGAAAGGGTCCAGTCGCAAGAATTTGAATTCCCCTTTGGTCCATCAGTTCATCTTCAAACACCAACCCAATGACCAGAGACGCATCATTTTCAAATGCCTCTGGTTTTGTGACCTCACAGACAACTTCCGCCGGTGTCTCAAAACTGGATAAGTCGAATGTGTACATGTCACCTATATCCATCACCAATGGTACGGGTTCTCCGAGCTCGAGCTCCACAACAGGACCAGCCCAGCACCTTAGGCGGAAATCATCAACAGCACTCAAACGGAAATTGTTGACCTCAACAATAATGGTTGAGGTTTCATTGACAATCACGTAGCACTCTTCATCAGAGTCAGGCCCGGTTGAAAAACAGAGGTTGCCCAGATCGGAAAGGCTGTACATGACAAGATCAAGGTCTTTGTCCTCAGTGTCCACTGCGGCGCTTACAACGCAATAGGCCCTTGAGGGTCCTTCCACTTCAATTTTTAAGTATGCAGTCTCTCCCTCCGCAATAGTCATGTTGGGCCCGATAACCCCCAAAACCACGTCTTCAACAGGACTCGAATCACATCGCAGGATGAGATCCCCTTCTATTGCCGTCTTATTTTCATCAGAGTAGGGATAAATCCCAATGTAAAGAGTGGCCGGGGCATCAGTAATGGTCCTGCATGATTCATCGGATCCATCTGCTGCTGAATCGCACTCGCCAATCTCATCACCACGAACCTCAAGTAGGTTGTACATGCTCAATTCAAGGTCACCTTCGACACCACCAGTATCTGGAACAGTAGTTGTGCATTGGACGCTCTCAAGATCTTGAGGAGAATAAGATAATCCAATGAGTTCTCTCCCGTCAAAGGTGAGAGTGATATCCTCTCCCAGAGTCAGCTCAACGGCGGGGCGTGCAGTGCACAAAAGCACCACATCAGAGCTTTCGAGAAACGCATTAACAGTCACCAAAAGAGCTTCTCCTGGTTGGAAGAGTGTAAAGCACTCTTCATTCGAATCAGCACCGACTGAAAAACATTCGGCATCAAGAGTATCTTCATACTCGGTCAAAAGGTCTGCATCGCCAGAACCTGAAGAAAGTCAAGGAAGAAGAATTGGAGAAAGAACAAAGAATTGGTAAACCGCTATCAGGGCAACGGATCAAGACAATACTGTGCCTTGGATCAAGACTATACTGTGCCGCAGCCAGAGGGCTGGAGTAACTTCTTGTGTAACCTTCCTCAGTCGCAGCCGAGGTCGATTTCACCAACCTACCTTCGGGGCCTGTGGTAATACAGGTGAGAGCCGTGTCTTCTTCGGGGGCAGGGACCCTGTAGGTGATTTCTTCACCCTCAAACATGGGAGAAGGCAATGTTATGGGTTCTCCCAAGATAAGATCACCAACAACCTTGGGTTGCCCCCCAACGCTAGCCTGCTTCACAGACTTTCCAGGGGCCACAAACTTTTTGTGGAGCCCTTGGGATGCTTTTTTCGCCTCCTTTGCCTTTTTGATTCCACCACTACTACTTTTCTTGCCGAGCAAACTATCCGGTGATGAGGACGCAGTCCAAATGAGCTGTGCCACCAACAAGAGAGAGGCGGGAAGCTGCATGGTTGTTCTATTCTTCTTTAACAATTAAAAAGAATCTAATCTGTAGCAATGGAGAGGATCTGGTTAGACACAACGAATACAGTAGCCCAAGACGACGACAAAGCCAGGCCAAGAAGAGCTTCAACGTTTGTGGTGGCAGTCGCTCATCCATAATCCATACTCCCTCCCTTTAGAAGCAATTGCTTGGGTCAAATCCTTTTCGGTTGCCGGTGGTACCCTCTGCCAAAGATACCATCAGCCAGCCAGTTCCAACCACTATTTGATACCAAGGGAGTGACTACCACGGCATGATGATTTGGGCATAACTGGCCCATTTTATGCAACGGAAGAAAGCAACGGTTTCATGGGAATGATCGCAATTTCTTCCCACGCTGCGGTTTCAGTCTCCACGGTGCCCTCCACGGCGTCGTCCAGTTCCCAAACACAGGACAGCCATCAAACCAAAAGAGACGTCGAGTCTGGTTTGTAGATGCTTCTGCTGTCAGCGACACTACTGTACCAATGGCAATGCAAAAGCTGTAATGATCCAGACCCTTGCCAACCAATCAAAGAGGGTCAACTTGGAATAAAGTTGCCTGTGCCTACCGCATGCTTTTTGTACATGTAGGTTGTAATTTATATTTTGCATTCTTTTTATAAATTAAATAGTGGCTTTGTGACCATGCATGGGTTCCTTGTTGGCCGCACATCTATCCAGCCAGCCAGCCAGAAGTACAAATAAACTACACGTAGTAGATAATTGAGAATCGATACTAACAATGTGCTTATACTCCAAGATGTATGCATCAGGGTGGAATCTGGGGGTTGGTTTGTTCTGTTATACCGGTACGGTACCGGTACGTAGCCAGGACCTGACAGCTATTGGTACTTGAAATGGAAAAGCATGATGATTGTCCGTGTGTGTGTATGTGCATGTGTTTGCATATCCAAGTAAGAGCTGCTTCTCCAAGCTCTGTACCTGATCTTCCATAATCAAATAATAGTAGCGTAGCCAACGTCCACGGAAAAGACAACATGCAATCCTTTGTCATATTGTAGATTGTCGAAATCCAATCGCTCAGGCTGTTTGAGCCATTGTACCGTATCAATCATCGTATAAGCGGCGATATCAACAGCTGTGTCGACGACGGTATCCCCCCATTGTGGGACTGACAGTAGCAATCCTCGACTTGGAAAGCAAAAACCACTGCAGCCGAGATCCACATCCATAATCACTGACACTTCTGTTGGGTTCATCGTGTTCCTGCATGGTCAAGCCATCAGTAGTTTCTTCACTTTCTTCCACAATGCCAATCACTTGAAGTTGCAAACGCTGTCGAGGAGCAACCAGCAGCTCTGGCAGTCTCCAGGAGCAAAGCATTGTCCGTCATGTAATATCCTCTGGAATACAACTCGGAATCGGTACTCGGAGGGATCAAGATATTAAATGGTGAAGTGTAACAGGGTAGGATATCGACCAAGCAATACAAAGAATGCACTTAGCACTTGTGGGTTGCAAAGAGTCTTGACACTACTGTTATCCACAAGCGTTCCCACCAGTAACAGCAGAGCAAAAACGAGCGAACAAATGAATTCAATAGGTGCGTTTGTGATGGCGGCATCTTTCTACACACACATTGTTTCAATGCCGTACCTCTGGCAATGCAAAAAAGTCATCCATCACTTAGTTAGCCCGCCACGCAAACCACATCTAACGCCCTGGCAGTTGAGCTGACTGAACCCCAGAAAAGAGACAAAGATAGCAACAAGAAAGCTTCCACTGTACATCATGGTTCCATACTTTGTGTGTGCGCTTGGTTGGGTGTTGGTAATGACGGAGAAACTGACTGACAAAACGATAAAACAAAGTCGAGCCGTGAGTGGAATGCCGCGCACTCTCTTGTGGCGGCAACTCTTTCGCTGGAACCCTGCAGAGCTGGCCGAAAATGAACAAATTTCGTCCCACCCCGCTAGTCTAGTCTCGCCACACCATCGTCCACAACTGACCTGCACTAAATGTGTTGCCACAGCCAGCAGTGTCAATTCGAAACATGGTGCTCCTCTAACCGCAACTGTGGTAGCAGCTATCTAGCTAGCTAGGGACCAGCACCGGTTTATTGGCAAGCCTTTGTTTCTGGGATTCGACTCTGGTGGCGGTTGCGATGGCTGCCTGCCAGGAGAATACAAGCAAGGCAGCCGTTGCGTAGAAGCCAGACTACCAGTAAAAAGGACATTAAATTTCATGCAAACCATCACTCTATTCATCGGTCTAACTTTTGAGCTACCAGTACTGTAGCGGATCTCAAGATTTAAAGCATTTTAAAATAACATCAACACATTTTATTCAAAGGCCACAACAAAGCACACACTTAACCAGTATCGGCCATCCAAGCAATCACTCAAAGACATGGCTGGTATCAGTGCCAGATACATAGCGCAACTTCATCTCCACCTTCTAATAGCCTTCTTTGTGGAAGTCATCCAGGGAGAAGCTTTGGCCCAATCTCCTTCCAGGTGGAGAGGCTCCAGTACGTTCCACATCGACAGCTGACCCATCTTCGCTATCTTCACCTGGCAACATACTTTCATCAAAGCTAACAGGTGCATCAGCGTCGACTGGTGCATCAGTGCCAAACTCAAAATCAAAAAAGACAGCCTCAGAGCAGCTCAGCGTCATTTCGTTATCAGGGCCAGTGATGTTTCTGGCAATAATCTCAGCAAAAACATACTCGGTTGTATTGCTGAGAAATGCAAGGCAACCAACATTGTAAAGAGAGCTGGATCCACAGCTTATAGAGCGACTTCCATCGGCAGCAACTTCAGAAACCACCAAATCCAATTCCACATTACTAGCAGCCTCTAGGGAACAGTTCAAGTCCATGCCAGCCACATCCGTCAAATAGAACACCTTGCCTTCGCCCACAAAATCAGCTTCAAAGGATGCATCAAGAAGAAAGAATGGCATCCTGGGTCCAGTCAAGTCTTCAGAAGAAAGTGTAACAGGAACATCAAGCTCCAGTTGATCCAAAGGAACTGTGTCACACAGCAGGTCGATATCTTTGGAGCTGTCCCATTCCTGCAGGGCCACTTGGAATGTTGTGCCTGCATATGCCCATGGCCAGATGAGGGTGTTGTTTGAGAAGATATCTGCCTGACTGAGGACTTTGGTGTAGTTTAGCACAATTGGAGTCATGGCCAGGTCAACATCAGTCTCATTCCCCTCAATCACAACCGTCTCACAGAAAACATCACTGGGTCCGTCAGGTACTTCAAACTCAAAGAAGAAGACATCACCGTCTTCAACTGCCAAGGGTGTAGGGATGCCCAGCGTCAGGGGTGTTGTAGCCACTGTTGTAGCTGTGCATGTAAAAGAAACATCATCCTGGGGTGGATCGCTTACTGCAAAGACCTCAAAGAAGAAAGAGTCGTTATAGAACATGCCAATAGGAAAGGGTCCAGTTGCAAGAGCTTGAGTTCCCCTTTGGTCCATCAGTTCATCAAACACAAACCCAATGACCAGAGAGTCGTCATTTTCAAATGCCTCTGGTTTTGTGACCTCACAGACAACTGCCGCTGGTGTCTCAAAACTTGATAAGTAGAATGTGTACATGTCGCCTACATCCATCACCAATGGTACGGGTTCGCCGAGCTCGAGCTCCACAACAGGACCAGCCCAGCACCTTAGGCGGAAATCATCAAGAGCACTACCAAGAAAATTAAAGGCCTCAATAATAATGGTTGAGGTTTCATTGACAATCACGTAGCACTCTTCAAGAGAGTCTAGACCGGCTGAAGAGCAGACATTGTCTAGGTCCGATAGGCTGTACATTCGAAGATCAAGGTCTTTGTCCTCAGTGTCCACTGCGGCGCTTACAACACAGTAGGCCCTTGAGGGTCCTTCCACTTCAATTTTGAAGGAAGCAGTCTCTCCCTCTGCAAGTGTCATGTTGGGCGCACGAACCCCCAAAACCACGTCTTCAACAGGACTCGAATCACATCGCAGTATGAGATCCCCTTCTATTGCCGTCTTATTTTCATCAGAGTAGGGAACAATCGCAATGTGAAGAGTGGCTGGGGGGAAAGTAACGAACTTGCATGATTCATCGGATCCATCTGTGCCTGATGTGGATGATTGACACCGGCCAAGGACTTCACCACTACGAAGGTCTTCTAGGTTGAACATGGTCAAGTCAAGGTCACCTTCGACACCACCAGTACCTGGAACAGTAGTTGTGCATTGTACGTTCTCAAGACCTTGAGGTGCATAGGAAAATCCAATGAGCTCTCTCGTGTCAAAGGTGAGGGTGGTATCCTCTCCAAATGTCAGCTCTTCTATAGGGCGTGCAGTGCACAAAAGCACCACATCAGAGCTTTCGAGAAACGCATTAACAGTCACCAAAATAGCTTGTCCTTGTGGGATGAGTGAAAAGCACTCTTCATTCGAATCAACACCGACTGAAGAACAGTCTTCTTCGGTCTCGTCTTCATAGCGGGTCGCAAGGTCGGCATCGCCGGAATCTGGAAGAAAACAGGGAGAAGAAAGGAGAAGAATTGGAGAAAGGAAGAATTAGAAAATGGCTATCGGGGCAATGGATCAAGACAATACTGTGCCACAGCCAGAGGGCTTGAGTAACTTCTTTTGTAACCTCTCAGCCATGTCGAGGTCAATCTCACCCACCTTCGGGGCCAGAGAGAATACAGGTGAGAGCCATGTCTTCTTCGGCTGCAGGGATCCTGTAGGTGATTTCTTCACCCTCAAACATGGGAGAAGGAAACACTATGGGTTCTCCGAAGGTAAGATCACCAACAACCTTGAGTTCGCTTGAAGCGGTAACCTGCTTGACGGTTTTTCCAGGGGGCACTACCTTTTTGTGGAGCCCTTGGGGTGCTTTTTTAGCCTCCTTCGCCTTTTTGTTTCCACCACCACTACTTTTCTTGCCGAGCAAACTGTCCGGCGACGAGGACGCTGTCCAAATGAGCTGTGCCACCACCAACAAGAGAAAGGCGGGAAGCTTCATGGTCGCTGTTGCTTCTATTCTTCTTTAACAATTAAAAAGAATCTAATAAGTAACAAAGGAGAGGCGTTGGTTAGACACAACGAGTAGCACATGACGACGGCACAGGCAGGCAAAGAAGAGTTTCGGCGTGATATTACCTTTTTCGAGAAAGATTGTGATGACAGTCAGTCATCCATATTCCCTCCCTAACGATTTGCATGGGTTGATACGGCTGCCTGTTGATACCTTTTGATGCGTTGCCAGTTCGCCCCTCGCCATCGGATACCCCTCTGCCCAAAGATACCATCAGCCAGCCAGTTCCAACCGCTATTCGATACGGAAGAGGTAAGTGCTACCACAGCTCATGGTTTCGGCATGCCGGATGGTTTTGGCATGCCAGTAGCATGGTTTCGGCATAACTGGCCCATTTGATGCAACGGTATGTGGAAAGGAAGCAACGGTTTGAAGGGAATAGGAGAATTCCAATAGCTTCTATTTTGGCTTGCGTCACATCCTTCACTATTAGAAGTCCCGATCCAGCTCCGTGGAAAGCCACCCCACTCCACTCTACCCCCATCTAAGTAAGTTTCCTCATGCATGCGCGAGATGGCTCCACAAAATCGGCCGCTTCCCACCAATTTTGGCCCGTTCCATTAATTGCCTCCAAGTGATCGATCTGTTCGATACTAATAGATCTCAGAAAAAGGCAAGGATTCGAGCTGACGACAACAAGTCAGAGCAAAGATACCCACGTCAACTGATCCTTGACAAAAAGTGCATGCTTCTCGTTCCATTGGGATCTGACTCAAACTAATTCATTTTTTTGCAGCCGAGCAGAGCCGAGCCGAGGACATGGCGAGACCTCGCCACCGCAAGACCCGAGGTGGTCGCGATGGCAGCGGCTACATTTCTTCCAGTAGCTCTTCCAGTATATCCGAGAGCTGTTCCACTACGGGTGATTCCACGGACAGCTGTCATGAGAACAACAATAATGGTACTACAAACGATATTGTGATTGCTACCGTGGAAGATGATCATCAAGCCATTGAAGCCAGTCTTTCTCCCACCAGAAAGGAAATCATAACCAAGGCAAAAGATACTACCACAGCCAGTGCAACCGAAGCCAGTCCAAACCCCCAGATAAATCTTCCTGCTCCTCGCCATCATCTACCGGTAGATGGGTGGGTATCTGACACGGAAGATGATGTGTTACCCGATCCCCAGAAACTCATATTAGTAGCAACAAAGCCAATCCAATCCCCCTTGGCAGATGACGCCACCACTCTTTCCTCCAGTGGCGGCGACAGACCACCACAGACTTTGCGACAACAATCATCAGACATTAGTAGCCTAGAGGGTGAAAATGGTTCTCCCGAGGAAACCATGGATGTGGCCTTTTCCATTCTGGATATCCTAGCCAATGATATTGAGGAGGCATCCCAGTGCGTGACATCCGTGGACGAATCTGGCTGCTGTCGGGCCCAGGAAGAACAACCTCCGATATCACCACAGCCAGCAGCTCCGCCCAGCGGAAAAGATGTGATCAGTAGTAGTAAGCCTCCTCCAAAAGACAACGTCAAGCCTTGCGACAACACCAATGCGTCGCCTCCGACCGGTGCTCCTCCACGTTCCTCACTCGAGAAAAAGGAATCTTTTCCACCACCCAAATATGTGAGAAAACCAGTGAAACCTCCTCAAGAGCCTCAGCCTCCCGCACCTCCCCCACTCGAACGAATTACGACCAAGAAGAATGTTCTGCCCTGGCATCCACAACCTCAGGAGGACACTCTGGGTTCACCTCCTGAAAGACTCGTGGCAAATCAGACTCCTGAGCAGACAATCACTGCGAACTTAGCCCCGCAAGATGAAGACACACTGTCAGAGATCTACAATCAAGTAACCCAATCTGCAGAACACGATCATTACTACTATCATAGTAATATTCCAGCGTGTGAATCACTGGAAGAAAAGAAACTCGACGATGACGATTGGGCGTACGGGGAGATGGCTCGGTCCGACTCGCTTTCGGACTTGACGGGGAGTCCAACCAGAATCGCCTCCAAACGACAACCGCAACAACAGACTTCTCCAGAGGCGGCAGCACCCACCGTCACGGTGGCCACCGAGCTGCCCGTCATGGAACTTGCCGGGGTAGTTCGTGAGCGCACAACGGTGCAAAAATACGAAAGCTTCATGAAGGCCACCATGAGCCAAAGCGCGGCTAGTAGTCGAGCCGATTCTGATTCCAAACGAATGATAGAGGAGAAGTTGCGAGCGGACGGGAACAACAGCTGTGTCGTTGTGACGACCAGTGAATGGAAGCAACGAGACCTGGAAGCCGAACTCAAAAAGCAGCAACTGACGTTGGTACGTTTTGTTTGTTTGTTTGTTTGTTTGTTTGTTTGCAGGCCCTTGTACCCATCCCATTTGCTACAGGTTTTTGCGTCGCTTTTGTTTGATGACAACTCACTCACCCGGCCGAAAACTTTTGCACCCACTCACTTTTGAATCAATCTGCGCTTTGCAACCGACCATCCACAGTTGGCAAACACAGTATCCGTCTTGGAGGCAAAACTCGATTTGTTCCGTCGGGAGCTTGTGAAACGCAGAGAACTGAGTGAGAAGATGATGTCGGATCACATTCGCGAAATGACCGAAGTGCACGGGCAATATCGAAAGTTGTGCCAGGATAAGGACGCCTTTGTGGAGAGGCTCCGGATGTCACATGAATTGGAAACATCAAAACTGAAAGCACAGCTCCAGCAGGCCCAACTCCAACGAGAAGAACAGGCCAGGGCCGCTAATGCCGAAGAGATGGGACGCAACATGGATGCTGTGCAAAAGGACATTCAGAGAATAGCGGACGCCTATGCACAAGTTCTAAAGGAAAACAAAGAGACAAAACGGCAGGGTCAATCGCAACGAAAAACAACCAAAAGGAATAGCGGGCCCACGACAGCTGTGTTTATTCGACACACCGTGATTGGCTGCGTCGTTCTTGTAAGTAGTTGCTCTTGTAGCTATGCCTTATTGGCTCTCCACGTGTCCTCCTCACCTTTCGTCGTCTCTCTTGCCGTAATCACAGGCTGCAGTATTCTTAGTTTATCAAAAGCTTATGACCGTTCAAGTCAGCCTGGACATGCTTTGTGCCCCTGTTCGACCGGGAACTCAACTTGACACCAACTATGGTGACGAGGGTACGTTTGAGGCTCCTTGGTGGGTCCCTTCCTATTCGTCTTCCAAGGTGAACGCGTTCTCAGCTCTTTGCGGGGGGCAGCGGGAAAGACTGAAACTCGTGTGGCAACCACATCCTGCCAAGGGTCGAGGAATGTTGCAAATGAACAAACTTTTTGATGACCATGAGGGAGTGGAGCAGCCCGAGGTTACTCTATGGACTCGACATATTGCTGTTTCGATTGACGTGACGCCTGGAGAGCTTACCATCAAGCACCAAACTGGCAATGTCGAGCAATTGCCAATCTTCGAGGAATGATAAGGCAGCTTTTCGCTACCAGCTACCGATTCGCAGCAACCTGTACATGAAAGCCAGCATGCATACTGTTGACTGGCCCAAGCCGACACAAAGCTATTCTGTCAATTATTTCGCAATGCCAAGCAACCAGAAGATAGAGTCTTGACTACACCTGAGGAAAATTATTGAACAACACACCTAACTCTCTCCTGTAGCAAAGGCATTGCTCTCCCACTCTTCTGTATCATCAGTGTTCCGGTCCACCAAAGAAAGTCTGATTGCATTACTAGTAATGTTTCTGGGGAGGAGCTATCCCATCACCTCCTGCCTCGTCTTCGATAATCTGATGCCCTGTCATGGAAAGCACCTCTTCGATCGGAAGGGTTGATGTGAGGCCTGCCAGCGTAGCCATTCCGGCTATTCCCTCGATGACTGGGTTCGTTAGAACCAGTGCGGCTGTGATCTGCATCGTTCCTGCCTCGTCCATTTTGGTTTCTAAAACCACCACCCCTGTGACGTCCTTCTAGGTCGTTGAAACCCCTGTTGCTTTGGAAGGAGCCACTCGGACGATCCTCAGCTTTGATGCCTGGCGCCTGATCGGCTGATCGCATATTTCCATGGCGTGGCTGCGTGCGCTTGTCACCGGATTGATTCTCCTCTTTTGATCCCCCATTCCGGCCTCCCTGTTTCTTCATTGTTGGCTCTGGGACCTCTGATTTCGGGACAAGCGACCAGGACCTTGCAATACCTATGAACATGCCCGGACAGCCACAGCAAGCAGCAAAGTTCTCCACAGTCGCCTTGAGAATGCAGCCAGAATTTGGTTCAAAGATCAAGTCATTGTAAATGACAAGCAAGCAAGTCCATGCAGGCTTTGCAAGCTTGGGGCGAACAATCATTGGAGGGTGATGTCGCTGGATCTCAACACTCATGTCAAAGTTTTGGCAGAAAGCGTTTTCACTTTCCCACAAACGATAGTCCGGGAGATATGCTTCAACGGCGTTTCCAAGCCGCTCTATCTGATGCTCGTGCTCATCGTTAGGACCCGCTCTCATGGCTTTGTACATTTCTTCGGCTCCTGTTTGTAGCCCCATTGAATGCACCGCTGAAGCAAAACCACACAGAAGCTTCCAGTCATTGCCTCCTACGGACGGGAATCGGAGCGCACCAACTGAAATTCCCCTAGCATGATCTGCGTCGATTGGTGGAAGTGTGCGGCACCATGGCTTGATGGCTGTATATTGGCGTCACAGAACAGAAAGATCAACAAGATGAGCCACGGACAGAGTCGACAAGCAGCAAAAAATGGAGGATGGCCACTTACGCAGCCATTCGGGGCTTCTTTCTTTTGCTCTCTCAATGAATTCTTTAACAAACGTAGTCTTGACGTAAGCTTCTTCCACAACTCTCTCTTCTTCCTTGATGGATTCTACCAGCCACTGCTTCTCGGCATGATCGTATTTTAGCACCTCAAAGTTCGAGGATTTCGACTTTGTTATCATGTCTGCATACTCGTCGTCCATCAACTTCTTCACATGTCTATCGGGCACCACGCATAAGAGACTATGAGAATCGTCGTAGACGTGCCAATCCAAACCACCTGGATTTAACTCATCCCAGAGTAGAAACTGGAGTTTCCCTTCCTTTCGCAGATTATATACTAGCAGATTGAGTTCTACGTTTGGATTGTGTTCATCAAACACAAACCGTGGCGTGCCAGAAACAACCTTGCTTTCAACCTCCACAGGTGCTTCTACAGCCACAGCAGGGTCTTCTGCGCGGGTTGCACCATGGTTTACAGCCTCCGCTTTGACAGCAGCTTCCTCCTGATTTTCTCTCTCCGAATACTCGGTTTTGACGGCTGCTTGAGGAAGGCTGGCTGCGTCATGGTGTGCAGCCACCGCATTGACAGATGCTTCATCTTGATTTTCTCTCTCCGAATCCTCGGCTTTGATAGCTGCTTCTTCCACAGCTACCGCTGCATCTTCCTCCTCATCGCCAACATCAATTACATCATTGTAGTGATCAGTGGAAATATGTTGACTCTCTCTAGTGACCTCTTGTTCGTCAGATGAGTCATCAATGTCAATGACGCCCTCGTCTTGGTGGTGATGGAAGGATGGCTCCTGAGTACGAGCAACCGGATGTTGGTGAGGTTCCGACCCTTGATCGTTCCCGCTGAACCCACGCGGATGATTGTCGTTGGCATCACCATGTGACTCTCCCCCATGGTTTCGTATTGACTTTTGGTTGCGGTCCTTGTCGACAACCAAAGACTTGGATTGTTGCGAGCCAGTTCGTGCTCTAGTGTTTGTAATGCTTGGTCTATCCTCATGGTTTCTTTCTTCCAGACGCTCTTCCTCACGACGTCTCTTCTTTCCCAATGAGCTCTTCTCTTTCTTCTTTCGTTTCTTTGTTTCATTGTTGTTGAGTGGAGGATTCTTCTTGCGTTGTTGTTTGCGTGACGATGAATGGCTTCCACCAGCGACTGGTAGATTGGCATTGTCGCCATTGCAATGTAACTGGTCGTCATTGGATTCCTCGCGTTCTTCCTGTTTTACGGACACGCTGTGACGAATACTGGTAGGATTGTCGTCGTCCTCCCATTCTTGAGGATCCCAATCAAACTCTTCTTCATCATGCGCTTTATCCTCATACGTTTTGGAGTCAAATCGCGGCACAGCTTCATTAGCGGGACCGTTCTTGTTGTTGGGAGAAGTAACCTCTTCATCATCATCCTCTGGTTCGATTTTGATAATTTGCAATGGCGGTTGTTGTTGTTGCTGTGGCTTGTTGTGGTTGTTTGGTGTAGGATTTTGTTGAATCATCCATTCACTACAGGGTTCTTCTCGTTTGATGCGACGGACCGGAATGTGTCGTGCTGCTGATGCTTCTTCCTTGTCACTGTCATGACTCTGTTGTTGTAAGTTTCTTAGATCCACTTTACCCTCCCTCAGCCCATGCCAATACCGCAAGGCACTCTTCAGTGAAATGTTTTCCCAGTAGGATTCCGAATGAAACGATTTCTCCCGTTTGCATGTCAGACAGCGAAAGTACTTTAATTGACGTGTCTGACTCAACGCTGCGGCATGCATATCAAAGAAACAGGAGAGACAGAACGTGTGTCCACAAATACCGACAATCGGAGCGTGAGGGGATGCCATTGCATCTTGATTGTTGCTTTCGGTGGTAAACTCGGTTTGGCAATTGGGGCACTTGTGAAAGGTCGCCATCTTGGGAGCATCCCGCAACACTTTTTTCCGCCTGTCATGGCCAGCATGCAACAGTTTGGTTTGAAGAGTGGTAATGTCGCGTATGGCCTGACAGAGACTATAATTGGGAGCGAACTCGTTGCGGGTAAACGCCGGAATCTTTTCTCTCGTCAGTACGCCAGACTCTCTGGATTTGCGCTTTCGGGAGCAGTGGTAGATGCACGGCAATCGCTTGGTTCGTCCTCGCTTGATTTTGGAAAAGTAGTCTTCTAAATTCTTTTTGCAAAAGGAATGGCCGCATTTGCCTGTATTTGCCCAATACATGGAGAAGGAAGTTGAGTGTGGAAATGATATGCATTGCACCATGGCATCATGAGCACTCCATCCATCCATCGATCACTACAGTACATGTACGGTACTTACCGACAATGGGACACAACGGAGAGTCTATGTCAGAAGAGAACTTGTCATCTTCATCACGCTGAATAGCGCAAAAGTAGTAGTCCAATACAGACCCTTCGAGGGTGGAGCTGGTACCAGACATGGTACTGAGTGGTCGATCTGTTTATAAAGAATAATTGTGGCAACGTGGAAACCCCGTTTTCGATGGACTCGACTCCTCCTCCCAGGCCAACCAATCTGTGGAACTACTGCCAAGGTAACCGAAGGATGTAGGTACTAGCCAGCCAGCTACAGTAGTACCAAAGCTTTCTGTTGTTGTTTCTGTCTCGTCCTTGGTCAGCTTTTCGTCCAAATGCGTCGTGGAAAATAATAGCAATAATATTTTATGGTATTCTTTTAGGGCAATCGGCTGCTAGCTAGTCTAGCAGCTAGTTTACGAAGACTTCACACCCACAAAAGTAGATAAGACGAGATGCAAAGATCTTATTACTCCAGCTAGACGATGATGATTGTGGATATTGTAACGGGTGCAACTCAAGGCATTGGCAAGGCAGTGGCCGAATACATTGCCATGCAGAGAAGCGAGAGTCTATCAAATGTTGCTACTCAGAAGAATCAGAATCATTATGCACTGGTGCTGGTGGGTCGCAACGAGGATCGTGGAACTCAAGTCCGGGATTTTCTGCGCTCTTCGACCCAACAGCTCCAAGTTCATTTTGCATCGTGTGACTTGAGCGAATGGATGCAAGTGCAAGAGTTGCCTAGCCGCGTAGCATCCTTAGTTCTGGGCGATACAGACAATACTGATGAGCTGTTCCAAGTGGGTATCTTGGTGAACAACGCTGCCGAGTGCCCTCCGCAGCAACGATTTGTGGACCGGATGCGACGACAAAGGGACGGCAACAACATTGCAATGGAAAAAGTAGACAAACAGTTTGCTTCCAATGTATTGGGATACCATTTTATGATTCGGGCCTTTCAAGACTACTACTATGCCGTACACCAGGAAGGGAATGCGACGACTACTCATATCGTCAATGTAGCCAGCACTTGGGCGGGATGCCTCGATTTGACGGACATTTCCTTTCAGCGGCGTGGGTACAGTATGACAATGATGATGCCTATCGACAATCCAAGCAATGCAATCGAATGCTCAGCCGATTCTGGAGCCAACGATTATTGGAGCAAGGAGTTTGGGTCAACGCGTGTCATCCAGGAGATCCATGTACGACCTTGAGCAAGGATTTGGGATACAACCTACACGCATCCGCTCCCAACACCAACCAAATCCTTCGGGATTCTCCCTTTCCACTGTTGTGTGGACTACTAGACAACAACGAACAACATGAGCTCCAAACGACGGGAGGATGGTTTCTGGGTACTGGCACCAAACCATCCCGCTGTGGATTTGACCGACTCACCAAGGAAACGCAAGAACTCTTTGATTTGTGCGAGAGCTTTTGCGTTTGACATGAATTCTTTCTCCATTTTTTAAAAACACTAGCTAGCAAGTTCTTCAATGTCCCTTGCTCCACTGTGCTGTTATTATTGCAGGGCCAGTGGGGAGATTGCAAACATTCAAAGGCGGCTGCTGGTAGTTACTACCTTGATAGACTGCTCACAACCCACAAACGCATCATGGACACTCTCAAAATCAAGGAATCATCACCAGTTTATGGCACTGGGACTGGTCCTTTGGTGTCGCCCTCAATACAGTTTACTGTACCTACCAGCTGCTTCTCTGGTCGAGACTCGACTCATTTATCCAAACAAGCTTACAGCACAGGCAAGCCAACAGAAGATACAGTAGAGTCTTGACTACACCACAGCAAAACTATTGAACAACACATCTAACTCTCTCATAGGAAAACATTTCTATCTCACTCTTCTGTATCATCAAAGTGTTCTGCTTTCCTATCAACTACGGGACGTTTGCCTACCGTACGATTCGCTTTACAGCATTCAGTGCATATCGTCCCATCGAACGGCCATTCCAACGTTTCAACGGTGTTCTTGCCTGTTGAAATACTGGCGCCCGCTCCGCCATGCTCACGGTACTGAAACTTCGTTGCTGTGGCACCGTTGACCTGGAAAGCAACCACGACGGCAAGCCACTGCCAACAGCATTTGTGGTGCTGACAGGAAATTCTCCCGTCATCGCCACATGCACACAATCTTCGGTACTCCCGTAACGATACTTTCGATTGGTCAATCCGGGTCCGTAGTGCGCATATTTGCCACTATTGGTGAGAATGGTGGCATTGGGATCGTGCGGGATCACTGGTGGATCCAACAGCATGCACCAACAGGTATCATTGATGAATTCCACACCAAAGTCTTGGAGGAACTGGATCGGTTCCTCGGCTTGACTGTGAATGGCCCGGGAGAGGCAGGCCATGATGCGCACGTCGGGATGCTTTTTGGGGGGTGCTGTTTCGTCGTGGGACATTTGTTTTTGTATCAGATTGACGAGATTATGGCACTCTTGCACGGAAAGGTGTGGATTGCCCAAAGCAATCAAGTCAATCTTTTGTTGGTTGTCGTCATCGCCAGTATTATTATTGTTCAAGAGGGAAAACGTTTCTTGACAATGTTCCCAAGTCACAATCTTGGTCGATCCCTCGGCATGGTACTTTAACAAGTCTCCATTTTGTTGGGATTCCGGTGTGATTCCTTCGATATGAACCAACGGCGACGTTCCCGTGGTCCCAAAGGCCGCACAAAACGCCTTTAAGTGATCGTTGGTAATGATGGATGCCCACTCCTCGTTGTCAAATCCCACCAAAATGGGAACCTTGCCATCGCTGAGACCGCCACAGACATGTCCCAGAGTGGGAAAGAGCATTTCCAAATTGACGACATTTTCTTTTTGGTACGACGACAGCACTTGTTGCAACAAATCCGTGGCATCCAGAATCACTTGTGGGACACGATTTTGCGTCAAGTGGACTCCGGTGGCGGGAATTTTTCCCGTCAATGCACAGCAAATATCCAAGTAATCGGCGTACTTTTCGGTTCTCGCACCCAGCACAGAATTGGCATAGACGACGGCATTGGATTCGCCCCAGGCAATTTGATCTCCCAATTCGGGGGCTGTCGCGGTGAGCAAATAGGGAGCGCACGTAAAGGACGGTTGACAATCTAGTGCCAAATAGGCATCTCCGAGGGCAATGGAATTGTTGGCATAGTCCTCTGGAACGCCCAAGGCAGAATGACGTCGTCGATCGGCAGACACGGAATTGAGTGTGGTGGGCACCAGTACTTTACCATTGGCTTGGACGAGCCGTTGGGTGAATGCGAGACCTCCCGGTCCGATATACGTGCAACCATCAATGTGGGCTTGTGTGATGGTTTCGTAGGCGATACTGTCATCATCGTGTGTCTTGTTTTTGCCAAGATGAGCATACCGAAAAAGGACTCGGAATGCCATGCGTTGGGCTTCCGTGGTGGCATTGTCGAGCATGGATTGTTCTTCTTTTGTCAGTTGCAGTTGCTGTGGGTTGTCGCTGTTGACAGTGGCCGTAACAGTAGTATCACTGTTGTCGTTTCTCCACGTTTGCACTGCTTGTGCGACACTGTGGCTATCGTTTCCCACTAGGAGATCTCCATTGGGCAAGACACAGCCAGACTGACTGGACGATTGCTTCAGTTGTTGTTGTTCTTGTAAGAGTTGATTGTATCGATCCGTGCCAACATGAATCATATCCGGCACCACCAAATAATTATCACCATCATCATCATCACTATCATCATTGCCTTGTTGTTGAAAGACTTCTTGGGCAATAATGGCCCCGACACATGCCAATCCATCGACATCGCGAAACACAAAGGCCGTGGGTGCCTTGCGATTCAAAATCAATTCCAAGAGAACCTGCGATGCGGTACAAGAGCCACGTCCCGACGGCAGACACAAAATGGTATCCGTGACGCAGTGACCATGGAGGGGATGGGACGTATCCACCACAATTCCCGTCAATGGATCAATGCCACCCCAAAAGGACAAGCTCACATCGGATATTAACAGTGGACTAGTGGCTGTTGATGTTGTTGTTGATGTGGAACCTTGGACTAGAAAGTCTCCCGCATAGATGGTTGTTGATGTCATGGTCGGCAAGCAAAACAAAAGAAAGTGTCACTTGAAAGAAAAAAGTGCGTCTACGATCTTTGATTCTATTCGATTCGACTGTCTCAAGTCAGCCGAATATCACACATCGATTAAAGAAAGACAGTTCCAGTCAACAGTATCCAAGACTCTTGTGTCCTTCAAAAAAGAGGTGTCAAGATCGTTTGTACTGTTTTTGCCACAGTCAAATGATTTCTTCTCCGGGTTCTTCAAAAACAATCCGAATTGGTGCTGGACGTTCCCCCGAATTGATTTGGGTTGCCCCCGATTTGCAACCTACTTTTTCACTGCGTTCTGTAATTCTGTTGTTGTTGTGGCTGCAGGGCATGACCAAGACGGAAGCCAAACGATCCATCATCTCATCTTCGTTTCTATTGTAGCTATTGTTACTACTACTATCTTGACCACCATGTCCATGCCACTGTACACTACGGCGGGTGCCAACATGTCGGCGCAAGCCGCCGCGGCGGTTGCCCAACGAGGGACTCCTTCGACGCTCAATCTGGACGATATCTTTGGAGATGTCATGTTCACACCCGACGGCGAAACGGTCTTTTTGAGCGAACAACAAGATCAACACAACTTGTTGCAATCCGGAGAAGGACAAAATGTCCAAATTGTCGCTTCCAAACAACATGCGGCCGGACAATACGTTCCGGTGCCACAAGGAGGAGGATTGGCGACAACTCGATTGGCCGATCCAGCCAAACCACCCGCGTTGGTCATGGGAGCCGCTCCCACACAGACGGTCCCCACGGCGCAGGCGGTGCCCTTTAAGAAAACACCCCAAGAACGTCATCATTTGCAGTTTGCGGCCAATCCCAAGCGAAAGCGATCCTCGCGGGCGGATCGCAAAATGAGTGAACAACAAAAGACCGATCGAAGGTAAGAATAGAAAAGAAAAGAAACAACCCAGATGGATCTGAACTGGATTGGATTGGCGTCTTCATGAGAGTTGGACCGCACGGATGAGTGGGAGACTGATGGAGTCACAGTGGATTGTGTTGTGTGGGAAATCGCGGATGGCTGCTACTATCATGCTTCCCATGTGCGTGGGAAAGTTCGTTCTGGAGCTTTCTATTCTCACCTCTTTTTCTATTGTATCTACGTATCTTCCCCTCTCGTTTCTCGGATCAACCCAACCCAATATGACTACTCGATTCATTTCCTTCTTCCTCACAACACAACAGGGAACGCAACCGCGAACACGCCAAACGCAGTCGCATTCGTAAAAAGTTCCTCTTGGAATCTCTGCAACAAAGTGTCTCTCTGCTCAAGGAAGAAAATGATAAACTCAAGAGTTCCATCAAAACCCGCCTCGGAAACGATCAAGGCGACAAGCTCATTACGGAATACGTCCAGGGAGATGCCGTCCAAGGACCCGATGGATTGTTGGCTGGATCCGGTGGCATGGCCAACAAGGTACTCGACGATCCCGACTTTTCCTTCATCAAGGCGCTCCAAACCGCCCAGCAAAACTTTGTCGTCACCGATCCATCCTTGCCCGATAATCCCATTGTCTATGCCAGTCAAGGATTCTTGAATTTGACCGGATACTCGCTGGATCAAATTCTAGGACGCAACTGTCGTTTCTTGCAGGGTCCCGAAACCGACCCCAAGGCCGTCGAACACATTCGCAAGGCTATTGAACAAGGAAACGACATGTCGGTTTGTTTGCTCAATTATCGAGTCGATGGAACGACCTTTTGGAATCAGTTCTTTATTGCCGCATTGCGAGATGCGTCCGGGACCGTCACCAACTTTGTCGGAGTTCAGTGCAAGGTCAGTGATCAGTACGCGGCGCAAATTACCAAGCAACAGGAAGAGGAAGATGCCGCGGCGGCTGCCACGGATGGTGGAGAAGATGGAGGTGACGAGGAACCTGCCGAGTAGGTAGAGTGAAATGAAAGGAACGAAATGAAAGTGAGGAATGCAAGTGTGGGCAGTGATACGAGGGTGTCGCTGTGCCAGGAAAAAGAAAGATACGAGGATGCATTTTGTTGTGGAGGTTTTGTTGTTGATACAGTTGCATGTGGGAAAAAAGAAAAAGCAGCCAGCCGGTCCTTGGGAACAACAATACATTGAGTTATTATTACATAGCAAGAGAACACGAGACCGGCTGCGATGTGTTTGCATGTTGCAGCAGCAGTACAAAGAAGACTAGTTTAAGTAAAAGTAAGCACTGACTGAAAGATAATTTGTGGAATCGGAATAAAATGTGTTGGTGAATTGGGTGTAGTGGTATCGTAACACTGGTACTTAGACCCTTTGGGACACCGCGTCGCCACGATGTGAGGTCTCCCGTGGTAGCTCCGCAAGATGCAACTGGATCTTTGTGTACTACTTATCATCTCGCTGGGAAAAGCTCACAACCAAAGCACCCACAACCAGTGTGGTGAACCTTGTCCCGCAATCGATGTGCTTGATCAAGATGTCCCCAGTGAGGAGCTTGCTTCCACGATGGCACAGTTGTGCCCCCCTCAGTCCTCCTGCTAGCTAGCTATTCCTGAATGAAAACATGCCTCAAAACAATATAATAATATGAATTTTGTCCTAATACTTATTCTGTATTTGTACACGCTAACTTATGCATTGCATGGTCGACTTGATGTGGTAGCCGTAGCATCATTTACTGAACTGGTTGAGGCTTGTTGTATCCAACACGCTTCATAATGTCCTGCATATCGGCAGCGGTCATACCCATACCGGCAAACTCGTCAAGGCTGCCATCGCTGCTGCTGTCATCATCGTCGCTGTCGTATTCACTGTCGTCGTCGTCATCATCATCATCCGAGTCTTCTTCATCATCGGAATCTTCTTCCTCATCATCGGAATCTTCTTCATCGTCGGAACTGTCGGCGGATGCGTCCTCCTCCTGAAGCATGCGAGCTTCTTCCGGTGTCATGACCCCAGATGCCACCATACCCGCCAGCTCCATGCTGAGTGCATTGACTGGTTCGGGGATGGGCTTTTCATTGGGAGCCACATCGACCAAGACGGAAGGTTGGTCGACACCACGGACGGGAGGCCACCAGGTATCCTTCTTGGACTCGAGGAATTCAATCCACTGAGGCCAGTGTTCCCTTCGGACATAGGAAAGAGGCACGGCACCACGGCTGTCCGTCATGTGGAACAGGGTGATGTCCCGGTTGGCAATCTTCTCGACCGTGTCGAACGAGGGAGTGGCCGCCCAGCACGCATCGTGGAGTGGAGTACGACCGTAGTCATCGGCCACCTGCACGCTGCTGCCAACATCCAACATGATTTGGAGCAGATCCGAGTCACCACGACGGCAGACCATGTGCAATAGCGATTCACCGTAACAGTTGCAAGGATTGGGGGAGATTCCGGCACCCACGACGGCCTTGAACTTGGCGACATCGTGATTGCGGACCATCTTGACCAAGTTGACGTGGTAACTGGCCTGCTGGAACTCGGTGGGCTTGGAGTAGTAGCCAGTCTGGAGCGTACGGTAGCGGCGGGTGGAGTATCCGCGCGAGTGGATCATGACATCCAAATAGGCTTGAGGACTCATGGGAGGACGGCCACTGGCAGTCTTAGCTTTCGCGGGCTCCGTTGGCTGAGTGATCACCTTGATGGTCTTGTTGCGGATCTGAGCCACGGGCTCTTCATCGTTCATGCTACCCACGCTGGTGTGGGAAGTGTCGCTGGAGACGCTGCTAGTAGAGAAGCAAACAAGATAGATGAGGTGAGATTAGCTTCGACAAAACCATTTTAAAAGAAGAGGAGAGCTCATCCAAGCTTACCTGGAGAATTGCTTGACCTTTTCGGGACGGTCATGTTTCTTGGAACCCTTGGAGCGGCGAGTCTTTGTGCCGGTTCGCAGTCCTTGGAACATCCAGCCGCGAGCAAACGTCTTGGAGGCAGCCTTTTCGGGAGGAGGCTTGTTGACATCCTTTCCTCTGTTGGAGGCGAGGAATACAGCTTGCAAGCCGAGGGGAATACGAGATGTGGACATGGTTGTGATGTTTGTTTGTAGTATGACAAGGAAGAAGAGATTGGAAGTCGATTACTGACAAACTAGTAGAGTAGTAGTAGAGCAAGAAGAAGCGGCAAAAGGCGAGGTTCGTTGCTGTGTTTTTACTTTGATTGACAAGATGAAACCTGCTGTCAAGCTAGAGCGTGAAGGTGCTTTTGCGATGGAGGGAGGTGAAATTGTGAGAATGTTGCATGTGGTCGAGAACCTTGAGGGGTTACGTGGCACAAACAATTTGGCCGTATCCCGCCCGCTACGTTGCTTCTGCTTACGTCAAAAAACTGTTAATTAGGCGTCAAAACTCTTCAACGCAGCATATCCATAAATACAAATGAATCCCATAGTGGTCGAGAGAACTGTACTGGTACTAAACCTCCAGCTGTATTGTCTGGGCAGTTAACCAGCAATCAAATTCTGAGGTGGCAACCCGCCACCTCAGCGAACGAACTCTGAAATGACCTCCGATTAAGTAATGCTAGGATTCATAATGACTTTTTCAAGCTTTTTGGTTAAATAGAAAGAACCATTGAAATTGTACGTGGCAGAAATGATTATCACGCATTCTCCATTTCTTCTGTAAGTGCGAGGTTTAGATCCAGATCGGTTTGAGAATCGTGAAATCGTGGCGGGGAATGCGTCCACACCTTCCTCTCATTCCACGCTGCGGACTAGGACTAAAAATGTTCAGACAATTGGACCAGCAACCAGCAACTCAACCCAAGAGATCCAAACATTGCTACTGCCCATCTTCCAGCATCAGCCATCTCACAGCTCATATTATATATCACCACCTGGGTGCAAAACCGCGTTAGGTCACTGAGTCGCCTAGCCAGCCAGAACTTGTTTGTTTTTGTCTGCGGTCACTATTCTTGGCAGCAACCAGCTGCTTAGCGTCAAGCAATAACCCAGGCTATTCGGCTATTGGCTATTGCACTTCCCGTAGACAACAATCGACACGTTCAAAGCACTTCAAAGACCTTCAAGGAAAACCACAAGAGAACCAACATTCTTCTCAAGACCTACAGCCAAAGCTACCATAAAACCTGAGAGCTAGTTAGTAACCTAAGACCTGGCACCAGGCTGCTAAGATATCTCGATATCTCGAGAGAATGCATCTGATTGAAGCAAGAGTGCTTGTTAGAGATGATTGGGCCCAGGTGCCCAGGTACAAAGACTCCTTCGCCTCCGGTTATCCGTTAACTGTTGTTGTCCATTTCAACTCATTAACACTTCAAGAATGGCTACCCGACTGACTTTTTCGATCAAGTAGACTAAGTGATGTATTCAGTTTTCACAGTCATAGTTGTAGTGCCGCTATTGCCTGTTTGGTGAGGGGCGAGGATGGTTGCAATGACATGAAGTCATACCGTAGGAGGCATTGTAAGAACGCCAGCTTTCTGGAATGGTGCCATTGAAAGCTGTTCGGACATTCGGATGGACGCAATGTGCATGGTGCCGGGTGCCGGAGCTGTATTAGTACCGGTACATGCTGGATGCATGCATGGTCACACCCAATCTTGATCCGGCTGTAAACGAACACCACAATCTGGCTGATCGTTGTTTGGATGATGGAGGGTAACCGGCAATCATCTTCTTATCTTCTTGCTTCTGTTCTGGTTGAGGTGAGCAACCCCAAAAGATACGCTCCTGTCAATCCTCATGCATCAAATCGGGATGGTGGCTGGTGGCACACTTGGTGACTTCACGCTTGATCCATGGCAATCCATAATCCTCCAAACCAGCTTTGAGTGGTTGGCTTTTCTTCATCATGTTGTCCAGCTGTCTGTTCTGACAATAGGCTTTGAGACAAAAGCAATCAAGATTAGCCGGCAAGAGGTGACTGTAGCAGCGCCCCTTTGCGAAAGTGGCAGCTGGCTGGCATGTTCCGCCACGGTTCAGGAGGAGGCTGGCACCATCAGCGAGACCGACACCTCCTCTTCTGGCTGGTGTACGGTACCGGTAGCATATCAAGCAAGGGAGCGAGGACCTAGGCAGGCGGCAGGATGTACAGTATGCAAGCTGGCTGCCCAAGCATGCAAAGGATCAGTCAGTCAACCCAACTAAATACTACACCAGTACATGTATCATGGCTGGCTGTATACCAGGCTTCGCTCGTGTCATGCAGGCAGTATTGCAGTATTCGACAGCATCCAGCTATGGCCTACTAGCTGGCCAGCTAGCTAGCCAGGTGGTAGTTTCGGCATGAACGATGGAAGCTTTGAAGAGACCTTCAAAACAGTTCGACTACAATGTACATGTTCACTAGACTACTTGTCTGTTCGGGAGTTCCTGCATGGCTTCACCCACGTTCCGTTTTCCACGTTAAATTTCCATTTTCCCACGATTTACCTAATTTCCACGTTCGGTGTATTGTCAACAAACAGCTCAACCGACTCATATATTTTCCACTTTGATCTCCCACGATGTCCTTCCTTCGTCCGGATCGGAATCATTTTTCGGCTCTCTGCCATCCAAAATCTTTTTGTCGTCATTGCCTCTTGGAACAACATCGTCACTATTTTCTCACTCCAACGCAGTGCGTTGTTGTTGTAGAAGTACATGTAGCATTGATCCGTTGTCTTAATATTGCTTGAGAGCCACAAAAACCATGATCCGTTCTGCCGTTCACCAGTTTCGGCGCCGTCGCCCTGATGCAGCCAATGTTTCTCGTCTCTTATCATCGGCCAATACTAGTTTCTCATGGGAACTCCAACCACAAGATTCTGTTTGTTCCGACAATGGACGTTGTCATGAAAAGGCCTTGAGGAGAGTATCCTCCTTGCTGTCATATGCGACGACGAGCCATGCGTCTTCATCCCTTAATCATCGCCAGCTGTCAACAAGATGTTTCTCCTCTACAGCTCCCAACACGGACAGTGACGACAGCGACAGCGATACTCCTGAAAGTTTTACCATTGGCCATCGCCCTGGGGTTCGAAATGTGGCCATTATTGGTATGTCTGACATTTATTATGTAGAATAGAATGTTCGTGGAGCTATCCTATGGAAGTTTCAGGAGTTTCATTTCATTCCATTCCATTCATTTTTCTCACGGATTATCCGTTTTTCTTGCCTTAAAATTGCAGCTCATGTCGATCACGGCAAGACGACACTGGTCGACAAACTCTTGGCAACGACGCAGGCGGCAGATGGCTTGTCGGATCGATTGATGGATTCGGGAGAATTGGAACAAGAACGTGGCATTACCATTACCAGCAAAGTGACTCGATTAACGTACAACAGCAGCAGTACCGATGATACTATTACAATCAACTGTGTCGATACTCCCGGCCATGCCGATTTTTCGGGGGAAGTCGATCGTATATTGAGCATGGTGGATGGAGTGTGCCTGTTGGTCGATGCCGGCGAAGGCCCCATGACGCAAACCAAATACGTGCTGAGTCGATCGTTGGCATTGGGACTCAAGCCTCTAGTGGTCCTCAACAAGGTGGACCGACCCAATGCCATTGCACGATTGGAGTCTGGTGAAACGGAATCGGACTTGTTGGATCTCTTTGATGCACTGGGCGCAACCGATGAACAAATGGATTATCCCACGCTCTATGGCAGTGCCCGGGAAGGATGGATGACGGACGATCTGGACACCGCCTACCAATTGGCCAGTGGAAAAGTGCAACCATCCGAAAGCACCAGCATGAAAGTATTGCTAGATGCCATGTTGGGGCATGTCCCAGAACCAGCCATTCGACAATACGAAACAACAGCAGCAGATGAAGTGCAACCCTTTGCTTTGGCCGCTGTCACGGTCGGGATGGACACGTACATGGGGCGGACCTGTACGGGTCGCATTGTTTCGGGGTCTATTGCCTTGAATGATAAGGTACAAGTCATTCCGAGAGAAGGACCTATGGAAAACACGGATGCGACAACTTTGGGAGGAATCTGTGTCAATCGAGGGATTTCTCGAACGCCCTTGGAAGATGGAATGGCGCATGCTGGAGATATTGTCACGTTGGTGGGAGTCCCAGAACACATGGCAGTGGGGGATACCGTCACTGGAGCTGAGAATCCTGTGAAACAACCCATTGAGACACCACCTGTCGCACCACCCACATTGTCGATGGAGTTTGGAGCCAACACGGGTCCGCTGTCGGGAATGGAAGGAACCATTGTGACGTCCTCCAAAGTCCGTGATCGTCTCTTTCAGGAAACCGACAACAATGTGACCTTATCGGTCGCCAAGAGTGAAACAGACTCGGAGAAGACAGTTGTACTGGCGAGAGGAGAACTCCAGCTGGGGATCCTGGCAGAGCAAATGAGGCGGGAGGGATTTGAACTCATGATTTCACCTCCCCGTATCCTGATGAAAGAGTGCCCCGACACGAAAAAGAAACTCGAACCGTTTGAAGAAGTCATTGTGGATGTGGACAGTGAGTTTTCAGGAACGGTTGTCAGTTCCTTGACGGGTGACCGGAAGGGAATACTCATGGAAATGACGGAAAATGCCGACGGCAAGACACGGTTGATGTTTGAAGTCCCATCGCGCGGTTTGCTGGGTTTCAGCTCCGAAATTGCTACCGCCACCAAGGGAACCGCCGTTGTCAATCATTGCTACCTGGAGGATCGACTGTATGCCGGTCAGTTGGGCTTGGATTCCTCTCGCTCCAAAATTGTCAGCATGGTTCAGGGCAAGGCAACGGCCTTTTCTTTGGGGAACTTGGCGCAGAGAGGGACCCTTTTCATTGAACCCGGCGATATGGTGTACCAGGGAATGGTCATTGGCGAGAGCGCCAAGAGCCGCGATATCGACATGGATGTCAATCCTGTGAAAGCCAAGGATTTGACCAATATGCGGACTCAAGCCAAGGACGAAAAGATCGTCCTGCCACCACCCAAGCGACTGTCGGTCGAAGAATTGATTGGCTACATGTCACAAGACGAGATCATTGAAGTGACTCCCGACAATGTGAGACTGCGCAAAGCCGAGCTAGATCCCAATGTGAGGGCACGAGCCAAGAAAGGAAAGAAAAACAAGAAATAGATTACTAGTATTAGCAAGAAGGAAACATAGAGACTGGTCGGCAACAAAGAACAATCTACTTACTAGTATCTTTCTACAACTAATTTAGAGCATGCCACATCAGCTACAGAGTTCAGAAGGCAGAGAGGAGACGAAAGAGGTTGTTTGTCTGTACCGATACAGATGCTTTCGATGCGTGCAATCGAAAGAAGAGCAACAAATTGTCGTTCCCATTTGTTTAGTCAGAGGAAGCAGATCCCTCGTCAGAACCTCTATTCTGGTTGTCCAGTAGCTCGTTCAAGTGTTCTTGTGCTTTCGCTTTCGTTTTGCTACTCAAATGTGAGTATGCACAAGGTCCCAAGCACTTGCGGAACCAAAAAATGGCTTCTTTTTCTTTCACAGGCATGCCATATTTTCCCTTGGCAAAAGCATATCCAAGCAAATATGCAGCTAGATCAGATCCTGCAAACGCAGCCTGGCCCAAGTGCAGCATGCCAAGTGTGAATGATTTCTGAGTTCCCAGGCCTTTCACAAGATATTCACCAAGACGAGCTCTTCCTTTCACGCTGCCAACATCATGCAACTTTTGGCACCAACGATATGCTTTGGGTCGGTTCTTCTCAAAACCATTGACTCCTCTGGCAAAACCTTCTACCACTTTCAGCATGCCCTCATTGCCATCATTTGTCTTTTGTAGCAATTCTTCCTTCTCCTTCATCTGCTGGGATTTTTTGTTCCAAGATTCCACCAAATCGCCTTGAATAACACCATTCTCGATCAAAGTCTCAATCAAGCTTTTGATTTGCGTGGCAGGCACAAGGGTGTCTCCCATTGGTTTATTGGTGATTGGGGATTTGATTGCAGCACCACGGTCACGCTGTGTGTTGAAGTGAGTCTTGATTGCCTCTTCTTCATATGTGCGACCATCCAAGCATTGACAGGAACCAAGGGGAGCTCTCTGGTGATGGGGCAGATTAGATCATCGGCAGGATTGAATTCTTCTTCTGACGCTTGTTGTTGCTCGTGCTGTTTTCGTCCTCTTGTGAGTCTTCGACATCTCTTTTGCCCCGGGCCGATTGCGTTTCGGCACTCATCTTACTTCCTTTCTTATCAGGGCGACCAGTAAATACAGGCAACTACTGGAGCTAGCTAGCAGCAATGGTCTCTTGCTGTTGTCCTCGAAGTGATGGTCGACGCCTCCTTGGTCCTTGGAGCCTTGGGCAATGACACCCTCCGTTTTGTATTTTATGGACGAGAATCCATTTTTTACTTTTCTCGTTTTTACAAAGCTTTTGACGCGGGGCCAGTCCATCTCACAGGCACCGTGGAAACTCCACCGAGGATGGCGTTGCTCAGCGTGTTGACGCAATCGCAAAGGACCTTATCTGGCTACCGGTACTCATGGAGACTACGAGTATGCCTCTCTGAAACAGTTTTTCAAACAGTCAAGCCAGAAAAGTAAAGTCAAGCATTTCGCTACTCTGTCTCTCCCCATGCCCAAACCCAAGGAATCTTCCGCCGGTGAAGCAACCCTGAGGGTTGGTGACGGCGGAACTGATGAAACCAAAGAGAAGCTAGCACAGGAGTTAGCGGAATCCACCACCAAGAAAAAGACACGAGCATCGAAGAGCGTCAAGAGATCCCAGAACGAAAGCCCTGGTAAGGACAAGAAACGAACGAAGACCAAAGAGTCAGGAGAACACGTCGGCGTGGCGACAACTCAAGACAATGTTGATGGCACCTCCGAGAAGGCTTTGAACCAAGCCAAAAGCGCTGACGACCTACCAGCAAAGGCCAAGGCAGACAAAGTTAAGACGGGGAAGAAGCGAAAGGAAACCAGTCAATCCAAGTGCAAAACTTCACGTACCAAAAAGACAAAGGGTTCTACCAAACCCAAGAGTGATATCCCCTTTGATCAGCAGATTCTGGCGGTTCTGAAGCGGAACTTCAGGTTTGGCGCCAAGAAAGTCCACTTCAAAGAAATCAGCAGGGAGCATGGGCACCATGAACGCTCGACAAACTGGATCAATGCCTTCAAGCAGCTTACGGCAGACGGTATGGTTGCATCCGACGCTGTAATGGGCAATTATGAATTGACGGAAGTTGGGATTGCTCATGTTGCGAATGGTGACGACATGGATATGAACAATGTGTCTTGCAGCCAGGAAGCGTACGAAGCGTACCTGAAGGGGCGCTTGAAGATGAAGAGAGGCAAGGAAATCTTTGACTTGCTCAAAGAGCACGGATCGCTTGCCAGAAAGGAACTCGCCGCTCTAATTGGCATCAGTGACAGATCCCACTCTTTTAGTGGTGCTTTGAAGGAGCTGAAGGAAGCTGGGCTCTTGGATGTTGACCCAGAATACAAGGGCAGGGGCAAGAAGCACTGCTTGTCTCGCAAAGCATTCTTGAAAGGAACGCCTAATGCCTTAGTTACAGCCAAGCCCTCGCCGACTGCGGAAGCCGAAGATCAAACCAAAGAGCAAGCCAAGGGGAGCATGAGCTGCAAACCAGCAACTGAACCTACCGAGAAGGGTGATGAGATGGGCAACCCAGATGAACAAGCCGTTCAAGACGAAACCAGGGAGGTGCTAGAGGACAGTGCGATGGCGGAGAAGGATGATGCCACCAGGGAGGATGGCGGCAAAGAGGAACCACAATCTGGAAACGGAGATCTCTCTCCCAAAGAATCACCGAAGCGCAGCCCTGGAGAAGAGAACGCGGAAAGTGGCTCAGAGCAAGCCGAGCGTGAAGACGATGACTCCGTTAAAGCCCAGGAAGGAGCAAATGTGTCCTGCAAGAACTCTGAGCCTGAGTTTACTAAGGTGGGAGATGAGAAACCTGCGGATGGCGAGGAAAAGAAGGTGGACGCGGCTGAGCCGGCTAGCAATGCTCCAACCAAGGCCCCGAATCAGAGCGAAGACCCAACCAGCATAAAAACTGATGGCTGTGTCATGCTAACCGAGAATGCCACGAAGGAAGCCATGGAAGGGTCCACTGCGATGAGTGAGGCGTTCGCGCCCTGCAAGGAAAAGCCTGAGTCTGAGTTTACCGAGAAGTCTGTTGGTGGCAACCAGAAAGCATCCAATGGAGGAGCCACACAAGTTTCCCCTTCACCAAAACACAGTACAGAACAGCACGGTTTTTCAAGGGAGGATGCCCGTTCAGACAACGAAGCAGACGATACACCTTCGCCTTGCATGTCGGCAAGTGACAACATTTTGAATGGTCCAGAAACGAAGCTTTCCAAAGTTGACAACAGCGATGACGAGCCTGCAGATGCGAAAGACCACAGTGTCATGGATGACAAGCAACCAGCCTGCGGCAGTCCAAGCACCTTTGACCAGAACGCCGAGCCTGTCGCAAAAGATAAAACAACAGAGGGCCATTCCGCAGAAGAGGAAGGAAAGGGCGGATCTTCCAAGCTGGCAGCTGACAACCCTTCACAGGATCACAAGACAGAATCCAATGAGGGCAAGGGGTCTGAGTTGGATGGTGCTTTGCAGAGCGATGAACCCAATGACAAGCGGCCGTCAAGTCAGGCAATAGCCACTGATTTGGCACCTGGCGCACTAGTCAATGCCAATCCTGATAAGTCTACCAAGGATCCCTGCGAGATACAAGAAGTTGAAGCCAAGGGAGAGATCTCTTTGACGCGATCAAATGACAAAGTCGTGGCGACAAACTCGGGGAGTCTCAGTTCTCGTGATACAAGCCCCGCCAAGAGTACAGGTACCGAAGAGCCTCCAAGCCAACACGTTCAGACTTTGAAAGTGAAGGAGCCTTCTCTGGATGCTGTTGAAGCGGAGGACACAAACGGAGAGCTTGACACGAAGAAGACAGGCACAAGCAGTGACCTTGACCTTTCCACATTCACCATCCCAAGAAAAGAAAAGACACGGGCTCATGGCACTGCTGTGAACAACATGAAGCACGAAAGCACTCCCACAAGAGAGGTCGCCGCCACAAAAACTATGCAAACCCAGGCGAAGATGGCCATTAGTGTTGGAGAGCAACGTAGTAGCATGACGCAGACCAAGCCAAAGAAGCCAACCGTGCAAGTATCAGGAGCTGCTCCGAAGGAAGGACAAGGACATGCCAAGACAGGGAAGCCCCCAAGAGCTCGAGAGCACGGTGAAGTAGAGGAAGGGGAGATCATTGAAGCTGTCTTTCATGGGAACTCGTTTTGAAGCAGTTTGGGCTTGTATGTATGGCAGAGGCTCTATCCAGCTTGAAGAAACACAGGAACAAATGAAGGAGACATCGGATATAAGTCCGTCCACGTCCTTCCGCACCCTGCATGCAATCAAACAATGCTATACCATTCCAAGGTGCACCGATCTATCGCAACACCTATTACGTAGTCATCATTGCAAGGGCTGCTATTTGCTTCTTATTAGCTACCAGTAGTAGTAGTACTAGTATCTAATAATCACCACCGCCGCCGGCATCATCACCAAACAAGCCACCTCCCGCAGGGGCCTCTTCTTCTTCTTCCTCGGGTTCGGGAGCAGCTGCTTCAGCGGCACCGCCACCACCGCCGCCGCCTCCTCCTCCGCCGCCGCCACCACCGGATCCAACAAACTTGCTAGGATCCTTGAGGTATTCCTTGACTTCATCGGCCTTGGCAAACGAGTAGCCTTCCAAATTAATGGTAATGGCAAGCACGGCACGGTACGCATTGACCAAACTGTGTGGCACGGATGCTTCCGTGGGGATTCCCGTAGCCAGCGACAAACTGGCAATGAGATTGAGTGCTTCGCAGAATTTGGCCGCCAAGACATCGTCAGTGATATCCAACACCTTGGCATCAAAGAGGGATCCGCAATCGTAAACGGCCTTGAGGACGAGACCGTACGTAAAGGGTTCAATGCCGAGTTTTTGCAAGAGAGCTGCCTGCGATGCCGTCACCTTTTCTCCCTCTTGAATGAGGTCGGTATCGTTCACCATTTCAATTTGACCACGCGAAATCTTGGTGGCAATTTGCAAGGTTTGGAAAAAAGCAGTTTGACCGGGATCACATCCAGTGGGTCCTTTGGGCACAACGACCTTACTGGGAGCCAAGGAACCGACTTTGGCAGGAGCGGGACGCGTGTTGGATTCGAGCACGGTACGAATGTCACCCAAATCGTCATTCGTAAAGACGAAACCGACATTGCCACGGCAGACTTCGGAGAGTTTTTCGACGGGACTTCCGGGATTCTCTTCAACGTATTCCGCAATGATTTTACGCATCATGGTGTTCTTGCCCATGAGGACTTCCGCCTTGCCACGGAGTGTCTTACGAGTCGTTTGGAGCTGGTTGGAACCCACATTGTCCACACCTACAATGAATGCCTTGTTGTAGGTTGACATGAGCTCCTTCATGCGCTCGAAGTATTCGGCTTTGCGTTCGGCAGAGAGAGGCATCTTGGTAGTTTTGTTTGTTTACTTAGTAAAAAAGAAAAAGGGGTATAGATCTTCGGGCGAAGGTAGCAAAGAGCTATCCAACAATTTAACCGAAGAAGGAGTGTCTAAAAGACAGGAAACAGCAGAGTACGTCTGATGTTTGTAGGAAATGATGAAAACAGATAACAAACGGCAACAAGGACGGATGAGATACTGATTTTAGTAACGAGGTAAGAGGTAACATACATCAACTGCATCCAATGTTCTAAAGGATGCCAAGAGAAGGTGAAGACGCCCTTCTCATGCACTACTTCGAACACATAGTCGTAACAGGTCTTTGTTTGCTCTATCTAGCTGTAGCCGTCACAAGTCATACAACAACGCCATGGTCCTCAACTCACCTGAACGGAGACAAACCCTTGTTTCGAATGGTTCGATGGAGAGCCAACTAAAGGATTGAAAGCCATCAAAGCTGAACTGTACTTTCTACGCCTCAGGTCTGGAAACAATTGCTCGCCCTGCGTCAAATAAGAAGGTGGTGGCATCCAGCCATGGTTTCCTCTAACGCTTCTAGTCGTGTTTAGCGTCAATTAAATCCATCCGGTTCCGTCACACGCACCTTCGTGCGCAACAGGGCAAGGGACCGCAGCTCCGCAGCAAACACCTTCATCGTCAACAACAACAACCACTGTCCAGCTATCATCAATGCTACTCTGAGAGGCCCAGGAAGTGTCTTGTGGGGTGTTGTTTGGTGCTATAGAGCACGAAATCAGTGCTCATCAGTGGATCCATCTCTTCTTGTCACTGGCTCAGTCTGATCTCATCGCGACGTTTTTCAAAATTTCAATCTGGAGGAATCCATCATGGCGAAAATTGGAGGTGGATGTCACCATGATGAGCTCACTTTTTTGTTCAACCGGATTGCTAGAGTTGCATACCCCACCGAACAAGGAAGACTTTTGCGATTGTTGATAAGCCTAGGCCAGATCAACCCCCCTACTTTCAATTCCCTTTACTTACTACCAATCTTCTATTCAATACCTATCAATTGCAACATGAAGTTCTCTTCTTCTATCATCAAGCTGCTCTCGTGGTCCACATGGACCACCGACAACAACAACAACAGCAACACCAAGAAGACCCCCGTTCTCCAGGTCGCCAAGGAGATGACGGGCAACAACAACGACAATGACGTTCCTGCAGCAGAGGAAGTCCCAATCAAGTTCCAACTGGACGAGTTGGACAACACATGCGTCCAAACCGCGGCACTGTTGCACACATCTGGAACGAATCCTGATGTGGAATTCCAGCAGCACGGTCGCTACCTAGGTGCCTACGACCTTTCCCTGGTTCCTGCGGATCAGCATGGTCACTACGGATACGACAAATACAACCAGCACCGGCCCAAAGGCTGTCGCATCCAACCCAGTCAATCAGCCAACGCTCGCTGGAAGGCCCATTACGGTCAAGACACCGAACGGAGCAATGGAAACCGTTTATCCTTTGCTCCCGTCAACACTGTAGTGGGGTACTCTTCTGGCGAGGGCGAACAAGCTGAGAACCGTCGTGTCTATCGAGACATGAACAAACATGTGCCACAGGCCCGATACGAATTCTGGCAGGAAGCCCAACAACAATTCATTTCCGTCGGCACACAAACACCCCATGAACGCGTCTTGGATCTCGTGCAGTTGATTCAAGAGTACGGATACCAACAAGTGGCCAAATGGATCACCAACAACCAATGGTTCCAAAGCGACAAAGCTTACCTACAAAAAGCCAAACAGTACATTCAAATTGATGCAGTGCATCAAGACCTCGAGGCACTTGTCGAATTCATCCAGGCGAAGAAAGGAAACGACAAGCAAGTGTCACACTGGTTCATGGTCAACAAAAAGAACCCTTACATGTTTGAACTCGCCATGTGCCACTTGCACCTCGGAGGAATTCAGCGCAACGCTGACGACGAAATTTGCACCTTGAATACGCGAGAACAGATTGCCAACCGACGATTTGTCTATCGCAAGGTCAAGGACGTCTGCATGGAAGATGCAGCACCCGTAGTAGTAGAAGAACAACAACCAACAACAACTAAAGACGTCGAGGCAATAGAAACAGTCTCGACCGTCGACGACAACAAGATGGCATCCGATGCCACAATCACATGCGAAGCGGCGGTGGTTCCCACATGCACAGCAGTGGTCCCATACATTCAAAAGTGGCATGCGAAACACTTCAAGATCAGTGTGCATGGACAACAGCCATTTGTATTTGAGATGGGAATGATGAATGGTGTGCTATTTGGAATGGTACCCAACGACATTCTCACAGCTTTGATGAAGGATGGTGGAGACCTTGTCAAGGAAATGATGCGGCGGCACAAGACACTACGATTGGAAGCGTCGGACAATACGGATTGCGAATTCGTGACTGGCCAAGTTGTGGAAGTAGCTGATGAGGAACCACTACCAGTCGAGGAACCACAACAAGTTGAGGAACAACAACAAGTTGATGCTGAAGAACCACTGGTCGACAACCGAGTCGATGATGAGGACAATGTGGATGCAGCACAATCAACTTTGCGACGATCAAAGAGACGCATGGCGGCGATTGCATCTCAGAGAATTGCAGAACAAATCAAGACGAAGCCACGGAGGGTGGCAGAGCAACAACCTAGAATTAAACGTAGACGGGCGGCGGCCACCAAAAAGAAGTCGACAAAGCCAAAGGTGAAGGGCAAGAAAAAGCCAACGACAACACAACCTGTGACGGACACACAGCAGCAAACAACAGTTCAGACAATAACAACTCTTTCTGGACGACAAGTCAGAAAGCCTGACAGGTACATTCCAGTCTAGGACAATAGGTAAGTGGGGGCGGCGAGGACGGATTGTGGGGTCTACTAACACATGAATACAAATACACAATGAGCAAGCGTCTGGTGGGGTGCAGGGCTATACAACAATATTGCGGAGATGAATACAGTTGGTTCAATTGAAGGGTCACATCGAAGGTAGCCAGGTTTGTGGTTCCTGTGCTAGGCAGCCTCTATTGCAGAGTGCTTGTCCGAACGTCCTCCACGTGACGAAAGTCCAAAGTTAATACCCGTGACACCCGAAAACCAAACTCTATCATTGTTGATGCTACAAATCTTAAATACAACCAAACATAAAAGTAGAACAATAACACATAGTAGACAAATCTTACAAACCAAATCATGGCTTCATTCTTTTTAAAGTAGTTGTAGTTGTACTAGTAGCTAGTAGATCGTACCTGCATCCTTGTATCCTTGTTGTCCCGGTCGTGTCCAAGTCTCTTCGCACCTCCAAAATTCCTCATTTGGGTTGATATTTCGTCGTAACGCACTGACCGGTATCCCCCGACGTTTTAACCCCAGAAGCCAGGAGTACGTGTAGACCTTGGCATGAGTTGTTTATCATCTGGAAACATGCCTTTTTTGGAGATGGAGTTCGTTGTTTGTGTGGAGTAGACAATCATGAATCGAATCTGCAGCGATGACGACAAGCAAAATGGAAAAAGGCAATGGCCCATTTGAGGTCTAACCCTCCAGCCGGTTGATCTAGGCATGCATGCATTTGCTGTTGCATGTCGCTACTGCATTTGTATAGAATATGAACGGATCTATAGTTGTGTTTATTCATGCATAGTCTTATGGAGGCGACTGCAGCAATCCAGATGCTGCAGGGCCATGTTGTGTGTGAGAGCCTGATTTCCAGCCCATTAATTGTCAATAGATGAATGAAAGCGTGCTCTACATCTCTTCGTCTTCATACTGGGGATGTGCGTTCCCTAAACGAAACAGATAGATGCTTCGATGAGCTGTGGCGAGCTGACGTTCGCTTGGAAACAAATGTGACTGAAACTTACCTGGAGCCATCACACCGTGTAACTGCGCAAAATTGTCCACAATGGATAACAAGGGAGTTCCTTCTTCGTCTTCGGATTCCTTTTCGCCCAACTCGCCTTCCTCCGCCTCTTCCTCGTCGTCTTCTTCCTCCTCCTCCACCACGGGTTCATGTAGTGCCCTCTTGGCTTCCTCGGCCAATTCAATCTGAAGAGCGTCGCCACGTGCTTGAGACGCGTAAATACCGATATCGAAAAGGCGCAAGTTCGGCAGTCGGCGCTTGATCTTCTTGGAGAGCGTCGGCTGTACTAGATTGTTCTGCAGCTGGAACTCCTCCAGATTGGTCAGTTTGGCAAGCTGGACTGGCACCTTTCCTCCCAGCTGGTTGTTTTGCTGCATGACAACAGACGAATGAATGAGCCATGGATCATAAGATTCAAGCGTCAGCACAGGTGATGCCAATGCAAGCAAGTCACGATTATCACTCTTCTCATCTCCCAAATGTACGTACCACTCGCAGCACTTGCAACGTTTCAATCTCTCCCCATTCAGACGGCACCCAACCCGTGAAATGGTTGTGATTGATCTCTAGATTCTTCAAGTTGGACGACAACTGACCTAGAGTCTTTGGTAATCGGCCGGACATTTCATTGTGTTGTACTTGAAAGGTTTCTAACAGCGCCATGTGTGTAAACTCATCTGGAATGTGTCCGGTAATGAGATTGTGTCCCAAGTGAAAGACCCTCAAGTGCTTGGCGCTGTTGAAAAACTCGGACGGAATACTCCCTGCCAAATGATTGAAGCGTAGGTCGACATGTTCGATACTCTTCAACAGAGACAATCCAAAGGGTAGTTCTCCCGTTAATTGGTTGTCATTCCATTCCAGTACTCGAATATGTTTGAGACCGCCCATGGTGGACGGCAGTGGCCCCGTCAATTGATTGAAACTGAGCGAGAACTCGTACAGGTTACGCCAGTTGTGTCCGTACGACAAGGGAATCGTACCCCGAAAGTGATTGTGATCCAAATAGACATGCTTCAAAATCATATTGTTGGCGAGACTCTCGGGCAAGACACCCGTCAAGAGGTTGTGATTCAATCGCAAGTCGGTCAATCGCAAAAAGTGTCCCAACACATCTGCGTCTTGTGGCAAGGTTCCCGTCATGTGATTGTGGGACAGATCCAACGCTGTGAGTTGTGACAAGTAACGAATTTCGGGTGGCACTGTGCCCTGGAGAAACTGTTTGGACAAGTCAATGCGCACAATATCCAGTACTACTACTGGAGGAGAATTGTCTTGTTGTTGTTCACTGTTATCATCCGACTGCTCCTGCAAGACGCGCGTGGCATCACTGGCACTGGCACTCGACCCCAGCGTGGCATCGAACCAATCGGATTGTTCTACTAATTCGCAGGAAATCCCGTGCCATTCGCAGACGGGTGCATCCGTCATCCATAGAGTCTCATTGTGCCATGTATGATGTGGATTGTAGTGATTATTGTGATCGCCATCATCGAGTTGTAGTAGTGGTTGATGGTGCGGGTGATGTTTGTGTGTGGCAAAGTAAAAGGCGGCCAATGTAAATCGTTGGAGAAGTACGGCTGTTTGTGATGATTCTTCTGTCGCGATGGGCAATTGCATGGGATCCTCGTGTGCCATCCACAAGAGTGCTCGATGGGCATCGCTGTCGGTATCGTGCAAGAGACGCTGAGTGGTGATGCCTTGTTGTTGAAGAATGGCCACCAATGCATCTTGTCGTTCTTGGCGGCGAGCTGATTCCGTGAGATGCCAATGGTGCCAAAAAGGTCCCATACGATGATGAAAGACGCCAACGAGCAGGGTCGACACCAACAAGACTCCAATCACTGCCACGATCGTTCGGACTTTGGATGATTTCTTTGTTCGCGCGTTGTTTTTATCCGACGAGGATCCCTTTTGAAAGTTGGTCAGAGCAGGGAGTTTTGCTGCCTTGTCGTCCTCAAAGGCGGGAGTGGGAACCACCAACGGCACTCCTCCACTGAGCGAGTGTCGCGTGACAATCTTTCGATCCGAAGGAGCCGATTGACTGCCGCCGGTCCAATTAACATTGGAAGAAGAAATGGCCGAGAGACTTTGATGGCCACCTTGCCAAGCAGTTTGTTTGGAAGAGGTAACATGAATGGCAGTGTCATCACGGCTCTTTTTCTTTTTGAGCGGCAAGCTGCTAAAGGAAGTTTGCATTCCGGGCCGAGGCAGATTTCGATTGGTTTGTAGGGCACTGAGCGAATTGTGCAGTCTATTATTGTGGGGTGGTTGTGGGGACGACGACTCTGTGTGGTAGAAATCGTGAAGACTCTCATCTTCCATGAGCACTTTGGTTGTTGGATGGTTGTTGTTGTTGTTGTTGTTGTCTTCCTCTTCTTGCAAGGACTTCATGCGACGAGTGGACTTGGAGTACGAACTGGTACTGCCATCCATGAGCCAGGAACTCGCCGTGGAACTCAAACTTGCATTGTGATTGTTCTTGGCAGAATCTTCGTCGAGTCGAGCACAGGATAGTCGAGACGTCGAGGAAGAAGTAGTATTTCGATGGTTCAGACGAGGCTGCATCAACAGAGGGGATCGCGGAGCCGCCCCGCCGCTAAAAGCCACGACGGAAGGAGATTTTGGGGAGAGTACCTTGTTGTTGGCAGTGGATGGCGGGGACAGCGCACAGGGTGATTTCGGAAGATGAGAAAGCACTGGTTTCGGATCTTGTGGTGGTGTTGGCGTCAAGGAGGTTGGAGCTCCCATGGAATTGGGAGGAGAAGCACACACCGATCCACCATGGCTGCTGCTTACACTACTTGCAGAGGGACGTCGTCGTTGACGACTTGTCGATCCATCCCTACAACTGGTGCCATCGCTGCAAGACGAACCGGAGGAAACTGGGGCAGTTTCTGACGCTGGAGTCAGCGCCGAATTCACCACAAACATCATTGTCAACTCAACCCAACACCACACAATTCAACAAATTGCTCTTGCAACTGTTCAGAGAATGAATGAAGCAGAAAAAGATCCTCAAAAGAAGTTTTAGCTCCAACTGTCCCTACCAACAATCTATCATCTATCAATGAACCGTGGACACACATCCCAAAAGGCTCCCAACGCGCTTTTGAGGCGAAAAAGCCACAGACAAGTGACAGGCCCCTGCAGGCTTCAAGCGATGCCAAGGGAAGAGGAACGGAACTTGCAAGACTATGAGCATGAGTGAAAGTGTGACAGCGGGATTATCAACCAGCATGTCTCAATGTCGTCGATTGCCAAAACCTGTTAATCAGGGGGAGGTAAATGATAATCAAACGTTCACAACAGAGAAAGTGGCGATTAAGGCTTACTTCCGTAGGAATTATTACAATTGCCTCTTTACTAATGCCCCGTCTTGGCATCGCTGGGGCATAGATACACGCCCAACCAGAAATCGGAACACCTTCCACCATGTCACGTGCCAACGCCACCCTCGAGCCTCGAGCCAAACTGATGACTGATGGCAGTCCCTCCTTGATCTTGATGGCCGCTTTCCTTGCTCATCCAGACTATCTTTCGTCCATGAATGATACCCGGTGTGACCAGGAACAAACAACTCCCATCAAGAGCTCGCATGGGTGCATCCACTACTGTGTACCAGATTCCAGCAAGCTTGCTTGGCTGCAGTACTAGTCTGCAACCCGCTAGCTAACTAACTAACACTAGGTCCAATACACTCCGATCTCGCCCTACCGCTACTAGCTAGCTAGAGGCACTCCAACTTGCTATTAGTTAGAGGAGGAGGGGCGGTGTGTTTGGAAAATTCCTGATGCAGAGCTTACTTGCTCGTGATGGCGTCTTGGTTGGTTTAGCATGCAAAAAGACTATTAAGCCGGTGAGGATGCTAGCTACTGTTGTTGTTGTTGTGTGCACCTCAGCCAAACAGCCAGCCGATAACCCTAACCGTAAATATTGCTGTGACGTGTCGTTGGCACGAACATCTGGTTGTTTACGCCACGAGAGGGCAATGAGACACCCCCCAACAGCTGTTGCAGGGCACCACGTGTCCTCCAAAGACACACCACGTTTCCTCAAAGACACACAATTTATGAGAATGCACGAGATGTTCATCCTTTCCACATCTACTATTAGTAGCGAGAGAAGAGCAACTCCCTCCCATTGAAAACTGAACGATGAGTGCTCGAATGAGAATGGGAAAGTCAACAGCCGTTTTGGCATTCGTGTTGGTGGCGACGGCAGTTCAAGTTGTGGAAGGGTTTTCGAGTTCGAGTCCTTCTAGTATCAAAAGGATATCCTCCTCATTGGATGCTCTGCCCAAGAAAGGTGCTGATCTGTCGCAGAGTGACTTGCATTTCGCGGTCGAGACCAGCGAAGGTCGTCGACGACCGGATGATTCTGCACTCTCGGCAGTGGCAGTTAGCGGTGGCAGTGGTAGTAGCGCCCAACAGATTGTTCTCGTCGACGCCGACGAGGATTTCAAAATGGAATCGCTCTCACTGCCAGGAACTACGGCACAAAAAGCCATTGACTTCAAATCCCTTCAATCCACGCTGACAGCGGCCTTACTGATTACGGGCAACACGGTTGGAGCCGGGGCTCTGGCCCTGCCCGAATTGGCCGCCCGACCAGGGTTGGCCCCCTCGACTGGAATGTTTGTCACCGCCTATGTGATCAACTTGCTCTCGGGATTGATTTTGGCAGAAGTCGCCATTAAGCAATTCGAAGAAACGACCAGCAATGACACTGGCAATGACAATCAAGAGGAGGATCTTCCCAGTTCGTTTCGGGAATTTGCAGCATCGACCATGGAGGACTCGTTCCCATTGGCGACCAATGGCATTGCCGGTGTATCACTCTTTGTCAACACTTGTGCTCTGACGTACAGCTTGGGAGTTGCGGGAGTCATCTTCTCGGATTGTTTGGCAGGTGCATCCATTGATGCAAACCATTTGGTTCTCAGTGCCATCTTTGCAGCTCTACTGGCCGTTATGGGGGCGACGCAATCGAGAACCCGTATCAGTCAAGTCTCTTCGGTGTTTGTGACGGGACTATTTGTCTCCCTCGCAGGACTGCTACTACCTGGCTTGCCCAATGTACAAGATCCAATGGGAACCTTTTTGGCGCCGGGAACATCCACAGATGGTCTTGTCGCTGGCATGGGCGAGGCAGCGCCCATCATGTTGACGACCTTGATTTTCCAAAACGTGGTTCCGCCCGTGGCAAAGATTTTGGAGTACGACAGGGTTAAAACCGTGTCGGCAGTCATGATCGGATCATTTCTTCCATTGGCAATCTACTTGGCTTGGTCGTTTGCAGTTCTGGGTGGTGGAGTGGATGCTGCCGTGGGAAATGTAGAGTCGCCCTTGACGACGCTCTTTTCCGTCACGGCAGTGACCGGATCTGCCATTGGGTGCACCATGGCAATCAGTGAAGAACTGCAAGCCTTTGTGGACGACATGATCAGCAATGATGATGATGATGATGATGGTGATGGTGGCAAGGATAAACAAACGAGCCAAGATGATAACAACAGTGGTTACTCGTGGCCAGCCGTGGTTGCCGCTGTCGTTGTTCCGCTGGGGTGCAGTACTTTATGCAATGAGTACGCGGACGCTCTCAAGCTCTCGGGTGGGTATGGCATCCCTGTGCTTTATGGCGCCATTCCCGTTGCCATGGCCCTTACACAAAGACAAAAGCTGCAGTCCCATGCCAATCTGGTTCCAGGGGGGATGGCCAGTCTTGGATTAGTTGGACTTGCTTTTGGTGCATTCCTTGTCAACTCGATTGTGACGGATCTTTCCCACGTTGTTTCAGCAACTGCGTGAGTGTAGGCGTGGAGCCACTCCATAGCCCAACCATGGTGATCGCACAGACTCTTAAACACACAAAACTTGCAAACACAATTCGAATCTTTCTGGGGTTTCAGGAGAGTTTGTTTTTAACTATTGCCTCTTATGTTATGACAAAATGTACGTAATTATGTTAAAAGTAGTATGATTGCTGTCAACACACAACCATCCAACCAGTAATTCCATTCAGGTGGAAGTCTGGTTCTCCTCAGTAGTACGGTTTGCCTCACGCAGCTGCTGACCATCTTCATCATTGGTAGTCTCCCCCTCCAGTATCAGTGATGTTTCAATGTCAGAACAGTTACACCAGTCACATCCACAGAGCAGGTCGCTGCAGTCAAAAGTAAGGTTGTTGGCAGAACACAAGCTCGCGGGGATAACACCAAACAGATCCTCATTTCCGTGCAACAAGACTTGACCATAAGGTGGAGGGAAAGGAACATTGCCAAGCTCCAGGGGCACTGTTCCAGTTAAATCATTGCCATGTAGAAACAACTGCTGTACACCAGTAAGCTGTCCAAACTCTGTAGGAATGGTTCCTGTCAGGACATTGATTTCCAAGCTCAACGCAAGCATTTGCTCATACGTTCCCAATTCACTTGGGATTGTGCCCGACAAAGCATTCCCACCAAGCCATAAGGAAAACAACTTTGTTAGCAGGCCAAGTTCTGTTGGGATCTAGAGGGAAAAGCAGGACTCAAATGTTAGAAGAAGAAGAAACTTGACAGGGCTGGCACAAAAAGACTTACAATCCCAGTAAAGGAGTTGTCGGCCAGAATCAAAGTATCCAGCATTGTCATGTTGCCAAGCCACTTGGGGATCGTCCCGAGAAGACCCGAGTTAAGCAGTTGCAGAACTGCAATGTCTGTAAGAACAGCAAGCTCTGCTGGGATCTAAAGGAATCATGGAAAACATTGAGCACAGCTTTTGGACACATGCAAATAAACAAGCCCCCCACCCCCCATACATCACTGCAAACACTTACAGTGCCACTCAACATAAGGTTGGAAAGATCTAATGAATACAAGGGAGACACTTGCCCAAGCTCTGTGGGAATCGTCCCCGTGAATAAGTTTCCATCAAACACAATACCCAGCAAATTAGTAAGCAATCCCAGTTCTGTTGGAAACTACAAGATGAAGAACAGTTAGTGAGAACCACAAAACTATATTCACAAAAAGACAAGGCTAATAATGTACGTACTGGACCTGTCAGCTGATTTTCTAGTAGACCAAAGCTCCTCATTGATTCTGTAAGGGAAAACAGGGATGATGGAATCTGGCAACCATAGAATGTTAAAACAAGAGGACTTGGCAAAATGAGATATTGCAGCACAATCTTGTCAGGTACATTATGAGTTGCCACTTACAGTTCCTGTCAGAGAATTGAAGCCAAAGTAGACAACTCCAAGTCTTGACGAAGTGCCCAGTACTTCAGGAATGGAGCCATAAAGGCCACAACTGAGCATGGAAATATACTCCAAACTGGGAAGGCTAGAGAGCTCTTCTGGGATGGTGCTGGTGAGGTTCAATCCATCCAATGCCAGGCTCCTAAGTTCAGTAAGCAAGTAGAGCTCTGGTGGAATCCCTGATCCCATCAGGTCATTGAATGATATCCAAAAGTGCTTGATGATTCCATCTCCCTGGTACAAGATGCCATCCTCTAGATATCCAGCTGGATCTTGCTCACAGGGACTGATGTGATCCAGTGGGAAAACTATGTTGGCCTCAACAATAAAATAAAAATCCTCTAAACTTGAATACCAAAGGCATTCATGAACGCTGTGGTTTAGCCAATTGTCACTGAAGAGCCATTGTTCTTCGCTGTTGGCAAAATAGAATGTTGCAAGTGTGAAACGTTGTACAACTCTCTCCTCTGTAAGATTGTGTAGGATGTCAATCTCTTCCATGAGCCATTCAAATGCCCTTGACTGGGGTGATTCTGTGTTCTCCAGAATCGCAGAGATTGTTGTTTCTGGGAAAAGTGACAGCCAGTATTCTGAATAAGAAGTCGGTGCTGACGTTGGGGGGGGAGATTGCATGTCTGTCTCGACCGTCTTTTTCCATGATGACAATGTGGCAATCAAAATCACTATCACTGCCAGGACAACTATGACACCAATCAAAAGAAACGTCTTGACCAGCTTGATGTGTTTTCTCTCTCGGGCTTCACTCTGGGCAATGGCATTGTCGGCACTTCTCGCTTGCGGCCGATCTTTTGGTGCAATATTGTCTTCCTCGTCAACCAATTTGCCACTGCAAGTCCTTTGCTTGATTCTGTAGGAGTACGTTGGTTGTTGGCTGATGCTGTAGTGGCCTGCCAATCTTCCTCCTCGTGCACATTAGAAAGGCTAGTCTGACTGACCAAAGCTTCATTTGCAGTGGCACCAACGAGGGAGAATCTCAGAGTGTTTGCACGTTGGAGGTCTGTACCTGGAGCACCCGCATATGCTCCCGGACGGCGATCAATATTTGATGTGGTTGCAGGAAAATGGCTATTTGTGCCTTGGGAATTACACCCTTCTGAAGTGGTAGTATTCTCCCTTTGGTCGAGACCTGAATCTTGCAGTCGAGCTTCCATTATTCTGGCCAGATCGACTATTGCTACATTTTCTTCCTCATATTCTGCAGTTTTTTGTGTGGCTAGATCAGCAGCCTGTGTGCCTTTGTTTGTTGGAAGAAAATTCATTGTGGGCCCTTGTGTGCTTGAAGTGGCATCCGAATCTCTTAGCCGGGCTTCCACAATTTTTGCCAGGTTCAAAGGATCAATCGTTTCTTCACTCGGCATCGGCATGGCTGCTTCGTGAGCATCCTCATTATGTTTGGTGGTCGACTGCATGGTTAAGGTTTGATACCAAAAAGCCTTGTTGTCACTCCACGCATCGGTAAGTGCACCATGCAGTTGTGAGACGAAGAGGTCACTATGGGTTAGAGTTGACTGTGGGTGGTTGTCAATACCAGATGATCCATTCTCTAAAACCCCGTTACGATACTCAATATTAATTAATTGCTCTGCACTCTCAACATGAAACCCTGAAACTATGAAACCATGAAACCATGCATGGGACGAAGGGTGCGACCTTGCAGCTAATAGGCGCTCTAAAACTCTCCTGAACTGGCACCAGAATAATAAAGGGGGTTTTAGAGTACCGGTAGGGAAATAAATTATCTACGGAAGCCAGCCGGGGCCAGGCTTAAGCAAAGAATGTTGTTCTACGGGTACTTTTACGGGTACCTACCCAAGTATCCGTGGTACCAGGCATCCAAACATTTTTAAATTAAGGGGGGTTTTAGAGTAGGGAAATTATCTACGTTAGCCAGCCGGGGCCAGGCTTAAGCAAAGAACAGTCGAAATTCAGGACTAGGTTCTGTGGGATCAGGGGCAAGAAATTGAGGACCATTACAGGGGGCAAAGGGTTTGGCTTTGCGGGATCCAAAATAATATTGCCATTTCTGGGGAGAACTCGAAGAGATCCTGGATCTTCCACAAATCCAGCTCATTGAAACCATCATCATCACCATCCACACACACACACATTCTATCCGAAGTAGTCAAAGCCAAGGATTCTACAGTACTGCACACAAGAATATTAATAAAAGAATAACAATGGCATCCAAACAAGCCGCATCCGCTCTCCTCTCCAAGGGTCTTCCTTGGATGACACAAGCATCCCAAAATCACTATGCCCCCACGGGGAAGTGGATTTTGGGTACTGCCGGCATGGTCTTGGGAATGATCCATGTCGGTGGAGTGACACGGTTGACACAATCGGGTTTGAGCATGACGTCCTGGAGTCCGCTCGGATCGTTGCCGCCCATGAACCAGGAGGAATGGGAAACAGAATTTGCCCGCTACAAGGAATACCCCGAATGGCAACAACGACAATCCATGACTCTGTCGGATTTTAAATTTATTTTTGGATGGGAATACGGTCATCGCATGTTGGGACGCGTGGTCGGTGTCTGTTTCGCCCTTCCGTGGATGTACTTTACGGTGCGTCGTAAAATTCCACCGGGTTACCAGAAACGCATGGTGGGCCTCTTGGCCATGGGTGGAACCCAAGGATTGGTCGGTTGGTGGATGGTCAAATCCGGATTGGGCGATGATCGAAGAAGCGATCGAAACGAAATTCGAGTACGACCCATTCGATTGACGGCTCATTTGACCATGGCGTTGGCCACGTACGGAGCACTGGTCTGGACGGGATTGGATTTGTTGCACTATCCACACAACAACAATACGAAATTGCAGGACATGGTGGCCACACTGAGTAAAGAATCGCTGCGACAAGCCCGCGTCTTGCGCACCAAAAGTTGGGTCCTCTCCGGATTGACATTTGTGACAGTCGCTAGTGGAGCCTTGGTGGCAGGAAATGATGCCGGACGGGCGTACAATACATATCCCAAAATGGGCGACGAATGGATTCCTTCCGAAATTATGGATCTCTCTCCCTGGCATCGCAACTTGATTGAAAATACCGCCACGGTGCAATTCAATCATCGCATACTGGGAGCTACCACGGCCCTGACCGCCGTGACATTGGCGGCCATTGGATTGTCGCCGTCGCGAGCGGCGGCATTGACACCCCAGGCACGCAAGGGATTGTATGCCGTGGCCACGGCGGCGACGGCACAAGCCAGTTTGGGTATTGTCACCCTATTGACGTACGTTCCACTCTCTTTGGCAGCATTGCATCAATTGGGCAGTGTGGCCGTCTTTACCAGTGGTCTCTATTTGGCCCATGCCCTGCGATATGCGCGGCCGGCATTGGTACGAACGGCGACAGCCACGAAAAGCAGTGCCGTAAAAAGCTCGGCGGAAACTGTAGCGTCTCGCATGGCAGTCCCAAAGCGGTGATGAGTAAATGATTGAATGTGGTTTAGTGGCAGAATGATAGAACGGATCGCAAACCAGCCACTACTTTTTGTGATCCCAGGTTCTGTGGCCAAGAATTGCTCGGTACTTGCTGGCTAGCTAGCTAGCTAGCTAGATAGCTTCGAATAGACACTGTTTAAAAAACAAACTAGAAAGTGGTTTAGAAAATTGACGAAGCGACAAAGCGTTTTAAACACCGTCAACTAGAACTGACTGGCTAGAGAAACTCTTGTAATGAATATTGGGAGAAGCAACCCGAGTGATTGTCAATCTTTAGCCAGCCCCGAACTGGAAAAAATCTTCCGATATCATTGCTTTTTTGGGCAATTTGGGATGAGGCAGAAACTACCAGTAAAGCAATGGTCAAATGAATTTCCAGATACCTCTCTACATCAACACGGAAACTGTGGTCTATTTGGGCAAGGACATATTGTTGTAGTACCCTTCTCTGTCTATCCGGCCCTTGTTTGAACAATATAGACATGTTCTTCGTCTCTTGCCACCACATATCGAATGCTCGAGAATGTGACAGTCAGTCTACGGAATCCTCCGGCTCCTTCCATGGTCGTCTCCAAGCTTCCTGCTTCGACTAGCATTCGAAACAATGTATCGGCATCTGGTGGTGACAGCTGCCCACGAACCATGTTGCCTTGCAAATCCAACACTGCCGACGCCAGTTGTCCTTGTACCGGAGACGCCTCCAGATCCACAGCGGGGAGCACCGCTGATTCTACGCCTCCTCCTCGTGTCATGGTTGGCTTCTAGAGTCTATTCGTTTGTAGTATCAAGTAAGTACTACTGGTGGCTAGATACTGGTAGTAGCTCTGGTGTGAGGAATCTGGAGAATGGGGATTCTTAAGAATCATTTTGTTCTTTTTGCTGATTCTTAAGAATCATCAGGCACCCAGTATGCAACCTAATATACTAGCAATATGGGCTTCATAGCTAGCAATGCTATCCCTGATACTATCTGCTAACCAACAACAATGTTTGCTGATAAGACAAGTCTTGTAATGATGCATTAGTGCATACCAAAACCATTGCAATGGAGTCTTTCTTGATTTTTACAAGTATTCCCAAGATTCAGCATATTTGAATTGAGGATTCTTAAGAATCACATATTCTTAAGATCAAGATGATTTTAAGAATCAGAAATTCATTCATGATTCTTAAGAATCAATTTTTCATTGCTGATTCTTAAGAATCATTTGCTTATTCTTAAGAATCATTTGCTTATTCTTAAGAATCATTTGCTTATTCTTAAGAATCATTTGCTGATTCTTAAGAATCATCAATTTCCAAGAATCTGGAAAATTCTGATTCTTAAGAATAGTCTGATTCTTAAGAATCCTTGTCTACCCAGTATTTGATTCTTAAGAATCATAATTTTCCCAAGATTTTTTCCTGATTCTTAAGAATAATCTGATTCTTAAGACTCCTTGTAACAGCTCGAGCAAGAAAAAGAGGGTGGTGTGTGGTGTGGTTGTCTACTTTTGGCCTTGCCCAGTCTTAGTTCATTGCAAGCAGCTTCAATGGCTTCTTTTAAAAGAGGTCACTTATCACTTTCCACTTTCCACGATGTGTTGAGAAGCCATCTTACACTCTACATGTAATCGTATGACTCCTCTGAGTACGTGTGCGACCAGTTCTGGGTTGACATCCATTCGCGAATAAGCGAGTGAGTCATGGTTTCCAACAAAAGATACCGAACCCCAGGACCGTGACGTAAGTCGCCGCGTTGGATGCAGTTTGACAACTCATCGATCAAAAGCAAAAGATACAATGATCAGTGGCAGTTAGTTTTGAGTCAGCCAGGGCAACCCAATGATTCATTCGCATCCATCATCAGCAAGACCATCTGTTAGCTAGCTATAGGCATTGAGCCACAACGTCTCTTTACCAGAGTCACAATCACTCCACATCAGCTCGGGCCAGCAAATTCGAAAGGTTTCTCTTGGGTTATCTCAACTGACTTGGTCGTCTTCATAGTTTCCTCTTGTTCAATTCAAATCCAATATATTATCAAAAATGCTGCTACGATCATCAATCTATGCTCTGGCACTGCTGGCAGTGGGATCTTCGGCCTTCGTGCCGCAATCCCTTCCCAAGGCAAACTCTGCCCTTCACATGAGTGTGGAAGGTGATGACCGTCGGGCGTTTGTCACCAAGGTGGGTTTTGCTTTGCATTGCCTTGTCTCTGAAGCAAATTTTAATGGACTGGACTCCTCATGATGTAATGTCCTAACTGGTTTTTTATTTTATGTTTACTGTATCACAGGCCGGATCTGCCGCAGCTGCTGCATCCATTGCTACCGTCAGTGGTGGTTTGCCCCAGCCTGCAGAGGCTGCTTCCACTAAAATGTGGGAACAAGTCCCAATTCCTTTTGATGACACTCTGTTTGACATTGATTTTGACAGGTATGTTCCATAGGTTTCCTTTGGTGTGCCTGGAATGAATATGATGAACTCTGCCAAGTGGCTAACCTTGTGTTTGCCCTGTTTTTTTGTTTTTTTTGCAGTCCTACACATGGATATTTGGTCGGTGCTCGTGGAGCCTTTGCAGAAACCAGTGACGGTGGAAAAACATGGGAAGCCAGGTCATTCTCCAACCTTGATGCCGAGGAAGAAATCAACTACAGATTCCAAGTAGTTTCGTTCAAGAATGGAGAGGGTTGGGTTTTGGGAAAGCCCACCTTGCTTTTGCACACCACGGATGATGGAAAAACATGGGAACGTATCCCACTTTCTCCCAAGCTCCCAGGTGAGCCAACACAAATTGTTGCCTTTGGCAACAGCAAGGCGGAAATGACCACATCCACGGGAGCCGTCTACACCACTGAAAATGCTGGCCGAAACTGGAAGGCACAAGTCAAGGAAACCATTGATGCTACTCTGAATCGTATCAGTAGTAGTGGAGTCAGTGGAGCATCCTACTTTAGTGGTTCCATCATCAACCAAATCCGCGATGCTAGTGGTGCCTACTTGGCCGTTGCCAGCCGTGGTAACTTTTTCTTGACATGGGAACCGGGCCAGGACTTTTGGATCCCACACAACCGTGGAACACCCCGCCGTATCCAAAGTATGGGTTTTGTAGAAGATGACATCAAGAAGGGTCTTTGGATGACTTTGAACGGTGGTAAATTGTTGATTCTCAAGAATGAGCCAGATCTAACAAAGGACATGTTTGACTTTGATGAAGCCGATATCAAGACAGGAGGATACGGACTCACGGACGTCGCTTGGAGAAACAAGAACGAGGTATGGGCAGTGGGAGGATCCAACACAATGTATGTGAGTCAAGATGGTGGCAAGAAATTCAGTTTCGATAGCAGTGCCAACAACATTCCCGGAAACCTTTACAACGTCAAGTTCTTCCCCGAGTACAACAATGAAGGATGGGCCCTTGGAAGCAACGGTCTCTTGCTTCGCTACAGGGGTTAAAAAGTAACCTCGATCAGCCAATCCTCGTTGTCTTCGAGAGAACATTGTACTAGCTAGACAATAAAGCTAAATATCTTTTACATGAATCGAATCACGTTTGTTGGCTGTAACCAGCCTGTGGTGAATAAAGGTAAGTCAATTTGGACCGAAGGATTCACAAACACCGAAGTGTTGTGTCTCCTTTTTTGGTTTGTTCAACATGAATGAGGACGAAGTGCAACAAGCAAAGATTTTTTTTTTAAGTGCTTGCCGTCAAGTCATTCAGAGAGTACACGTACTTTCAATGACCATGAGGCTTCATCTCTTTCGAGATTTCGGTTATCCTATGGAAGGTGAATGATTCAATCCTAAAGCACAGTCTATCTACTCGGCAGCCCCTACTAGCTAGGATCCAGCAACGTAACGTAACAGTAATTCAGAGTAAATCTTGATGATATTTTTTAACTGGAAAGGACCCCCGAATCTTTTGCATGCAGTTGTTCCGATACTCCGACCCTAGGAAATTATTTCATTCAAAGGGGAAAAGTATCATCATTCACGCCGTCTGCAAAGATCGAAGGCCTGCTCACTTGTTTTTGTAAATCTGATTTTCTCGTCGGGGTATTTTGGAAGCGTTCTTGCATTTGCACTGCACCTTATTCTAGTTGCTATCTCGCTAGATGGCACCCACGGCATTCAGCATAACATCCAACTCTCCACTCTCGTCGAGTTTTACAATGCCTCCCTTTGGACCATCGTTGCAGCCACCGATGAATTCTCCTCCAATCCAAATGGCGGGAACCGATGTTCTTCCAATGACGTCGGCCATTTCGGCACGGATGGCCCTTCCGTCCTTCACTTCGTCTAGCTCGACGACGTGATAACGGGTGCCCTTGGCGTCCAAGACAGCCTTGGCCTTGACGCAAAAGGGTCACGTGCGAAAACTCAACATGAGGACGGGTCGCTCCGCAATGAATCCGTCCAGTTTGGCCCGAACAGCGGCCTGATCGTAGTTCCCTGCGAGACTCCTGACAAGGGCTTTCTTTCCTTCGTTCAATGGGGAATTGGTCAAGACATTCTGAACCGTATCGGCCAATCCAGCGTACCAAACTTTGGTGGGATCCGAGTCGCTGTCGCCGTAAAGCCGAGTGGGAACCGTGTGGCGCGGAGCATGCAAGAAGGCTGTGGATTGTTGGACAAGTAGCAACAGGGCTGCCAGGGCAGTAGCACGAAGGTGTGCCATGGTGTTATCTTATTTTTGGAGTGATAATGACTACAGACAGCGGGTGTCACTTTTAAGTTGCCTCAATTGCGGAGCTGGTGCCATCGTCGCCCTTTCAGTTTTCAAAGAACTGACTGACTCAGTCGTCAGTCATGCGTCGATGGAAGGAAGTCTCACGAGCCCAACCTCGCCGAAGACCTTCAAATCGACACCGCCGTTATCTTCGTCGCGACAATGCCCAACATGGCAATGCCGGACCTTCCAGCACACCACAAACGCACCACTTGTTTCTGGTGCAGTGGCTCTCTTGATCTATTGCCATGATTTTTTGTAAAAGTGGTCGATACATGAACATGACGGAAAAAGATGCATAGCTTTAGAGATTCCGCAAAGGTGACTTGCCTGCTCCTTTCTCCTCAGATTCTACCAGCACGACGACTTTCACGAGCGATTGCAGTCAATACATCTGCGATGTAGCGTCTCTACATATTTCTTCGGTAGACGATCTGGTGGCAGCATCAGAGGAAAGACCCATGCAAGGAGAAAAGAAAGACAATGTTGACCAACCAAAAGTTACCACCACGGTTACCTCTGCCCTCGTCGTTCTTTTTGAATGCCTCAGCATGAATGCAAAAGCCAGAAACAAATACAGCTATGTGGAACGATGTCGAGTGTTGCATACGTTCGCTGAAGACCCAAGAAGACGTTACAGCACCGCGCCCATCATGCTCCAGCACACCCGAGAACCTTCTTGCCAAGATGTGCCTTCCAGAGGCGGAACTGGCGGCAACGACGAACCAGTTCCTTGATGTGTGTGCTGTTTATCGATCAGCATTACTTCATGTGAAGAGTCGAGCTTACTTGTGGCAGGAAGCCTTGGCTAGTGAGCGCCTAGCAACTAACTTACCGTTCCTGCTAGGAGGAGGAGGAGGATACAGAGACAGAGACTAGACTCGGCTCGGACTTTCTTGGAAGAGGCTACCAAGGCCCGCCACATGAAAGTACTCTATAGGATCTATTTCATGAGAGACCAAAACTTGTTTGAGGCTGTTTGATTTAATGGAATAGAAGTTTTCCTCACTGGGTGAAGATATATATACAATATAAGAGAGAAGTGCAAAGTTGGGAGGACAGCAAATAGAGCCCCTAAGCCAATGTAAGATCGAAGCAGTCAAGTAGTGTGGATAAGATTTGTTGCTATAAAGCTTAATTAAATTTTGGTTTTCAAAATGCAAGATCGAGTCGCCGCAAATACACTCGGAGTGAACCCACACAGCAATTTTGGTCGTTGATTGTCATTGTTCGTTCCATGAGATCGTTCGAGGGTGAATACAAAAAGAGAGATCATCAACAGAACCTGTCAGACAGATGCTTGGGCCATGAGAAAGTTATCTTCGTCCCATGCCTTAAGGGGTAACCCCACAAGCCATTAAGGCAGGATCACAGGGAGGTGGTGGAGGAGGTGGAGGAAGTGGACAATCGCGGGATATTTCAAACGTTATCAAACAATGAGCTGTGACATCATCAATGACACACGCGCCTCCTTGGTTTCCCATGCCACCACAAACACCAAATACATTATTGGCATCACCCGCGGTTTGTCCATCATGCGTGTTGATTGTGACGGACGTTGTGCGAGCAGGGACTGCGACTACAAAGTCTTCATTGGACGCGATGCCTTCACACTTGGTGCCTGCGCGACCATCAAGTTCCGCCTCCTCGCAAGGCCCAATCACATCACAATTAGCCCCATCCATATTTCCATTGACTCCAACACAACACATCCAACTGATCTCGTCATCATCCTTGCAATGCCCAATCGTGATTTCCATACTGCCGTCAGAAGGATTCACAGAGACCGCATCACAGGTGAAACAGCTACAGTCATGACCACATGTAGGCATTGGATCTGTAGGATCTGTAGGCATTGGATCTGTGGGATCTGTAGGCATTGGATCTGTAGGATCTGGAACTGGAACTGGAACTGGAACTGGAGGAGGTGTCGGCGGAGGAGTTGGTTCAGGGGTTGGTTCAGGTGTTGGAGGAGGTGTTGGTTCAGGTGTTGGAGGAGGTGTTGGTTCAGGTGCTGGAGGAAGTGTTGTTGCGCCAGGTGTTGGTTCAGTTGTTTCTCCAGCTGTTGGTTCTGTTGTTTCGCCAGGTGTTGGATATATGTGAGTATCAGTTGGTTCAGGTGTGGATGATCGTGTTGGGCTAGGTGTGGGTGTTCGTGTGGGCCAGGGTGTTGGAGAAGGCGTGGGATATGGGGTTGCGTCACTTGGTTCAAGTGTCGGAGCAGCCGTTGGACCTTTGCCTCCCATCATTCCACTCATCGATCCTCCAGTTGGACGCAAAGTTGGATAGGGCGTTGGTCCAGTTGATCGTGTAGGCCATGGCGTCGGCCACGGGGTCGGCTCTGTGCTGGTTGGCCAGGGAGTCGGCTCGGTTGCACCGCCCATCATTCCACTCATCGATCCTCCAGTTGGACGCAAAGTTGGATAGGGCGTTGGTCCAGTTGATCGTGTAGGCCATGGCGTCGGCCACGGGGTCGGCTCAGTGCGGGTTGGCCAGGGAGTCGGCTCGGTTGCACCGCCCATCATTCCACTCATCGATCCTCCAGTTGGACGCAAAGTTGGATTGGGCGTTGGTTTCGCTGAGTTAAGGGTTGGACGCGGGGTTGCCTCACGAGTTGGCCAGGGAGTCGGTTCAGGGGTGTCATAGGGGCTTGGGGCAGAGGTGGGCTCGGGGTACGCCGTGGGACCACCGCCCATCATGCCACTCATTCCTCCACCCATCATTCCCCCTTTTCCAGTAGTAGGAGCCATAGTTGGAGCATCGCTAGGGGATGCGCTGGGAGAAGGTGTAGGGCGGGGAGTGCGCCTGTTCTTGCGGCGGCGACGGCGGCGTTGACGACGGCGACGACGACGGGCTTCGATACGTTTGGTGACCTTGCGAGGTACTCCCGCAACGGGAGAAGCGACAGGAGAAGCTTCAGGGGAAGCGACAGGAGAAGCGACAGGTTCAGCGGGCACTGGGGCGGCAAGGGCACCCTGCAAGGCCACCAAGGCCATGACGGCAAGGAGGCAATGACGAATGAGGATCTTCATGGTGGATTACCAGCAAGAAGAAGAAGAAGACAAAAAGGTGGAGATTGGCAAGAGCAGTGGATCGGATCAGCTGGTGGGTGCTTTTCCAAAACTGCTTTGGCAAAATTGTGAGTCTGTTGGGGGGTTGTTCAAAGTGCCGATCGGATCTATGGGTTTGCCTCCGTTCCGTTGAGTTGAAAAGGGATCCCATTTCTAAAGAGAGGACCAACTCTTGTCTCCCGTGATGCGAGTTGTAGCGTCTGTTTGCCTATAGATAATGATTTTGGAATTTGATCCTTCATAAGGCAAAGACTGATTATTCCCATCATTCATAAGGCAAAGACAACTCCAATCACGCACGTTAGCATGTTTGACGCTCATGGATTGGAAATTCCAACTGTTGTTTGTACGGGATAGCATGCGCAACGGCCCGTGTCCGTAGGAATCCACTGCAACACAAGGTACTGTCTGGCGAATTGTCGTCTTTCTGAAAGGAGTGTCTGGCGTACTGTCGTCTCATGTATGTTGAGGACTACTGTCCCTGAAAGAGCTTTCTGGTAGGAGTATTGGAACTCTTCCGGGATTGGGATACTCCTAGCTTCCTTACAGCCTTGCATTCAAATTTTTGGATCCTCGTAGACAAGGACATCCAGTTCCTGTTGGTGGCGTGATTGCACGTACCACACGCATGCGTCTAGCAGCATGCCCATCTCTCTATCAATCAATCGGTACCAATACTCAACGAAATGCGTTGAGAACGCTGTGACACAGGTATCATGTGAGCATCTCTACCGTATCTTCATGTGATACTCTTTGGCTGCTGGTAGGAAGCTTCGCCCGTTTCCAGAAGCCCTGTCTTGATCTCTGTCACTCAGTATGATACTAAGCATCTCTCTTTTGTTTGGTGCCTCGGCAGCAGACAAGAGGCCACCTTTTGCAACAGCCAAGGAAAAGGAACATTTGAGTTGCGAGTTCAACCATTTGTGGGCAGTGGGTTGGATCTTTGAGTATCTTTGACTCACTCGACTAAACATACGAATTACAACGCACTGCACCACTGTCTCACTTAAAGTACTTCAAGGGGTCTTGCTAATTAACCAGTGAAAATGTAACCATTAAATCAACGATTAGAAAGGCTTAATGACATTGGATTCTTTTTGTTCCAAAATCTTTCGTGCCATCTTGTTGTCACCTTTATTAAAATAATGACCGCTTAGCGGCGGTGAGCCGTTGTCGAACTTTGAGACAACAGAGAACAGAGCAGTGGGGAGAAGCACCTGACTTCCTTCGTTCACTCGCCATCTTGTTGGTAATAGTAGAGGTTCATCATCAAGCACTTCTTGTTGTACAGTAGTCTTCTCTGCAGCCCCAGTTGTTGCTGAAGCCAGATCAAATCTTTCACAGATCCTTGGTCATCAAACGCACCATTCTCCTCTTGTCCTCCTTCGTGACACACACACGCAAAAGGATTCGGCTCTTACCATTCTCATTGTCCCATCCATCTCCTTGTCTTTTCAAGTTGTCAAGTACCACTACTATATAGTGATCAATCACCATGACGACCATGTACCCTACACCGTACACGGCGGAACCCCGACAAGAGTTGGAAGACGACGACGACGCGGAAGACGATGACTTTGACGATGGCAGCACGAGTCTCTTGGAAGAAGCGGTAGCCAACAAACAGTCGGTTCAGATTTGTCGCAAGAACACGCCTCGCAAAGCCGGACGCATGTCGCTCATGTCGTTTTTTGGCCAAGCGGAAGAAGAAGAAGAGAGTGACTCGAGTTCCTTTGTCATGGCGGATGTCGCTTCGTTGGAAGAAAAGAGATTAGCCGCTCGTGCCAGTCGCGAAAAGAAACAACTCGAACAATTGAGCTTGAGTGAAGGAGGCCCCAAACGAGGACGTCGTCGCGTCGGTCGTTCGTCTACCATGAACGAAAAGGACGGTGCCTTGGCCGTTCGACGCATGTCGACATTTGATACGGCCGCAGCACACAAGATGCGAGCGTTGTCACCGACTCGCATGTCGACGATGCGTCCACTATCCCGCTCCAACACGACACAGCCGCATTCCTTTTTGCAGACGCTGGAATCCATGGCACCACCGCGGTCGTCCGACGCAGCACGATTTGCCGAACACGAAGAAACCATCAAACGATTGACGGTGGGGACGGATGAAATTGCGCAAATTTTGGAGGATCCCAAACAATTTGCCAAATTGCAAAAGGTATTGCGAAAACACGGGGCGGTTACCAATGAAGTATTGCGACAAGTCTTGCCGCTCTATGTCAAGCATCAAATCAATAGTCAAGCGGCGAAAGCGGCGGCGGCGGCACAGGGTGATGAAGCAGAAGAAGAAAAATGTATGGATCGACAGCAAACGGCTGGTAGTCTCTAAAACAGGTCGTTGTCCAAAGACAAACAAAACGAGGAGAAATAATACATGTAGTGGGGGATCCAAAAAGAAGTAGTAAAAGCCCAGAAGTTCCAAACATTTCGCGAGTTCCGCACACGCAACAAATGCATCAAAATGGCAGCACGAAGTGCCATTAGAGTACGCAATCAATCCATCAATCAATCTTGGTCTGGCAATAATGTACCTTTCATATTTATTTTCTAAAAACCCAAAAATTCATACGACTGCATGGGTTTATCGATTTACGATACTAGCAAAAAAATCACGATGAGTGCGGCTTTTGGTCGTGCTCCAGGCAATCTGCATGCCTCAAATGATCCTGTCTACGCAAATGATCCTGGCGTAGACCTCTGGAACCAAAAGATCCCACGTGGGCTGCGTAAGGCGTAAGAAACCAGCACTAACTAAGGTCGATTTCCTGGCAACTTGCACAGGTAGCTGATCCAAGGCAAGTCAATGCGAGAATGGCTACGATAACATTAGCATTTGCTTATCGAACCAAATTGAATTCAATGTTGGCAAATGCAAGTCATTTGCCTCACAGCTCTGCTTGACAGCCGAGACGACTGTCCATCGTGCTGGTCTTGAAGATCGAGGCTGTCCCGAAACATCCCAGGTGACTGCCTCCTTGGATTGGCTTTGGATGACGATATAGCTATCATAGCTAAATCGAAAGTTGTAGCACCTGGCTTTCCAGAACGTTTCACAATAATTTGCTCAGAACTAACGCTGGCAACGACTTCTGCGGCGTTGCACTCGCTGTTCGACGCACCGTACGGTACAGTAGCGTTTGTTGACGCACCTTTTCCTCGATTGCAATTGGTGCGCAGCGACTATTGTAACGGTGGTACCCACCTATAACCCATCTTCCCCACGTACTGCAGGCACAAATACATTGAATCCTCAACATCACGGGGACTCGACTTTTTGCTCGGGAGGATTCGATGATGCAGCTGGTTGCTGGAGGGAGGACCCATCCTCTTCCCGACCCGTACTGCGCTGCTGCTCCAAAGCCTTTTGTGGGGACAATCGTACATCTCTTCTGCTTGTGTTACGGTGGACGGTAGACCCACGATTGTGGTTGGGAAGCACGGCACAGGTGAGTATTTGTCCGTAAATCCAGAATATGGAAGCCTCTGGATGGACACGTCTCCACCGTTGGACGGACAGTCTGGTGTAGACAAAAAAGTTAAAGGCTCCCTGTTTTTGATTCGACAAGGCAACGAATGTCAAATAAAAATGAGACAGCGATTCCAGACCAAGCAAGGCTTCGTCGAGGTCAACCTCTGTGACTTACTTGTAATGGAAACAAGATCCAAAATAGAATTTGGATTCCATAGAAATCTCTTTGCCCCAGTTGCTCTGGTGACGTTGTGGAGCTCAAAGCCAAGGTAGTAAATGGCCACAGGAAGGAGTTCAAGTAGGCCATAGTAGCGTTTCCAGAGTCAAAGAAACAGGTTAGATAACCATCATCATCCTTTAGTTTGATTCATTCAAAAACACACGTTCTGTACTGTACGTACCCAAGGAATAAAGTACGGCCTGAACTCCAACTTGTCGAATATACTTGTCGTTGGCATCCATACTACTGGAAGATTTGGCATTGCCAGTACGACTGCTCGTTGTTGCTGGCTTCGTCAGGGATGAGTCGGATCGATCAAAGCGATACTTGCGACTGGTTTGGAATTGTTTGCGGGCCGTGAACCAGACCATGCCAGTGGCACCAAATCCAAGAATGGAAATGAGGAGTACGACCGAGCCCGCCACACGATGCAACACCAAGATGGTTTGTAAGGTGGAACGTTGACAGTCTTGTTCGTCCCCACAATCCACCGGGTAGGTGGAATAGGCACATGCATTGGCGAGTCCTGGCAGGGGATTGAGGGATTGCGTGGCTGCCGCCGCTACATCAATGCTCAACGGGATTGCCACGGCGATGATATGAGCGACCGCTTCGGCAGTTTTGGAAAAGTTGTGTTCTTTCCAGTTCCATCGGACCAGCAGCAGAAAGTAGAGGCTCAAATAAGTATTGTAGAATGCTCCCAATTTAAACGTAAACAGATGAAAGAAGCCCACCGTCGTGCAGGAAGCGTGGTTTCCAATGGCACCCGGAAGACCCAAAAAGGACGGCACGGCAAATGGCATCAAGAGACATGCCATGGAAGAAACCATGTCCGCCAGAGACAGGGACAACAGGAGGCGTTGCTTGATGTGTTTCAGTTCATGGCAGGACATGTAGACGATGCAGGCAGAGCCAATCAGTGATAGACTACTGGACAACGATCCCAACACCACAATGGGAATGTAGCGAGCATCCTCCAGTTCATTATTATTAGGGTGGTCTTGTATTGTGTGGAGATGTTCGGCTGTAATGTTCTCCATTTTAAAAAGATTGGCGCACAACTTTTTCCCTGCTTTTACGGCTATTGCTCAATCTCCCAACTAACAGCAGTTGTAGGACAGAGATAGATGATCTACGGTCCGTAGTGCAGATGCGCAGATATCGAAGTGCAGTAGACTAGCTAGTGGATGCTGGAGATAGAACGATGCAGGTCGAACGGGGTTGTGTTCCTGTCTCGAACCGACCCGCATTTCCAGTTGTCTTTTCTGCCCAAAACTAAAAGGTGAAAAGCAAGTCCGTTAAGCTTTAAAAGGTGAAAAGCAAGGCCCGTAAGTTTGCCTCTTAAATCCTCAAATACTCCACCCGAAAAGGTGAAATGCCAAAAGAAAACAGGTTGAAGCTTAATTAAGACGCACATTCACTCACCATTTCATTGGTCAAATTGGAACAACAAGGAACAACAAAATGACTGTGCTTTGACAACGATGACTCTTATTTAATTCCTTGCCCTGGTTCCTTGAAGAGCTTTTCGAGACTTCGAGACCAAGATGAAGGTTCCATCATCGATTTTCACGCAACAACCTAAACCGCTAAACCGGTCCTTATGCAGACTGCAGTCCACCAGCTAGCCATCCCAACCGTCGATCTTGTTGAAGATGGCTTGAGTTGTTTCTCTCATCTTCACAAACATCATGTCATCCCCAACACCCACAGAAGATGCTCCTCAGATCATGGACGAAGCGCATTACATCCCGTTGATGGTGATTGGGACTCTCACGTCCACCCTCTCACTGCTGGGGTCACTCTGTATCATCTACATGGTGTCCCGAGACACGAGGACCAAGATTGTCCATCGCATCTTGTTTGGAATGAGCGTGGCGGATTGTCTGACATCCGCCTGCTTCCTCTTGATGCCCTACTTGATTCCCTCGTACATTGGGTTGCCTGGTGCTGTGGGGAGCCATGCATCCTGTTCGGCCATTGGCTTTTTCTTTCTGGCATCCAATAAGATGGGATGTATCTACAACGCCTTCTTGAGCATGTACTATTACTTGGTCGTCGTCCGCAATTGGCGAGAACATGATTTCAGAAATCGACCACAGCTCGAGATTGTGTGTCACACCTGTGCCATTGTCACGATAGTGGCCATTGAAACGACCGCGGTGGCCACACAATCCATCAATCCGTCTCCCATGCAAAACAATCTTTGCATTTATGCCGTGTCGCCGTGGGGTTGTAATAATGACAATGATGAGTGCAGCCGATCCAACCGGACCACTCTGACTATCTTTTTGGCCATTTCGGGAGTGCTCTACGTTTCCTTTTCCGTGGCTGGATTTGCCTGTACCGTGCTCGTCTGGCTCCATGTCCGGACGACATTGAAACGAAGCGGTCAGTATCGCTTTGAAAATTCCATTCGTCCTCCAGCAGAGGAAAGCTCGACGATTCTGCATCGAATGAGCAGTGTGGCCAATGACACGCTGCGGAGAATCAGCATGACAGCATCCTCCACAGCCTCCTCGGAAGATCCCAATGATGCCAAAATCCGACAAGTGGCCATGCAAGCGATTCTGTATTCCTTGGTGTGCTTTCAAACCATTATTTGGCCTCTGATCGTCGTCACTATTTCCAGTGCTCTGACAGACGCGGACATGGAAGAGGTGAAATTGACGCCAGGATTTTACGTGTTAAAGGTCATGTTTTGGATCTGCTATCCTCTACAGGTGAGTGAATTTATTTGCTCCGTTATTAGTTTTGCCACACTACTATCATTTGCTTGTGGAGGAATATCATTTTGCTGTCTCACATACATTATATCCTTCCGCCTGTATAGGGATTCCTCAATTTCTTTGTCTTTACGCGCCCCAAAGTCAAACGATGGCGGGAAGTAGAACCGAACAAATCGTGTCTTTGGATATTCCGACAGGTGGTTGCGTGCAAGACTCCTACTACGAACAGGTATACTGGGTCCAGGATCAGTACCAAGCATTCACGACAATTCAAAGTACCAGTGGAACAATCGAAGCAGCAGCAACAACAACAACCACAACAATCATCAGAGCAAGAAGAAGAAGAAGAAGAAGAGAAACCTCAACAGCCACAATCCGAGGAGGATGCCTACGAGGATGACGCGAATTGAAACAATAGTTCAACCAGCAAGTCCAGCAGTTATATTTGCATCTTGGATGCTGACAGCAGTTGGATTCCTTGAAGACGACGAACCCATGAGGGGGAAGGATTCATTCCTTGAACTACAACAACCAAAGAGCCGATACGCACTCAAACAATACGCAACACGTACGAAGCACTTGCTGGCTAGAAGTGTTGCGGGCACTGCGCCATCAATCTGCACGTGTCAATTATCACACACGGGGACAGTTCTTGGGCTGGGATCGTGATGAAGGTGTCTTATTTATTAGGAGCAAGAGCTCAAGCTTTTACGACGGGCTGCCACCAAGCCGTCAGAGCCAAGCCTCTCTGACGGCATCTACCGTTCTCTTCCAAGGATCCACAGGAGCTCCTGAAAGCAAGGAAGGATTGCTGAAGCATGCTTGTCCCGCCCCCTGTTGTTCGCTACGACGTGTTCTGCTCATGAGAACAAGGTTGACAACTCAACTGTGGGCCCTTCTGATCGTGCATACGGTAGATAACATTCTAGTCTACGGAATGCCACAGAAATAACTTTCATGCTCGCTTGCCTCTCCCCCATCGTGAAGTGAAGACTGCTGTGACAGTTGCTGCAGTAGACTCTGCGCTCCTTCTCTGAGAATGCTCCTTCTCCGAGAATGCTCACTGGCTTCTTTCGGAAATTCCAAGCCCACCCTTGATTGGGAGAATCCAAGCGGGAGCCCGAGCTGATTGTCGATTTGATTCGATAGCCCAAGTTATCCAACGAGTCCTCTTCAAGCATGCAAAACCGATGGACGCACTGCCGCCATGCTGCATGTCATGCTAGCTAGACCAAACGGAGAGGACCTTCCGACTGTTGCCGACCCTCCATTTCACAGGAGTGTCAATCAATGGGAGCAGATTGTCGAGCGAGTCTCCACTACTCTATTGGTCTTTTCGTCATCTTCTGCCGTCGTCTCTTCCCCATTTCGATTCGTAGGTTGACAAGGATCAACAGTCTGGTCACCAGTATTTGAAAATCTCCCTGATCGGCTCCTAGGCGGTGCCTTGCCGGAGAGGACTGCCCTGTAGATTTGTAGTGTAGAGTATTCTGGCTGTGCCTTTTTCCAGTGAATGACTCTTGGTCGTGTGTAGACAAAGAAATTCCAAGCACCCTATGGTATACATTTGGAAGAGCAGTTTCATGAATCTCTGGATCATCAGACCTACTGGGAAAGGAACACATCCAAATCCAAATGAACCTGAAAGAAGAAAAAAACTCACCTGAGAAGGATAGAAAAGCATGGTCAATAATTTCAAAATGTAGAAACCTGGCTGCAAGTTCCTCTCTGCAAGCTCCGCATCTGAAATGGATCCAAATAAGATCATCATAAGCAATGGCCAGATACAAGAATTCAAATATGCCATTTCATAAAGTGCTGCCTGAGTCCCCATTTCTCGGACCATTTTATCATTGTTGCTTTCAGAACTCCTGGCAATACTGGTCCGGCTGCTAGATTGTCGAATGGATTGTCCAATGGAATGTCGAATGGATTGTTCAAAATTGTATTGACTGTTTCGTCGAAATGTCTTTCGTGCAGTCCGCCATACAATGGCAGTACAGATGAGCCCCACAATGGTCCAGATCCAAAAGAGTGGAACGGAAGCTGCCACAAAGATGAGCGATGTAGCCTTGGATGACCTCTCGCATTCATCTTCCTCGACACATCCAAGAGGATAAGGGCCATACATACATAAGTTTGCAAAAAAAGGAGTTGGATTGATGGATTGAGTTGCTGCAGCTGAAATGTCAACAGCCAATGGCAACGTTGTGGCGAGCACATGTGCCCCAATTTCCAACGGTTTCCGAAAGTCATGCTCCTTCCAATTTCGGCAGACAATCAAGAGGAAATAGATGCTCAGATAAGCATTGTAGAACGATGACACCTTGATGAATACCAAGATGAAGAAGCCACCTGTTGTGCAGGAGGCATGATTCCCCACTGCTCCAGGAGTCCCAACCCACTTGGGAGCCAAATATGGCATCAACATCCAGAAAGCAGATGACACCATATCTGAGATGCTGAGAGCCAGAAGCAGCCGTTGTTTGATATGCTTCAATTGGTTGGGTCTGGAAGACATGTAAACAATGCAGCCAGAGCCTAATATGGATAGAGTTGATGTGATTGTCCCCAGCACAATTACAGGAACATAATAATAGGCTATGGTGGAATCATCATCACCTTCCGTACCCAGTGTAGATTGTGACATCTCCACTCTTTCGTAAAGGAATCCGGGAGAAAATGAGGGACTGATTCAGATGATCGATGAGGAGCTCAAGCTGACTTCATTAGCACAGTACTGTACAGTGTAGAGCACCAGCCTACAAGAGTGCAAGAGTGAGGACTACCAGTATGGAGCGAACAGATCGAGGAGAGCTCCGAGGAGCTGATTTGCTGCTGAAAGAGCTGAATGCAAACCGTACGTCCGTACGTACGGTAGACTACAATGTACTACTGTACTGTAATGTCTACCGTACTAGCCAGTACTGGTACTGGAGTATTTACAGTACGTACAGTACATACAGACTCGCTTTTTCAACCGCACCGCAAAAGATGCCCTTTGCACCCTCCACTTCTCTTCCTCATCCAGAGAGCCACAGCCCCAATAATGGCAGTTCCTTGAAGGCGGCCGTTTGCATTGGTTGATAGAATGTTTCGAAGATAATCTGCAAGAGGTGTACATGTACTGGTATGGTAGAGCGCATCAAACGAGGCTCTTTGTCGACCTTCCAAACACTCTCGGAGGCTGTACACGAATAAAGTTTTGTACTTCTGGCAAGATGTACCAAGATCTCACAGAAGACAAAGTATCCAAGGCCAACATGCACAATTCTTCTATTTGTTTTGGAAACAATCGCATCTACCCTACTATTGGTGGGGGCTCTGGGTGCCTCGTTTACATGCCTTCCTGGCCCAAACAGTACTGCTTGCTCTCCGTCGTCAATCAGAGGACTTATTACGGCTAGTTGCTTCCCCGCTCGCTACCGGTACTCGCCTAAATCAAATCAGTTGACTCGCACAACGATCCCGCGATTGCAGATTGCCTGAACTGAAACCAATGCGGCAACATGACATCAATCCCAAACGCGTGTCTTATCTGCTTTCAACTGTTTTGATCAGACCGTGCTACAGTACACTCTAGCATGCCTCTGCGCTCGGTGGTATCGGATCTACATGCGAGAGTATGTTAGAGGAATGAAGTGAGCAGGAATTCCAAGCAAGGTCATGCGATACCTCGAATCGATGTGCCGAAACATCTTGAAAGCCCATACCAAGAACGGTATCCGCTTCCACATCCATCAAAGATGCAAGATTGTTGGTTCTTCTTCTTTTGAGGTGCGGCTCGAAAGGCTCGAGAGCAGGCACTTTCTCCCTCTAGGCTAAGGTGCGGTATACAGGGTCCAGGATCAGTACCAAGCATTCACGACAATTCAAAGTACCAGTGGAACCATCGAAACAAGAAGAACAACAACAATCATCAGAGCAAGAAGAAGAGCAGCAACCTCCACAACAATCCGAGGAGGATGACGAGAATTGAAGTAATTAGACCTGCAAGTCCAGCAGTTATCTTGGATGTTGAAGCACAAAACAACGAACCCGTGCACGGGAAGAATTCCTTGAACTACAAAATGGGCCGATATGGTGGAGCTCACTCAACGACATGCAACTCAAAGCACTTGCTGGCTGCAAGTGTTGCGGGCACTGCGCCATCAATCTGCACATGTTACTTATCGCCCCAACGGGAACAATTTTGGGATTGGAATTGTGCGCAAGGTGTCTTGGGAGCAAAAGCTCAAAGTCTTACGATGGGCTTCCACCAAGGACTCCCGAGCCCCTGTGACGACATCTACCGTTCTCTTCCAAGGATCCACAGGAACTCCTGAAGGGAATGAAGGATTGTCGTAGCATCATGCTTGTCCCTGCCCCCGGTTGTGCTCATGAGAACAAGGTTGACGAATCAACAGTAGGCACCTTTTGATCGTGCATACGGTAGATAACGTCTAGTCTACGAAATGCCACCGCGTCACTTTCGTTCTCGTTTGCCCCTCCCCGTCGTGAAGCGAAGACGGTTGTGATGGCTGCTGCAGTAAGGTAGACTCTGCGCTCCTTCTCCGAGAATGTTCAATGGCTCCTTCTCTTGTTTTCGCAAATAATTCCAGCCCACCCTTGACTCGACTCGAGAATCCAAGCGGGAGCATGAGTTGGTTGTCAATTCGATAGCCCAAATTATCCAAGGATTCCTCTTCAAGCATGTAATCCGATGCATGCATTGTCGTCACGCTATGCCATGCAAGGCACAACGGAGAGAACCTTTCGGACTGTTGACGATTCTCCATTTCTCAGGAGCGTAAAAAAATCGGAACCGATGATTGTCGAGTCTCAACTACCTCTCGATTGGTCTTTTCTTCATCTTCTTCCGTCGACTCCTCGCCATTGCGATTCGTAGGTTGATTAGGATCAACAGCTTGTTCACCACTCTTTGGTTTTCTCCCTGATCGGCTCCTACTAGGCGGCATCTTGCCGGAGAGGACTGCCCTGTAGATTTCTTGTGTAGAGTAATCTGGCTGTGCCTTTTTCCAGTGCAGCACTTTTGGTCGTGTGTAGACAAAAAAATTCCAAGCACCCTTTGATATTCAGAAGAGCAATTTCATGAATGATTCAATCATTGGATCACCAGACTACATGTAGCATAGGAACACGTCCAGACCTGAGAGGCAAAAAAACAACTCACCTGAGAGGGATAGAAAAGCATGGTCAATAATTTCAAAATGTAGAAGCCTGGCTGCAAGTTCCTCTCTGCAAGCTCTGCATCTGAAATGGATCCAAATAAGATCATCATAAGCAATGGCCAGATACAAGAATTCAAATAAGCCATTTCATAAAGTGCTGCCTGAGTCCCCATTTCTCGGACCATTTTATCATTGTTGCTTTCAGAACTCCTGGCAATACTGGTCCGGTCGCTAGATTGTCCAATAGATTGTCGAATATTGGATTGTTCAAAATTGTATTGATTGTTTCGTCGAAAGGTCTTTCGTGCCGTCCACCATACAATGGCAGTACAGATGAGCCCCACAATGGTCCAGATCCAAAAGAGTGGAACGGAAGCTGCCACAAAGATGAGCGATGTAGCCTTGGATGACCTCTCGCATTCATCTTCCTCGACACATCCAAGAGGATAAGGGCCATACATGCATAAGTTTGCAAAAAGAGGAGTTGGGTTGATGGATTGAGTTACTGCAGCTGGAATGTCGACAATCAATGGCAACGTTGTAGCGAGCACATGTGCCCCAATTTCCAATGGTTTCCGAAAGTCGTGCTCTTTCCAATTTCCGCGTACAATCAAGAGGAAGCAGATACTCAGATAGGCATTGTAGGTTGATGACACCTTGGTGAATACCAAGATGAAGAAGCCACCTGCTGTGCAGGACGCATGATTCCCCACTGCTCCAGGAGTCCCAACCCACTTGGGAGCCAAATATGGCATCAACATCCAGAAAGCAGATGACAGCATATCTGAGATGCTGAGAGCCAGAAGCAACCGTTGCTTGATGTATCTCAATTGGTTGGGTCTGGAAGACATGTAAACGATGCAGCCAGAGCCTAATATCGATAGAGTTGATGTGATTGTCCCCAATACAATCAGAGGAACATAATAGGCAAAGGTGGAATCATCATAATCATCAGTACCGGTTGGTGATTGTGACATCTCCAATCTTTCATTAGAAAGGAAATCAGGGATACAGAATATCAGGGACTGATTCGGATGATCGATGAGGAGCTCAAGCTGACTTCGTTAGCACAAAGCATGAAGCAAGCAATGTGTATTACAACTGTTCAATGTAGAGCAACCGCAAGAGCGCAAGCGTGGAGCAAGATACTAGCTACTAGTAGTACTTGTACACGCAGCAAAATGTCGACGTGCTGAAGGATTAAGGATTGGCTGCTGACTGCAATGAAGGGGGTCACAACTTCACGCCGATGGAACGAAAGACTTATTACCTTTGTTAAAAGTTAAGCATCCCCATGCATCTGCGAACTCAAAGAAGAGATAGGGGACAGTGCTCCGACGTGCCATTCGCAAATCGCAAGGAAACAAAAACTACGGTACTATAATAGCTAGTACTGTACGACTGTAGCTAGCTAGTGCACTGGCTAGACTACCAGGACCGTCCGACGGTTTTCACTCAGGCTTTAAAAACGGGCACGACTGACTCAAGATCCTGGTTCTCATAAGGGGTTGTTTAAGGGGTTGTTGAAGCTTTAAGGGGTTGTTTAAGGGGATGTTGAATATTTAAGGGGTTGTTGTTAAGGGGTTGTTTATTTAAGGGGATGTTCATTCGTGATAAGGGGTTGTTGTATGGCGTTTCAATGAAGACTTAAGGGGTTGTTTCGAGGATATAAGGGGATGTTGTTAAGGGGTTGTTTATTTAAGGGGTTGTTTAAGGGGATGTTGAAGCTTTAAGGAGTTGTTTAAGGGGTTGTTTAAGGGGTTGTTTAAAAGATGTTGTCAGACGTGGCAATTTGAAGATTTTTAAATCCCGAGTGAAAAGCGTTGGACGGTCCAGGTAGCTACCGGTAGCTAGCTAGACTCGACTCTGACTCGACTCGACTCGACTCATGAAACTGAACTCTGCCCTCACTTTTTCGTCCTCGAGCCCGCGAAAGATCCCCTTTTGCAGCCTTCACCACTCTTCCTGATCCAGAGAGCCACAGCTTCCATCATGACAGATACTAGCTAGATGGTGGCCGCGGAATTTAGAAGAGTTTGCATTGGTTCATAGATTGTTTCGAAGATAAGCTGCAAGCGGTGTACTACCGGTATGGTAGAGCACGTCGATGGATCCTTCCAGATGCTCTCCGACGCACTGAGCCGATGTACACGATCCTTCTAAAGCAAATCAGCTGACTCGCAGGACGATGACGTAATTTGCGCCCCCAACGATTGCCTGAACCGAAACCAATGCAGCAACACGACATCAATTCCAAATGTGTGTCTTCCTTTTGAATCGAATCTGCTTTCAACTGTGCTGATTAGACCGTAGTAAACTCTAGCATGCCTCTGCGCTTGGTATCCGATCTGCATGCGTAGGGTGTTAGAGGAAGCAAGGTCATGCAATGCCTCGACTCAACAAGCCGAAGCATCAGGACCTGCTTCGTCTACCGCCAACATCTTGGAAGCCCATACCCGTAACGGTATCCGCTTCCACATCCATCCAGGAAGCAAGATTGTTAGCTCTTCTTCTTTTGAGGTTCGGTGCGGCATGGAAGGCTCGAGAGCTGGCACTTTCTCCCTCTTGGCTAACGTGCAGTTTTCAATCCAATACGCTAGCTACGATTCAACAAGATATTCGTGTTCAACGAGTACAAAGTTTTACATCTACCTTCTTGTGCCAAGATTCACTAAAGAACACGAGCCTTCGCTGACCGCCGGATCTCTCATTTCTTTCTTCGAACCTGAACCAAAACGTCGTGCTCGGGAGCAATGGCACCGACTCCTCCGTTGTGCGGATTGATGGTGGGTACTGTTTCTCCAGGCTTGATACGAATCTCCAACATGGACAAGAGGAGACAGGCATAGGCTTTGCATTCGTACATTGCAAACTTGCGTCCTGGACAGAGTTGCTGTCCACCTCCAAAGGGCCGCCAAGCATCAATGCGTTTGCCATCCTTTGTAAATACAGGCATATCCCCATTGGAATCTTTGAGGAATCGATCCCATTGAAAGTTGTAGGGATTGGCATAGATTTCGGGATCCATATGAAGGGTAGGAACATTTCCCATGATGCGAGTTCCTTTTGGGAGTAGGTATCGATGTTTTTGTGTTGGCGACTTGACTTCCAAGACAATATCTTCCTTGATGTCACGTGGACTCACAGCAAGAGCACCCATGCGAAGAACTTCGTGAAAGGCAGAGTCAAGTGCTGCCATCTGGTCCAGTTCCTCCAACGTAAACGTGGTGGATTCCCCTTGTGGCAATTGAATTCTCTCCAGGTCCTTTTGCGCCGCAGTGCGTAGGCTGTCATCAGTCAGCATGTAGGCAATGACCCAAAAGATGGAAGGAATAGTGTTGCCTAGACTGGCCCAGGAAAGAGCCAAACTCCCGGCATGGGATTCTTCTGGAGTTATTCCGTTTTTGGCATCCGACTCATGCTTAGATCTAAGAAAATCCTTGACAGTCTTCTTGTGTTCCTCGCCTCTCAATACCTCCAGCAGTTTATTGCGACCTTCTACAAAGTCCTTCAAGAGGAACTTGGGCGTTCCTTTGATGGCCTTTCCGATGCCCTTGTCAAACTCACGGAAATAGGGTAGCATTGATGGGTCTGCCATGGCATCAGACACAAATGCTGTGTAGGTTGCTTTGTGAATGGCACGGAATACCATCTCGTGGAGTGCAACTTCAGTCCATTGATCTTCTGAAAACTCTTGTTGGATCATTTGCAGAATAATGTCCTGAGCAGTTTGAACAGTCGGTTCAATCATTTCCTTGGTCAAGAGGCGCCTGTAATTGGCTTGTGAATCCTTCAAATGCTCTGGATTTGCGTAAGATTTTGAAGAAATCTCTGGAGGAATACCAAAGATCTTCTCAAAGAAGTAGATCTTCAATGATTGACCTTCCAAATGTTTGGCCTTGTCGTAAATGATACCCACAAAGTGTGAATCCCCAATGAAATGGCAGGTCTTCCCAGCAATCAAACAGGTGAAGACAGGTGTATCAAGTTTTTGAGAGTACTTGCGAATAAACTGGAGGGGATCTTTGCCCATTTCCGGTGCTTTGCCCAAAAAGGGAATCCATGAAGATACGTAGGGTGGTTCCACTACATCTTGACCATACTCCTTTTGGATCGCCCTCTTCTTCCTCTCTGCCTGGATCTTCTGCTGCAAGGTATAGCAACACACAACAGTCAGTACTCCAAGGAGCACACTGTTCCAAAAGCTGCTATTCTTTGGGTGCTGGATCATCTTGGTGCTTCACAATCCCTGCCGCACTGCTTTGTGCTTCGAGGAGAGGACTGCACTGGCGCGATAGTGGCTCAGCTTTTCATGCACGAAGACTTGCAAGCATCAAATCCGCGAACCATTCGCGTGAGTATCAACGATTGAAAATTAGAAAAACATTTATTTTTGTTCCGGATTTCGAACTATTGTTTGTAAAATTGCATAAGTATGGTAAAATGAACCATCACGAGACTACGGAGCCAGCCGGGGCGGGGCCATCAAGAGGCCAAACTCAGACATCACCAAAGGCTACCGGCACAGTCGTAGCTAGCTAGATTGTTGCGAGTGAGGAGTGATTGCATGCAGGGTGCTCGTGCTTTCTTCACTCGTTTCTACTGAAGAAACATGCTTCTAGCTAGCTAGATGAATCGAAGTCCCGATACAAGCTAGCTCATTGCTAGCTAACCAGTTGAACACACGAAGCTGGGTCGACCACCCCGATCATGTTTTGCATCAAGCCGTACACGAAGCCTCCAACATCCTGACGTTTGTACTCAAGTGGCATTTGCTTTGTGGCTTTGTCCTTGAACGAACGAAGATGCACAGGCATCACCTGCTTCTCCAGCCGACAGGTTCGTCAAAGCCAGGTCGCGGGAGAGTGTCTCAGGCATTTTGGAACATTCAATTCAACCCTACAATCCAACCTTCTACATACATGTTGGTGTAATAGCAAGCATTCTGCTTATGACGAAGGGGGGCTGACTGCTGACTTTGCCAGCGACAGAGGACATTGGCATGATTCAATCAGTTCGAAATCACCTTGACGACACCATTCCCGTCTGAAGCTATCTCTGACATCTTCCGGTCCAACGTGTAGGTGGTTGCTGTGTTGGTTGGGTCTACCCATGTGTGCTCATTTTATTTGCTACACGCGTGGTGGAGCTGACAAGAAGCAATTGATTGCATTACACTGTAATAACGGAAACCGGAATGAATCCCGAGTTGATGCTGGATGCACGTATGAGTCGAGCCGAGATGATTGGTCACCGAATCTGAGGGAGAAGGAAACATGAATCTTGACACCTCCATCTCTGAATGATGATGGAATCGAGGGTCTCTTCCTTCGGCTGTTGACGACTCTGGTTGAGAATCTTGACAACCAAAGCGTTTGCGTGGCTCTTTGCTTCATCATTGGGGTTGCACGAATCTGTGCACCCACCCATTGAGAATGCAACACCCCATTCTGCCACATTTCTTCGTTGCACATTTGTTCTTCCTGTCTCCAAGGCCGAATCGTCGAAGCAAAGGTGTGTAGCAACAATGGTGTCAAACAATCGAATTGCCTTCGGCTCTTGCAATGAACAAGACCGCCAGAACAAGATGTGGCCCATCATCGAGAAGAGGGGTCCTGCAGCATTCATTTTTGGAGGGGATGCAATCTATGGAGGTACGTCGGGCACTGCAATGCTATAAGGGTCTTGCGGTTCACTGCCAATTCCATCGAATCTTACCATGATGGCTGTTTTTGTTTTTGTTTTCACTTCCATCAGACTATGATCTCCCTACAGATTGGACCAAGTTCCTCCCAGAGACACCTCATGTATGTGCCGACCCTGCACGGCTTCGCAATCTCTACAAGAAGCAGAAAGCCGTGCCTGGTTACAAGAGTTTGCTCAAGAGCAACATGACCATCTTTGGGTCCTTTGACGGTAAAGTTGTCTGCTGCATTGTTCTTTCGGCGAAATCGTGATCATCCTTCCTGACCTTATCTGGCTTCCCCGTCATTGCCAGACCACGACTATGGATGCAACAATGCTGACAAGACGTTTGAACATCGATATGAGGCCGGTTTGGAATTTGTAGAGTTTCTTGGTCAACCAGCTGATTCCCCAATGAGCCGTCGTGCTCAGGCTGGTATGGGTGTTTATGGAGTCAAACTCTTTGACTTTGCTCGCCCCAAAGGACAACAGGAAGTCCCTGATGAGGAAGCCCTGATTGATCCCCATGTACTCGACAACGGCAATGCCACTGCAGTTCCTGTCTTCCCTGCTTATTCTAATCAATCTGTGGCTGTCTTTGTCCTTGACGTACGTTCCAACAAGAGTCCTTGGAAGCAGGGAAGCGCTGCCTACATTCCTGACTTTGAAGGAGACATGCTGGGAGAAGACCAATGGCAATGGTTTGAAGCTGCCATAAGTCGGTCACGGGCGGCTGTGAACGTTGTCGTGAGTGGGCTTCAACACCATGCAAACATCTTTCCGGAACCCAACATTGCCGAATCCTGGACCCGGTTTCCGTCTTCTCAACAACGTTTGTTCGATGCCATGCTGCAAGATGGAGTGCAGGCTCCGATTCTTGTCTCTGGAGATGTACACATGAGTCAGCTGATGCGCAAAGATTGTGCAAGAATAGATGGAACCTCTAAACAGCGACGTTCCCTTGTAGAAATGACAACCAGTGGCATGACACACAGCTGGGGTACTGTCAGCTCCCCACCACTCTCCAACCCCAATGAAAAGCCTTCCTTGCAGGAACGATACAAAAGTTTTGCTGCCAGAGTTACGATGCATGTCCTCCACGCCGTCAGCCCCTGGACTGACCTTCTGGTGTCTCAACCATCAACTGAAGAGGCAACCGCTGGTTTGTTTCCCAATGGAGGTGGTGAAGGAGCCAAGGATGGTTTGCAGTACTCATTGGAAAAGAATTTTGGCGAACTAGAGTTTGACTGGGAAAACAGAAGGGTCTCGATGCGATCATTTGGGGAAACACCTGGGACTCCACCTCTCCTCATGGCCAGCTGGACACTGGACCAGCTCTCTGGACACGATTCCATCCCTGGTAGCGTCCTCACGTCGCAAAACTTCGTGGACCAGGCAAACCTCCACGCCCCGAGGTTTACAAAGAATGGCGGCGAGTGGATGTGCCTTGCTCATCGGGGGACTCCCAGCTTGTTTTGGCAAATGGCGGGCCACGTCTCGACAGTAGGCGGGCTTTCCATCTTGCTCCCTTTCCCAATGCTGGTCCCCACTCTGCTCCTTGCCATGATGTTCTTCAGAAAGCCACGGACGGGCCTTGCTTCTTCCAAGAGACGGATATAAGGGTATAACCGTAGACAATGATGCTGACGTCCGCTCATGCCTGGGGCTACTGCTGGGTTTTCGATTGGAATTTGTACACAAACTGTTTGTATGTTGTGCAGGTATATTTGATAAGTCACTCACTAGAATATTTTGAATACATAGCTGACACAGCTCGGAACTGAATCGAGGAATCGCTAGCTAGCTGCAGGACTTGAATTTGATCAAACTGTTGCTTCCGGTGACAACACAACTATAAACAGTCGATCTTGTTTGTTCGGACTCTAAACATGTATGTATCACTTGTGACGGGGAACCAGGACCTTCCAACCTTGGAGAGGGGCTCGCTTTTGCTCGCTCGCCAGAACTTGATCCGCCTTTCTCCCTCTTGCAGATTATTCGGTGCGCCCTGTGTGGTGTACGGTTTCGTGTGGTGCTCAAGTTGCGTGGTTTGTCGTGTGCAAAGTGTTGAGGTGCAGGTTGTTGTTGTATGATGGTTCATATTGTTTGTGTGCATGCTCGGGTTGCTTTCATCACCATCATTTTTGTGTATGTTGGCAACTGTGGCGTGGGATCGGACTGCCGGTGCTTAGAAAAAAAAGCGGCTAAAGATGACAAGGACCTCAGCGAGAAAGTCTGCGAGCGCTGACATGGAACCCTCTTCAAATATATCAGCAAATATTCCTGCACCTGCGCTTTCATCACCAGTGTCTTGTCCCAACTGACTGGCAATTCCGGCAATCGCAGCAATGGTACCATCTACAACGCTCGTAGCAACTGTTTCATCTGCCGCAAAGTCAACACCATCGACGAGTTGATCCACGTCCACCGTTCCAGCATCCCCACCATTCAGGAAGAAAGCAACCGCTGCGGCTGTGGCAATACCCGTGAGAACCTTTCGCTCTAGAGAAGGCGAAAGCTTGGCGACGGTTGGATCCAAGCAGGCTTCCATGGTTCCCACGTGATCTCCTTCATCGTCCCGAATTGCCGAGAAGACATCGTAAAGGGATTCCATTTGAAGTCCAGGGCGGCGCAGCTATGGTATATTGCACGCATGGTCAGTTTTCGTTCGGATATGGTTGGCACATTCAAGTGAAGCCATGCATTGACGTACCTCTTGCTGCTTGGAAATGGCAGATGTTTGAAACTCGGCATAGTACGGATCCGACGCACCCAAGGCGTAGTAGTCCACAGCCGCCAAGGACGGCGGCAGATCCTTCAAGGCATCTTCATTCTCATCCAGGAATTGGCTGTAGGTATTGACGGCATGTGTCTCAAGCAACTCGGAGAACTTGTATGATAGAGATGGGCTAATGCACCACAAGACGCACAAACCCGCAAAGTAGGCAATGGCAGAATGCTGTGCCATAAACCGGACCCACCATGCTTGATCTCCACCTAGGGATTCCATAATCAACAAGTGCCCTGAATGGAGATGAGGGTTCGTACATGTTAGTGTCCAGGAGTTCCACTTCATTTATTTGTTGAATACAAGGACATGGCACTAAACTTACGAAATTCGTTGAGTTCTTCGGCGAAATGAATTCGCTTCATGTCGGCAGATCGTCTCCAGAATCCCAATGTTTCGTACAGATGCAACATTCCAATGTACGCAAAGTAGGGCATGCGAGCCACAGTCTCCAAAAGAAAGAATCGCGACGGAACATATCTTCCTTCAAAGACCTCGTCCAGCATATAGCAAAGGAGCAGGTACGGGACTTTGATGAGCCAAGGAGCCTCAATGGGTCCGTCCTTGAGTTCTCTTTGCCAAATGGCTGTGGAGTTCAAAGTCAATTGTTGTAGTTTTTCCTGCAGTTTTACTTGCTTGGGAGTTAGCTCTGAAAATGAAGGTGATATAGAGGGGATCAGTGAGACTGATGAAATGACAACGGCAACACCAAAGGAAACAGGGAGATGCATAAATAATTTGAAGCTGCCTCAATGGTACTTACCGACATCTTTTTCTTCCGTATACTCGTTTCTCATGGCATCTAGATTCCTCATGAATTGTTGACTTCCCAAAGAGACTATATTGGCAGGTGGTCCATATCCCACTAATGCCTGATTTCCTCCCTTGAGATCAAATTTGGGTCCTTCACTTCTGGATTGGAAGCCATAATCAAACCCTTTGAGGATAGAAGAAGCCACCGACAAGAGCTCGGACGAGACAAACTTTGAATCAGTGAAATCGGTCGAGTTGCTGGGTGTGGTGGTATCGAACGTCTCGTAGAGACCCAACAGACGTTTGGTTTGCTCCATCTCGGCTTGTTGACGAGACAGCAAACGCTCCAAAGCATCCATGGCCTTCTGCTTAGCTTGCTCTCGAGGAGCCTCGTTCTTGTCCGCAACAGTATCTTCATTGGTCTCTTCGAGAGTGCTGGAAAACAATTTTGTGGGGAGACTTGTAGCTGCAGGAACCCTCAGTGATGGCTTGAGACGAGGGGAAAATCCAAGGGCGCCCTCTGAACTCAACAGAGCCGCCATGGCCAGCAAAACTTTGTTGGCCGACAAAATCATATTCTCTCTTTGCTTTCTTCTCTTCCAGACTAAAAAATTGTGAGAAGCAACTTTAAAAAAACTGTAGCTGAGATATCAGCCAGTAATGTTTGGGCTTCTTAGCTTTTCGAATGCAAACTCGATTGATGAGAAGGAGTTGATGGGAGATGGATTTTGGCTTTCATGGCACATTGTACGGCTGTAAAAGATGAATGTTGAAAGGAAGCGGAATGGAATGGATGCAATCAACGGTGTGTTCCGAGAAATCATTGTTGTGGGAATGACGTGTGTTTCTGAAGTGTTTGATGACTGGGAAATTGGTGCTGTCCTAATAGTGTCCTACCGGTAGCAAAGTAATTTTGTACAATACACTCCTCACTCACACTTAAGATAAGTGAGTTTAAGATACCGAGTACTCAACTTTTCAGAAATGTTTAGATAACCCAGACACTCAGATTTCCCAAACCAGTAAGATAAGCAACGAGTACTGAGGTGTCGAATCCTAAGCTAGTACTAATACTATGTGGGGTTTGAATGCAGCTAGTACCCACTATCTTCCACATCACTATCTACATCCAAGTACTCCAAATCCGCATTTAGGGTGCCTTTCTACCACAACATCTTTGGTTTCATCAATTTTAGCTTTGCACTTTTGCCTTCTTGAGCTTTGGTCCTGGCTCCTCACTGTCTGAGGGTATGTTTAGTAGTAGGGGTATGTGACAATAGCTTCTAGTGGCAATAAGATATGAAAGATACTGAGATTGGGCTGCTTGTAAGATAATAACTCAGTGTTCCTGTGGCTGAATTGGTTAAGATACCTCCAGTAGTGGATCAAGAATAGAGTTATCTTATTGGTGAGGTAGGAGTGTAGCGTAGCGTGGAAGACTGGTACCGAGAGGTGCTTGAGGTAAACGTTGGCAATGACTCGACTCTGAATACTTGCTCAAAACATTTTTATTTACCGCGTCTACCTGCATAAAAAGCTAGCAATGAAATCCAGAATCCAGGGGCATTCCGCGATTAACAGTGGAAAAGATCCTCTGTCACTGGATAAGCTACATTCCCACATCACGGTGCAACGTGGTGCAATGTGGATGGGGGCAATATAGAGCATGAGTGACGCTCAGTCCTTATTCCGAAACATTCACGAACGCATGCAACTGAGTTCAGGGAGACAAGAAAACCTAAATGAATAAACTGTTTATAAATACCTCTTCTACCATACCCTTACGGTACATCGAGAACCCCGCGACCACGGTGAACTACAGCGAGACTGCGTGGCAGACATTTGCCCATCAGAAACAATCGCACTAACTCGAAGTGAGTAGATATGCTACATGTAGCGCCAGCAAACCTACTATACTAGGTAGCTAGGTAGCTAGCTAGCAAGAGCTGTCAGTTACGCTACTAGAGATCTACTAGCTAGCTGGCCAGTAATCGGTGGCGGCATCATCGGATGGATTGGCATATTGGCATCCACATTTGTTTGGTTCACTGGTCTCTGCGTGACGATCTTTTGACTGTGTTGCCGGGTTGCATGTTCGTACTGCCTGGTCCAGTGTGTATCGTCATTTGAGGATGCGTGTGCACGAAGTCATTGGTTTGGGGGAAGCAACCAAACCTGAGGAAAGAACAAAGCTCACAATTTTGCAAAACCAAAAACAACACTAAGCAGAACAAACACAAAAACAATTCCTCATCGTCTACCACCATGATCCGTTCTTTGACTCTCTTCACAATGGCCTCTTCTGCCATGGCTTTTCAAGTTGCCCTTCCCACGAAGACTCCCGCCATGGCCTTGCAGATGTCATCGGAGCCTTTCCCTTATTACGCTTCCTTGGCTGATACCAGCAATACTCTCGTGGAAGAGGCAGCCAATGAAATCGCCTTGTCCGAAGAACCAGCGCCCAAGGCAGAAGCCCCCAAACCCAAGACCGCCGCACCCAAAAAGAAAAAAGGGCCCGTTCACAAAGAAGGCGTCTTATCACCGATGGTGATGTTTGTCAGGGGCTTTTTGGGTGACGAACTCCTCAACAAGGTTCGAGGCAAGGCCATCTCCATTCATTCTGGAGTCATTGGAAACTTTGTTGAGACTTCCGACTCTGTCTTTGGTGATGCCGTGCTTCGATCTCTCTTTCACCTGGCCGACAAGGACGGAAATGGCACCATTTGCGAGGCAGAGCTCCAGGAGGCAATGCAGTCACTTGGATTCGACTGGCTCCAGGCAAAGCAAGTGGCAGGAATATTCAAAAGAGCAGATGCCGACGAAAGTGGAACGATCGACATGGATGAATGGGTCAAAGAAGCTCCCAAGACTCTGCGAACTAACCTGGTCAAACTTGCCAAGAAAAATGGAAACGATATGGGTCTGTTGTCTTAGTTTCATCGAGAGGCATGATGCTGTCTTGAAACGACGGTACGATTCACGATGCAACGAAACACAATGATCAGCTTTGATCTTTCCTCATGTACATAATAGAGCTTAACGAGTAATAGAAAGCAAGACACAAAATGACATATTTTCTTATTAGGTTCAGCCTTCAAGCCTGCAGACATCGATCGAACGCAGCTAAGTTGGACCAAGAGCCCAAGATGAACCGCTGATTTGGTGCAGGCTACTACGGGTATAGAGTTGAGGTCACGATTCATTATCATGTTAAAGACTAAGCATGGTGCTGGAGCGTCAAAGCGAGTCCCAGGGGCAGCACGGTTGCATCATTTGCCAAAGCTTCATACCGTGCCATAAAAAACCGATCCGAAAGATCTAACTGCCATCCCTAGGCTAGGCGTCCGCACTAGCAGCAGGCTCCTCCGCCCCATTCTCGCCACGGGAAGCCCCTTCTTCTGCTGATTCTGTTGTTGTTGCTGCTTCTGGTTCAGCTTTTGTAGCTGCTGCTTCTTCTGATTTGGATGCTGATGGTGCGGTTTCAGCTGCGGTTGTTTCCGTTGTGGCTGTCTCTTCTTCTGGCTGTGGTCCATCATACTTGACAGGCTCAAGTTGCGGCGGGTCCACGAGCCATCCTCCTTTCCATCCTTCCATGGGAGGTCCAAAGAAACGGGGAGCCAAACACTTGGAAGGAGGCAAAATATCCATCATGCGATACATCCACGGCAACAAGCCCACTTCTTCAATGAGCTTCTTGGTAGGACCAACCTCTGTCACAAACCGCAGAATGTTGACACCATAGAAACTCACATCGGTAGCATTGGGAGTCTCTCCACCCATGAAATCCTGCTTACCCATTTGCCGTCCCAGTTCGGTTTTGAACTTGGTCATGATGGACTTCATGGTGGTCTTGTCGGGCGTCCGGTCGTACTCTTCCCCCATGTAATCCTTGAGAATGGTGCGTTCTCGCGCCATCAATCGCGTCATGACGGCCACGGGTTGTCGCATGACGGGACTAAAGCGACTGGTAAAGGTGGCCGGATAATTGGGACACGCTCGAGCGAATGCGGCGGCGTATTCCACCCCCGTGTATTCCCTCCACATGGCGGGTATGAATTCGTATCCAATGATTTTTTCCCATCGCAAGACATCGGGTGTCATTTTTTGTGGGTATAGCAACGGTATAATCAAATAGTTGATAATAACTCCGTCGGCAATCATGCGTGGTCCGTCGTCTTCTCGTCGAATCTCCAGCATGGGTACCGCGTTGGTAATGACCTTGTCGGGTGCTTGGGCGACTCCGTACCCCGACTTGGCGCCACACGTATTGGCATTGACCAATTCGTCCTTGTAATCCTTGACTTTGGGTAAAGGAGGGATGGGGGATTGCACCAACATGGGACCAGTTTTGAAGGGTTTGTTGTGATGGAGCAAATGACAGGCCACCCAGCTGGTCATGGGTTCACTGGCCGATCCCCACAAGTAACACCCCTTCAAGTCATTCATCGCCAATTCATCAATTCCCGTGGGTAGCATGCCAAAATGGTTGGTTCCACAGGGATGTGTGCGTGTGGCGGGATTGGGATGATCGACTAGAATCCGGTCGCTCCCAATGGTAAGATTGAGTTTGACGCCCATCACCTTGACTTCCTTTTGATTGACATTGCGTAAATCCACCTTGACTTCACCCATAACTTCCTTTCCCACCAATTTATGATGTCGAGTCATGACTCGAAGATGCATTTCCAGTTCATCCACGGGGCGTCGAAACGTATTGTAGATCAGCCAACCCAATACCACTTGTCCATTCTCACCGGCATTTTCACTCACGGCTCCATCGTTGGAACCACGGTTTTCCCAAGATGCGTTCTTGCGCCCAACTCGAGCTTCAATGTGGCCGCCTGGTTCCACACCTTGGGCTGTGACCAAGACTGCCTTGTGGGGCTTGTTGGAAAGCAAGGATGCTGCTAAAGACATCTTTTAAAACAAAATAAAGGTGATGGAAGATCAAAGAAGAAGGCCAGGTGTGTGGATCTTTCTTGTTGACATCCATCCAGCCATCCAGCAAGCGAACCCCGAGGAAAGATCCGAGATATCTTGCTTTCATTCTCGTGTGTGACGTCATAAAAGGCGGGTGAAATGACGTTTTGGCGCCTTTTGGCAAGGAAGAGCACCTCCAAATGCACGGAACCCACTCTAGCACTCGCATTTTTTTGTTTTTAACTTTGAACCTCGGCATCCTGATCAACGCTATTACTAGTATTCCTCTTCATTGATACATCATTTGATTGATTGACTGACTGGTTATTGATTTGATATTTCACCATGCCATTTTGGGACAAGGACAAGCGTCAAGGGTCGGACCTTTCGTCAGGCTCTGGCACTGACATTGGGCAGCGTCTCTCCACCAGTGGTTTGACCTTGGAATCCGCCTTGGACTGGACATCCCTGCTTCTTAGCATGAAACAGGATAATGAGCAAGACATGTCGCCAGAAGAAATTGAGGCAGCATTGAAGGTCTACAAGGAACTCCATCGCATCTTGAGACTCACCACACGGACCCAGGACACCTTTGCACGGCCACTTCTGGCCGAGGATTCCAATATTGCACCAACGTCCTTTCACGAGCAGTTTGTCGCCTTGCAAGATGAAATCAAAGAGGCACGGCCTTTGACCAAGCAAAACTTGGCAGAACTGAATGATTTGTTCATTCTCGACAATAGCTTGCGTGAAACTACAGTGGGGAGTGTTCGTGGTCACACATTGGAGGAAAAACACCAAATCGTCGATGCGATTGCCGATACTGGACTGGAGGAAATTATTTTGGGAGCCTATGGGAGCAAAATTTCTGTGGACAGCCAAATTGCTGGGCGATGGAAAGCACTGGGCAAGTCATTTGATAATGCCTGGGGATTCTCGGAGGCATTTGATTTGGAAGGATTCGATGAGGAGCCTCTTTGGAAGTCTGCGGATGACTTTATAAAGGGCAAACGGGAGGGCACAGAGTTGCCAGAGTACTGGGTGCCCACCCAGGCTGTCAAAACAACCTACACTGAAGAGGATCTGGCACTGTTCAAACGAGCATATTCGTACTTCCCCCAAGGACATGTATTTAGTGGCCGCAAACCCAAAAACATCCTCAAAGAATCGGAATCTCCAAAGGGACGCATCCCCATGGGGCTTCTCATGATGGCTGGGTATGGCATTTGCAATGCCATTATTGAAGTCGATACAGCAGTGGAAACATTCGACTATGAGACCCACAACCTTGTGGAACGATGTCAGCAACTCATGGAGTGGTGCAAACAACACTTCCCTCGACGCCAAAATGTGGACCCTGACGAAGATGACACTGCTCGCGTTTTCATCAATTGTCGAGATTTTGTGAATTACCAGCGCAGTGACAGTGGTCTGGAAATGTGTCTCAACATGGTTGATCAGCTCTGCCGATTGCCATCAACTCAACGCCCCTTTGGATTTCTCATGGAGGATCCCACTGGCTGGCTGTGGCCGGATGAAGTTGGCCGGCTCACACGCCTCATCAAAGCCACCATGCACCGGGCGGGGCATCCAGATGGAAAGTTCTTGGTGCATCTTCACATGTACTTTGCACTGGCTGAAGCCTGTGTACTCTCATCCATGTGCAATGGGGCTGATGGAGTCTGGGCAGCTCTGTGCAAGACGGGAGCTCAAGTGGGACATGCTTGTTCCACTATTACAGCTGTCAACTTGTATCGAGCTGGGGTGGAAAATGTGGCCAAAAAGTATAATTTGTCCAAAATGTGTGAGGGAGCCCGGTTGATCACCAAAATCACCACAAAAGAAGCATGCCCAGAATATGAGGAAGTCTATGGCAAGCATGCGTTTGACACAGGTAAGAATGGACAAGCGTTTACAATTTGCACCTATTGCCGAGACCTGCTGGCTCAATTCAGTCTCTGCCTGTTCTGTGCCACACCCACACCAGCATTCTTCATGTAAGTCAAGGCCGGCCAGCATTTTGGATACACTACAACAAGCACTCTAATTTGTCTGCCATCACTGCTGGCATGTTCACAGGTACAATGTCCCTAGCTGTCGATATGCTATTGCTGAGCTGATGATTGAGATGAAGGTTGATGAAAGGTACATCCGCCTGAACGAGATATCGTTGGTGTCAGCCATTGAAAGAGCCATGGTATACCATTTTGGCAAGCCAAAAGAAGCTGGATGGGACCCAAAGCACTGCCAACAAATGTGGAATGCCATTGTCAACCACCTGGTTACAGGCCTCAGCCGAGACTACAATTCACCACTTGGTCTAGGAACTCTCTATGGCTTGGTATCAGGAGAGAATTTGTCACGCTCCATGATACAAACAATGCTCAAGACAACCAAAATATCGGATACCCACCCCACTGTGATTGAGTATGTACATCGGTGGAACCGGCTCTGTGCCAAGCACCTTGGTGAGGACTACACCTCACCCATTTGCACATCGAAAAGCATCATGTTTCCATGCATCAATCTTGAACTTCAGCCTAGGCTGCCATCGCTTCCATTCAAAGTCCTTGTAAAGGACTTTGATAAGAATCCAGCAAATCACTTTGCCCCACAGTTTCTGCGCAACACCATCATAAAGAATGAAATAATGATCCGCCAAAAGAGTCAAAACACGCTAGATCCTTTGGAGACCTTCGAAGAAAACCTGCTGTCTCTGAAACTCTTTATAGAAGAAGCAGAGAGCCTTCATGTGCTGCCATTGGCAGATGACTTTGCGTGTCGAATGCCTTTCAACAATTTCTTTGGTGAAGGCGATAGTTGGGTGCAGGAGTTGAGAATGGAGCGACCAAAGAAAGTCAGCAAAACTATGTTAAGGGTCGGCTCAGCAGTGCTGAGTCGTGATGGAAACCATGCACTCTACCGCACAATTCTATCTGGGTTCAAAAGATTGCATCACAATGTTGGGTTGAGAGGTGACTTGTTGCAATTGCGGGAGGATTTTGACATGGAATACTTGATCAATGCCTGTGAACGGACGGATGGTGCCAAAGCTCAAGTCGATGCCTTAGACACGTGGATGCAGGACTTTGATGCTAAAGACAGTGCTTTTTTTGCGGGAAGTTCAATGTTTGAGGAAGATGCTGATGATGAACTCGAGGCTGTGGATGATGCTGAACTTCTGTTTGGCACTGGAGGAGAGGTTGATGCTATGCAAGAGGAAAACATAACCAAGAAAAGCAAGGGGGGGTTTACAAAGAAAGTCAAGAGGATGCTGAGCAAAGAGATTGAGAAGCTTTCCCCTAAAACCACACCACATTCCTCTCCCAAGCTCTCCCCAAAGCCTGTAAAGAAAATGCCCACCAGTAATGGTAGTGGCAGTGGTGCTGTGCCCAAGGGTTTGAGACTGGCTGATGCAGTCAATGAGGTGGAATGCTAGCATAAAATTAGTCTCTTGGTGTGATAGGGCTTGCTGTGCTCCATTCTTGTTCTCAAACCCATCTAGTAGGAATTGGTAGTCCAAGTCAGCAAAATGGTCCGGTGGCAGCTGAAGTTTGTCTACTTTGTGTAGCTTTGTTATTTTCCGCTCCCAAGATGTAGCACTACGTCGATGTGTAAGCTCATGAGATCTGAGATGATGCCACGGTCGGTGTCAACTGAGCGGATGTGCATATTGCAGATTTCTGTTCCAGAAAGTGGCGACGATGTTGCCTCTGTTCCGCGTAGTTGTCCTGGCCTCTTTCGACGTTTATCCCAAAGTGTACAAACCACAAAAGTGATAGGTACAGTTCCACGCAATTCTGGGCGGGCAGTACTTAGAGTCGAGTCGAGTCCCTCTCCGTGCTGGACGAGAGATCAAAGCCACCATCGCTCGTCCCTTTCAGTAAGACCGATCGAGGGTCACTTTTTTTGGTCAAAACTATCGGGCAGAAGCCGTCTGTTGTCCCGGCGCATACCACGAGCACCCACGGTTCAAAGCCCGGCCTTCAACACCAGTTCCAGAGTCACCGAGCACGGCCGAAATGATTCATCATTCGATTCCGACCCCAAAGAATCACCCAGCAGAACTGGAACCCGCAAATTGGTCGAAAGGGCGGAACAAGACTGGGTATCCCCAGAGAAGTTGCTTGCAAGCGCAGCGCCAACTCTGGCAAACAAAGGGAGTGAATCGAATCATCGAATCGATCGTAGATAAGTTCCCTACCGTACGTAATCTAAAACCCCTTAGCTATATCGAATCGAGAATCGAATCACAACGAGCTTGACCCCGAAAGAGGCTCGAAGTAAAGAGCTGTTTCAGTGTTTCAGAAACGTTTTCATCTGCCAGGCTTCTAACCGGTAGTCTTGGTAAAACTGAAGAGTTCTGATCTTTGACATCGGAAGATGCGGTATTTATTGGATCCTCCTTCGTTATTGCCATCAGCCGTCAGCCATCAGCTATCGACCATGCATAGTCCTCAGTGTGCACACGAAGTTATCATGCTGTGGTCACTCTGCAGTGCTCCACTGATAGTTTAAACGGGGTCTAGTTAGATAGCTACTGAAGCAATCCAAGGAACTGCAACAGCCAAGTATGAGCATGTTTCAGAATGGCTCTCCCGTGGTGGATTTGCAATCCCCGAATATGGGGTTCATGAGTTGGCTCCGATTCGAATGTCAGGTGGATTGCGATAGTTATCCTCACGCGTGCATCAACGAGGACCTGTACCAAACTTCTGCCAATGCCATGGTAGAACAAGGCTATCTGGAGGCTGGATACAACCTGGTGGCAGTGGATGACTGTTGGATGCAACCAGGTGACAATAGCCGCGACCCCATCTCACACCAATTAGTGGCCGACCCTCAACGCTTTCCCCACGGCATGAAAGCCCTGGGAGACTACTTGCACGAGAGGGGCCTACAATTTGGATTGTATCTTGATGTCGGCACCATAACGTGTGCCAACTATACGGGATCCTATGGATACGAACATTTGGATGTGGACACATTTGCAGAGTGGGGTGTCGATTATCTGAAACTGGATGCCTGCAACCTGCGCCAAAAAAAGATTCTCCCCAGCTTTATCGAATTTGGCACTGCCATCCAAGAACTTGCCCATCAAAAAATGATGTTCTCTTGTTGTGCTCCCGTCTATTTGGGCCATAATGAGACCCTCAAAGTGAAACAGCAACATCTCTATGATATCCTTTACCACGAGGCGGGATGCAATACTTGGCGCAATTTTCATTTTGTGGACAATTCATGGCCGGGATTGAAACGCGTCATCTTGCATTGGGCTGACTATTGGCAGGATCTGCAGAGCATTCCACATGGATTCAATGATGCTGACATGTTGCTGGCAGGAGATGATGTTCCGTCCTTGCTTCCGCCGGTTCAAGCCCAATTGCAAATGGGGTTTTGGGCCATGATATCCAGTCCTCTATTCATTGGGGCTGATGTACGCAGCATTCCTCCCGTGTATCGAAAAGTGCTGCTGAATCGTCATGTCATTGCTGTCAATCAAGATGTATCGCAGCAACGGCAGGCCAGTTGTGTTCTAGGGTGCAAGGGATCGAATTACAAGAATACAACCAACAGTGGGAGTTTGGATGTTCAAGTTTGGGCCAAGTTGGTGCGACACGGCCAATCGGTTGTTCTTGGCTTTTTCAACTTGAACGAACAACATCAGGAATCTTCTATTTCGTATGAGTTTGAACTCGAACGGGGACGAGGGATTGCACAGTGCGTGGATCTATGGAACGGCAATAGTGGTAGTAGCAAGGTGGAAGAACTGCCCGACATTTGTGCCAAAGGGAGAGGACAGATCAGTCGCCATTGGAACATTCAGATTCAACGAGAATCCAACAATATCAAACGTCTCCACATTCAAACCTTGGGCGTGTTGCCCACTTCCCATCGAATGCTTCGTGTTGATTTCTTTGATACATTGCAACCGCCCCACCCTCCCAACCAGGGCAGAACCAGGGACAAAGAACCAAAAGCACAGTAAGCCACAACATGACACTATCCGCGTCATAAAGTGTAACGCATTCAACTCTAGCTCTTTCCATTTTAAAATACTGGTACAGTTTGCATAATATTCAGATGTATGTATCCCCATTGTAGCTGGCTAGTTTTGGCTGGGTTGTCACATCAGTTCCACAAGACGCGGTGCCAAGGGCATCATTTCCATGTAGGCAAATTGATTGTAGCACATGACTTGCATATACGATTCGCTATCAAGCAATCGTGGATCAAGGTTCAGACGCTTGCAAATCTGTTCGTAGATTGCCTTGTCTTTTTCGGATAGATCTGGCCGCAGGAGGGGTGCCACAATGGTTTTCAAATCGTCCGAGACATGCAAGAATCCCCCCGCCGGTTTGGGGGGTTTTGTGTATTCCTTGGCCAGAACGGGTGAAACCAAGGGTGGGAACTCGGCATAACGTTTGGTGATTTGAAAGAAAAATTGGGCATTTCGGTCCGTTCCATGAAAGAGTTGTTTGGGCAAGAACCCGGTCTTATCGCCCTCCGTGGCTCCCTTGCCCCGTTTGTAGTTGTCTTCGAGCAAAATGTGACGAAAACCGTGCTTCAAGATTGTGGGATACCTTGTGCTGGGATCCAAATGATCATCCAAGAGTACCAAGGTTTGATCCGGATTGATTTCCCTCCTGGCGATTTTGGCAGCCCAATCCACTTGATTGAAATCTTGAAACTTGACCGTGCCGGTGTAATACTCGGTTTTACCGGAAGGATCAATCCATCTTTCTTTTTGTCCACAAATAGGTATTTCCAACGGATCAATGGCATATATTTTGGCATTGGGTGCAGCTGCTCGCATGATATAGGTACTGTGACCAGCATTGACGCCATTTTCAATAATGGTGGTGGGTTGTAGGTATTTGATAGTGGCATAGAGATACAGAGAATGATTGATACGCATGCCGCAGAGATTCACCTTGTCGGGTCGATTCTCGTAGACTTTCAAAAACTCGTCCAACTTGCTAGGATCCGACATCCATTCCCCCATAGACTCAATAAAGTCTACTTTCCCCTTCTTCACCAAGGCATGGCCAATCTCCTGCTTCGGCACACCTTGCCATTCATACTTTTGGTAGGCAGGCCACTCCTTTTCAGGCCCGTTGTCCGTAAT